GCTCCCGCCAGGCTCTTTTTTCCTCCAGTATGGCTCTTGAGTCAGTCGTTTCTCGCCTTGGTACCTCAGCCTCTACTAACTCAAACGAGGCTTCGCTAGCATCCTCGTTGCCAACCTGCTTTTGGTCGTTCTTCTGTCATGAGTCTACCTTTTTTACTAGGTTGGCGTGACTTTCTTGTAGTATTTCATTCAACGCGCGAAGGCTATTGTTGAGATTTTGGACGTCTTTTACGCCCTCACGATTTGGCTAATCTTGTCCTCCAGGCTATTGAGGCGATCTATTTAATGTCTTTCCTTCTTTCTTATATGGGCTTTTCTCTAGGCAGAACCCGAGAGAGCATTCTTTCTAATATGTTGATTCAACATAGCTCAGTTTTGCTCACGTTGGGACTCAGTTGGGAGAGGGGATGCGACTTCTATCAGCAACAATTGTCATAGACGGCACCATATGTTAATTAGGAGTGTGGTTCCCCTGGTTGACTAGGGCCCTAACTCGGGTCAGGACGAGCAAAGGAGTTCAACAAGTCCCAAGCAGATGGCCCTTGCAAACTATCTCCCTTTTAGTGGGACGACACCTGGATTGGATTTGAAGTGCATTAAGTGCTCCCTTTCAGTCATGTCTTGACACCCGCGTGGATTAACTTGATCATAGCGGCGATCTTCCCTAGATTCTCTAGTCACCTTGATTTGCTCCCCAAGTTCGACTGAGGGGGATCTTGGGAGATTCTGCCCAAGCATATGGCTCAGGTGGTTTTGACCGAGAGCAGACGCCATCCAGCAGACCTTGGTCTAGTAGGGCCTATGATCTGGTCTTAGTCTTTTTTTTTTTTTTTTTTTTTTTTGTGGTACAGTTTTATGACAAACTGTGGTCTAGCAAACTAAGACAGAACTGTTTAGCAAATTCTTCGTCTATTACAATTATTGTTATAGCAACAACAAGATTGAGAACTTGAAGATAAATGCACATGTCACTATCACTGGTGGTTTGTTGGTTGGGGATGGTAGAGCAAAAGGAGCCTGTAAATACAATTTTGTGTACTAAAACAAAACTGCATTTTCAGCTAGTTGACACAATAACAACTTGGGGCTTAGAGACTGAATCTTTTTGCAGTCATTACAAGAGAATCTGTGGGTATTCTTTTCTTTTCTTACTGTTATAGGGTACTCAAGTCAGCCTCATTACAGAGAGAAACTGCTCCAACTTACAAATGTGGAGGAGAGGCCGTGGGATGTGTACTGAAATGGGAATAGCCAAAACACCTACTGATGCAAAATAAGCCACTTCTAGCAAGCAATGACTCGGGTTTATCCTCAGATTTACTGTGAGGAAAGTGCCTATGAAAGGCATTCAATGCTCCTATCAACCCATCTTCGTCATCTATGGCCTTGGCAATTTCAACAGCACGCTCTTTAACCTTTCTACCGAAAAATAGTTATGTCTTTGTTAATTTAATATATTCATGTCCATACTAGGGATTGAAATAACAAAAAATAACCCCTAGAGTTATGACTAGTATTTGCATGTTAAAATTGATCGAAAAACAATGGCAACTTCAATCAAATCAGTGCGCATGCATGTGTGATAATTTTACGCTCAATATGTAAGTGATAGAGCAAAAGCCAATAACTTACCGGTAAGTTATAGCGTGAAAAGCCAATATTTAACCATCATGTAAGTGATGGAGTGAAAAGCCTATAACTTACCGGTAAGTTATGGCGTGAAAAGCCAATATTTAATCGTCAGGTAAATGATTGAGCGAAAAGCCTATAACTTACCGGTAAGTTATTGCGTGAAAAGCCGATATTTAATCGACACGTAAATGATGCAGTGAAAAGACTACAACTTACCGGTAAGTTATCGAGTGGAAAGCCAATACTTTACCAAACATCAAAATTAAGACAATCTGGTGCGCCTCCACTAACGAGCACGCAGTATCGAAGAAACTCTGGCGTATGCATCCCAACTAGGATTTCAAACTTAAAATAATAATTAAAAGATAAAGCTTGAAAAAACCAAGCTATAACAATACAAATAAAATGACAGGACTCGCCCCGAATTCCTCGGAATCCGTGACGGATCCTGTGGTATTTTCGACATCCAACCGATACCGGGCCCACTTACTGATTTCAAATGTCCTCTTCCCCTAAAACAAAGGAAAAGAGGGCCGAGACTTCTACCGAAATTTCGGCAGAGTCTCCCTTGAAAAACGGACTTAACCAAATTTTTCAACCTGTCAAAAACACAGTTTAAAATGTCCACACTTCAGCATGCACAGTCTACCCTCCAGGCATAGTCATAAGTAGTTGTAAGGACTCAATCCACAATCATTCATCAATCTAAAATAGGTTTCAGCCCCGACACAATCACAAACACATTATAACCACATCCCTTCAGGCTACCGACAAATTCAAAACCGAACTTAACAAATCTAATAAATAGGATTCGATCCCAATGACCAAATTAGAGTCCAAAATATATTTTGTCTCGCGGTTGCACCTGGGTGAGACCCGGGTTTTTGAAATTGGGTGGGTCAAGTAGAGGAGGAGAGGAAAAGTTTGCAAGTCGTTTCGTCGAAAACGGTGGCCGGACGAAGCCGGATTCAGCGTCGGAAAATGTTGTTGTGCGACGGGGAGAGAGAGAGAGAGAGAGTCGTGGTAGGAGAAAGAGAGAGAAAAAGAAGCGGACCTGGGTTTTAAACTTCTGACCTTGAAATATTTACAATTGTGCCACTGTGCTTCCGCTGACCGTAACTTCTTCGTTAAAACTGCGATTTGGGCCCACCACGTGTCTATGAACTCGTATCGATGAGCTCTACGCAAGGAAAAAAATGACTTGTCTCCTTTTAGTTTTTTCCAACCTTCGAATGACTTTGGTTGTTTTAGTCAAACGCCCTTGGTCTTTGTTTTTTTTTTTTTCCCCGTCAAAGCTGCCTTAGTTGTTCTTTTATTATGTTTGTCTTTGTTTTTTTTTGTGGCACAGTTTTATGACAAATTGTGGTCTAGCAAACTAAGACAGAATTGTTTAGCAAATTCTTCGTCTATTACAATTATTGTTATAGCAACAACAAGATTGAGAACTTGAAGATAAATGTACATGTCACTATCACTGGTGGTTTGTTGGTTGGGGATGGTAGAGCAAAAGGAGCCTGTAAATACAATTTTGTGTACTAAAACAAAACTGCATTTTCAGCTAGTTGACACACTAACAACTTGGGGCTTAGAGACTGAATCTTTTTGCAGTCATTACAAGAGAATCTGTGGGTATTCTTTTCTTTTCTTACTGTTATAGGGTACTCAAGTCAGCCTCATTACAGAGAGAAACTGCTCCAACTTACAAATGTGGAGGAGAGGCCGTGGGATGTGTACTGAAATGGGAATAGCCAAAACACCTACTGATGGAAAATAAGCCACTTCTAGCAGGCAATGACTCGGGTTTATCCTCATATTTACTGTGAGGAAAGTGCCTATGAAAGGCATTCAATGCTCCTATCAACCCATCTTCGTCATCTATGGCCTTGGCAATTTCAACAGCACGCTCTTTAACCTTTCTACCGAAAAATAGTTATGTCTTTGTTAATTTAATATATTCATGTCCATACTAGGGATTGAAATAACAAAAAATAACCCCTAGAGTTATGACTAGTATTTGCATGTTAAAATTGATCGCAAAACAATGGCAACTTCAATCAAATTAGTGCGCATGCATGTGTGATAATTTTACCCTCAATATGTAAGTAATAGAGCAAAAAGCCAATAACTTACCGGTAAGTTATAGCGTGAAAAGCCAATATTTAACCATCGTGTAAGTGATGGGGTTAAAAGCCTATAACTTACCGGTAAGTTATGGCGTGAAAAGCCAATATTTATTTGCATGTTAAGGGTTTCTATGATTGTCTATCTTATAGCTCTGAATTGTGTATTTTTAGGTCCGCGATGTACGCCTCATAATGGATCGCAATTCAAGACGTTCTAAGGGAGTTGGGTAAGTTTTTCTTAAGTCTTGGTGACAAAAGCTATGGATGGTTGTTAACAGAAGGTTCACTTTAACAATTACCCATTATGCAATGGTAGCGTTTAAGATGATGTGAGAGTCTTAAATTATCCGGTTGTTAATGAAAAAAGTTTATGTGGTTGTGTTGACAAGAAGCCAAAGATTTCATTCTAAGGTTCAAATAAGACTATCCTTTTAATGTCGCTTGGTCATTTTTGGAATGGTTGGCAGTTCCTGCTTCCTTCTTGATGGCTGCATCTTCCTTGTTCCAACGTTTTCTTGTGCTGTACAAAGAATCATCACATCATTTACAATGTTCAAAATTTGCATCATCATCTTAGAAAGTTTTCGATGATATTGATCGCCTTTGTACTAAAAGCAGTACATATAGTATATACTATAGGTTATTCTAGTTGGTCAAGATGATAAGATATATCATATAGGACATTTTTCTTTCCCCGTTTTGAACTATGAGTGGAGACTCCAGTAAACTTTGCTATTATATGCATCTGTATGTGGCAATTGGTTTTTGATTATCCAAGAGTCTAATGTTCTCTAGTTTGTAGGTATATTGAGTTTTATGATGCAATGTCGGTACCTATGGCGATTGCACTTTCTGGTCAGCCTCTTCTTGGTCAACCAGTGATGGTGAAGCCATCAGAGGCTGAGAAGAATCTGGTTGAATCAACATCTGTGGTTAGTGGACCAGGTGGGATGATAGCCCCAGATTCTGGCGGAGCTAGAAGGCTGTACGTTGGAAATCTCCATACCAATATAAAAGAAGACGATCTCCGCCAGGTGAGTGCTTTTCTGACACAGTTCTAATGTTGGCATCAGATAATGTACATAATCAAGTTTGCTGTTGGCTATGTAATTTTTTTTTTTTGGTTGCTTTTGAGGACTTCTGTTCACAGTTTCCTAATTTCGTGTTTGTAATTGTGAATATTTTTGCATTTTGACTTTCACCCTTTAATATGTGATATATATATATATATATATATATATGCAGGTTTTTGGAGCATTTGGTCCTGTAGAACTGGTTCAGTTACCTGTTGACGAAACTAACAACTGCAAAGGTTTTGGATTTGTGCAGGTCTGTTTGACAGTCCGATAACTACAAGCACTAGTTGATGATACTATTAGTATCATGGTCTTAAATAGTTATTGTGGTATTTCCTGAATAGAAGCCTTTTTTGCTTTTGTGTTTTGAAATATTTGAATGTGTTGTGCCGATGTGTCACCACTGCTATCATTCTGAGATTTATAGGGTGGATCAGAGTTGCCACTTAGAATGATGCTTTAGATTCAGGTTTTCAGAGAAGTCGTTATTGTTACATAATTGTGCATCCTTGTGGTTTCCCAAACGGATGATTTTGCTTAAAACCATATATTAAGTAATTTGGGAGTTCATCTACCTGAGTCCTCATTTTTCTATTTAGGTGTCAGCTGTTACAGACCAAGCTGGAATGCAAGATCTTGGAGCAAATGCTGGTGATTTTGATGACGATGAAGGTGGTGGCTTGGTTAGTAAGATCTTTCCTTTTATGTTTTTATTTTCTATTAACACAAAGAATTTGTGGACTGATATGATTGCTAAGAACTGTTTGCTCTGGCTCAGTAATATCTGGGAATAATTGTTGAATGTATGGAAGCTGCTGCTGCTCCATTGCTTTTAAGCGTTTTTTGCTGCTTGATGCTTATGGTATCTATAGTTGGTTCGATTGGCTTAATATCTTTTGTGTTTATTGTTCTCTTATTTATTTGAGTGGATATATATTTCTTACTTCTTAAATGATTAGAGTTCATTCTCCTAGGAGAAAAATAAGGTCAAAAAATAATTTGAACTACCATCTCTTGCACTCCTGCCAGCTTTTTAACCTTTGATATTGGAAAGATTGGTCATTCAAGGTTGTGTTTTTTGCTAGCAGATTATTGAAGTTGAGCTTGATAATTCAAAATAACATAGCATCCATGAATTTTGTAATCGTTTTACTGGTTTCGGCACTTATCCCTCCCTTTTGCTTTAACTAGTAAGATATGCATTGTCTCTCAAGGCATTGCAGACATCAGCACTGCAATGCCGAGGGTGATAGTTTGGCATAGAAAGAGTGTCTGCACTGCAAATTTTTTTTGTTGACCTGAGTGAAGGTGATTGACGTATTGTTTTTTTATGTTGCTAGTTTCAACATATCCCAAGTAGATATTAATCGCCCATTGTATAATATTTTAATATAATTTTTATAACATAGATTATTCTTATTCAATAATATGTGAGAATTATTTGTATAATATGTGAATTTTGTGTGTCTTACTAAAAATTTTGTACAAAAATGTGTATAAAACATTAGAAAATACATACATACATGTACAATACGACTATTATACGTTTACTTTTTAAAAAACGTGACGTATATAGGACAAAAATATATTATTGAAAAATACACACGTACATATATATATATATATATATACATAAAAGGCTATAGCCACTCGTCTATACTATTTATTACGGTGAATTTGAAAAAAAGAAATAAGTAAAGCCGGCCGGCTATACTATTCTTAAATATAAGAAAATAATCGACGGCTATACTATTCACTGAAAAAAAAAACAGAGCAGCCACACGGCTGTTGGGCGTCCACGTGTAAACTTAAATTTTTTTAAAAAAACTGAGTATAGCGGCTGTACTATTTTTAACCCACTAGCAATTAGACATCACATGTAAAAATAAGTATAGCCGCCCTGCCATGCTAATTAAAAAAATCGTAGGATAGCCATACGATTTAAGAAACCGAAATAAGAAAAAAGGACCTCCTAGTTGATTCCAACAGAACGGAAGAAATAAAGTCCAAACTTGAAGAAGCCTTTGGATTGCCCAATTGTTGTGGAGCCATAGATGGTACACACATCATTATGACCCTTCCTACCGTTCAAACATCAGACGATTGGTGTGACCTGGAGGACAATTGTTGACCATGCGATGAGGTTTCTTGGCATTGTAACTGGTTGGCCCTGGGGCATGACGGTGTCTAGACTTTTAAAGTGTTCAGGATTTTTCAAGCTCTGTGAAGGTGCACAGCGTTTGAATGAAATTCCATTGCTTCAATCTCCCTTGGTTGGGGGCTGTATGCATGCACAGAAGGGCGATTTCTTGTGTTTCTGGTTGGTTCTATTGCCACCATAGATATAGTCCTTCAGAAGAACTCTTGTTTTCCGCTCCGTGATCCTTGTTGATCCTCTGCTTTCCTTTTCTGGTTGGACCAATCAAAAACTGCTAACCCATTATGGATAAGGAAATAAATGGAGTAAAGCTTTAAGTTCCAGATAGAAAAAAAGAAGAGAGTATTGAAGCTTTAATAAATGGATCATCACCTCAGTCCAATTTCCCATTGCAGAGGGAATGTACAAACAGACATGGAGATTACCTCTGATTATTCTGTTTCTAGTTTATGAGATGTGGTGGCTGCAAGTACATGCTTCTCTAGTGCTGTTGTACACTCCTTCAAAGAGATGCAATATAGGCAGCCAACTGATCTTGTAGCCCTGATAAATGAAAATCAGGGAAAGGGAAGGAAAAAAAAAGCCAGTATAGCCGAACGGCTATACATTTAAAATATATTATATTTAAAGAGTACAGCGAAACGGCTATACGATTTTAAATATATTATATTTAAATATTATAGCCGTCCGGCTATACTATTTATTAGAAATAAAAAGGCCAAAAATGGAAAAACAAGACAAGACTCAAAAGAGACCAGCATAAAGCTTTTCCCCACTCAGTCTGTGACCTTACAAAGAGTTACTAGGGGGCAAGGCAGCCCGTCTGAGACCAAGACATGTACCAGGGATTGCAGTGGCTGATAGGCCCAAATTTTCAGTTCCACAGACCCGAAACCTATCGACACTGCCTTGTGGGCAGCACGTACAATTTGCGTTCCCAGCAACCCAACTCCAACAGACTTCACAGAAGGAGTGACTGAGACTTCGAATATCTTCCAAGAGGGGCAAGATACTCCATACTTGGCTGCTTACACGACCATTAATACCATCAACAAGAACTTTAGAGTCAATTTTCATCTAAATATCCAAATAACTGCCTTGGGATGCAAGATGGAGCCCCTTTATCACAGCCGCTGCTTCAGCTTAGAGAGTAGAGTTACTCCAGTAGGGACAGGCCAAACCAGCACAGAAGAGGCCGCTCGCGTTTCGAATTACAACTCCCAGACCAGAGGGGGAGGCCTGGGATGGTTGGATTGTGGGAGGGGGAGCATTAGCTTCCCGAGGAATTCTTTGGCTGCCCGATCAGTTTTCTTGTGACCTGTGTTTGCATTCTCTTTGCAATTAAAGTGGTCTCCTCCCCTTCTCTTCAGGGAAGGGGAATGAAAAAGATATGTTTCACTTTCCCGTGGAGATATTGCCTCTTTCTTGTCTGCTTGAATTAGCAAAAGTTGATATGGAAGAATTTGTCATCGTTTTCAGCTACCGTTTTTGTGGTCATTGCTATTTCGTGGCCTCTGTTGCCTTCGTTGATGTTGCCTTTATTTGCTTCACTTTTCGTTGCTATGGTCATTGCTGATGATATGATTATATTTTGATCCGTCTCTACAACATAAAAAACTTTAACACTAAACACTACCTATTTCCAATGAACTATACACCTTGCCTATAATCCTAGCCTGCCGTCGCCGCCTGCCTTACTTCTATCACCATCGCCTACCTTGCTATTGCCGCCATCCCGCCGTCTATCACTATGCCGAGTGTTGATGCCTTTATTTCTTCATGTGCTTCTGGTTCTACTTCACTTACTGCTTCTCCAACCCTTATTGTGATATTTCATACTCAATCGTCCACCAACCTACTCTTGGGATTCAAATTGAATGGATCAAACAATGCGAGTTGGGCTTCGATGATCGAACTCTATGCAACTTCACAAGGAAAATTGGGTTACCTAATGCGTGACTACGATTCCCCAGATTCCAAAGATCCACAATTTGGAAAGTGAAAAATTGATGACGCTATAGTGAAAAGTTGGATAATGCGCACTATGGAACCTAGTTTGTTGAATATGTTTCATACTTACCTATTGTCGTGCTCACAGGGTTTCTGTGTTCTGTCTTACCTACTACCGCGCTCACATGGTTTCTGTGTCCTGCATTACCTACTGCCGTGCTCATAAGGTTTATGTGTTCTGCTTTTATATGTTCTTCTATGTGCTTTATTTATCAGTGGTTTCACTTGTGGTTTATGACAAAGCCTTCTCTACAGTTGTTCGATTGGTTAATGTCGAGTATGGTGTTCTATGACTTGTTTGTCAAGTTAGGCATGCGAAATATCTTTGCCCCAACTTTAGAGGGAGTGTTGGCGAGTCCTTAGTTAGTTAGGATTTTGGTTGCTTACCAATTTATCTAGTCCTATTATAATTGAGATTTATTTCCTATTGTAATTTATATTTATTTTCTATTGTAATTTGGATTTATTTCCTATTTTATTGAGGGTTGTAATTCTTATAAATACCTCCATATTGTAGAAGAATAAAGATTTGAGTATATATGAGCACAACTATATATGCCTTACTTTGTTTGACTGTACCTACACAAACCAACTCATATTACTGAAAGGGCTTGGGAATGAGAATTCAATTGCTTTCTCATATTTGGTAAGTCTAGGCATGAGAAATCATTGCCTGGCACATGGGAAAGTAGGGGGGAAAGTGAAGCCATCCTCTCAACTTGGGTTTTGTTTTCCCTACTTATGGGAAAGTTTGGGAAAATGAGCTAACATTAAATACATATTTTTTATGACTATTTTATCCCCATTAACAATTTAAAATTACAATATATCATTAAATGCATTCTTTTTTTATTTTGATTTAATATGGTATAATTGAAAATTTATACAAACGTTGTTTTCCATTCCTACTCAAAACAAACATGGGAAAAGAAATAAAGTGATATTTCCCGGTTACTTTCCTAGCATTACCAAACGTGGGAAAGGAATCTTCCATTCCCATTCCTTGGGAAAAGACATGGGAAATGATTTCCCCTCAAATTCATTCCATGAACCAACCAGGCCAAAGATTGGAAAAGCAAACTCTATGTTCGATCCTTTCACTAGTAAAAAATAACCCTTGGGCGACCAAATTTTGCTCGATGAAAAATTATTCGTCGCTCAAAACCTTGTGCGACCAACTTTTGCGCGATGAAAAAAAAATTCGTCTCACAAAGTGACTGTGCGCGACGAAAAACAATTGGTCGCGCAAAGAGACTTTGCGCGACGACAATACATCGTCGCTCAAAGTGACTTTGTGCGACAAAACAATAAACTTCGTTGCGTAAAGTCCTTATAAAAATAAAAAAAATAAAAAAAATTCTTTTTTAAAATCTTTGCATGGCGTAATCCAAACATTTCGTCGCCTAAACCAATTTATTTTTTGTTTTTTATTTTGTATGCATAACACTTAAGAAATTAAACGGTATATATATTTTTATTATACAAATTTATAAATAAACCCAATCCTAGACATGTATTTATAAAAAAACCCAAGCACTATTTAAATATAGAAACACACCCAAAATCAACCTCAAAATCAATAATTGTATATTTTTTGGGTGTGTTTATAAATGGGTTTTGAGTGTATGTAATGATGGGTTTTGGGTGTGTTTATAAAGTGTTTTGGGTATTGGGTTTATTTATAATTTCAGCCTCCATTTTGGGTGTTTTGGTGAAACTCCATTTTTATTAAGTAGCTTTAAATTTATTGTTTTAGATCGGATCGGATTTTTTTTAGAAAAATATATTATTATTGTTCGGATTGGGCTTTTGTTAGAAAATATATTTTTTAAATTGACGATCGAATTAGTTCATTGTATTCATATAGGGTCAAGGAGTGTAGCTGTAAAAAATCATCAAAATCAGAGTTAAAATAACCGTCAAATCGTGATTTTTCATTTATAACTGTCGAAAAGTTTTGTCCCATTACTTGATCTCTAAATGTTTATTTTTTCCGATTTTTGGCGTATATTATCTCGAAGTATTAACAAACAAATTTGACGGTTGGATCGTTGGATCGTTGAAACTAGTTTTGTTGAATGCGTATGCCATCAAAACAATATATTCACTAACAATTAAGAGTTTATTTATACTTTTGTTAAATATAACATAAGATTTTGTGGTATCCACTAGTGTAAATATTTTAAATTGATGATCGAATTAGTTCATTGTATTCATATAGGGTCAAGGAGTGTAGCTGTAAAAAATCATCAAAATCGGAGTTAAAATAACCGTTAAATCGTGATTTTTCATTTATAACCGTCGAAATTTTTTGTCATGTTACTAGGTCTCTGAATGTTTGTTTTTTGCGATTTTTGGGGTATACGATCTTGAAGTATATACAAACAAGTCTGACGGTTGGATCGTTGAATGGTGTGTGTATATATATATTTATTTACTTATTAAGTAGCTTTAAATTTATTTATTTTGTACGTTTAACACTTAAGAAATTGAATAGTATATACATTTATTAAGTAGCTTTAACCTTATTTATATTTTTGTTCACCCGTTTTGCGTTTACTCCTATGATGGAAGGGCAAAGTTCCCCACTGCCTTGAGAACCATAAACTGGTCAACAAGTCAGCTTTCTTTGGTGTGCGAGCGTGCCACTGCGAGCAAACATTTCTAGCAGACTTAGTTTGGAATGGATAACTTGCGTCCCAAGTTACTGATTTCTGCAAACAAGCGATTGTGAATTTGGGTGAGGAATATCTCCCAAGTAAGTTCTTTTCCTGCCTCAGACTGGTGAGGACTTTAACAATTTATCTCAGTATAAAGAGGTTGTCTTGGTCAGAATGGTTGATGGGATTTAAACTGTTTTTTCGGCAGAACTGCCTTTTACAAAATTATAGCAATGAATGCTTATGCTAGAGAGAGATGAAGATATAGCTGGGACTTTATTTCTGTCGAGATGGAAGGTTCTGGTCTGGACTGGACTGGAGATGCCCGGGCTAGACTGGAAACGCTTGGGCTGGACTGGACCGTTGACAACCTTGACTGCTAAGCTTCAACTTGTAAATCGATACCAAAGGCTGATTCTGGCAGAGCTTCAATGTACCTCATGCTTTTGTGAAGCTTTTGAGTGGGCAGAACTGCAGTTTTCTCAGTCTGCACGGGCAGGAGTGACTGTTTTTTGAGGGCTTCAGTGGGCTAGAGACTGCACTGTGAATTTTGTTGAGGTTTTCCATATCTGGAGGAAGCTCAAACTTTACCTGTTTTGGTTTTTTGCTGAACCAAATTTGTAACGAGAGAAATCTCGTTTTGAATGACTTGCTTCTTAAATCTGGACCTTGGGAATTCTGATCTGGAGCTAGTTTCACTTGAAATTCAAGTGGGCTTGTTGGTTGATTTTGAACTTGTCTATTTGACGGTTTTCTTGTGTAAGATCTTTGTTTGATTGGATGATGAATTTTTTGTGTGTTTTACCCTGTTCACTCCTTCTTGTATTTATAGTGAAAATTAATAATGGGCGGCAAATCTCTTTCAGAAGATATCTCCCCTTTTTTTCTCTTTTAAAATGGAAAGAAAGAAAGTAGGATTTTATCAGTTTGGCAGATAGGCTTTCAAAAAACAGGCAATCACTTCCCTGTTTTTCTTGAGAAAGAACCTAATCTCTTTTCTCAATTTCAACTGCCCCTTGTGAGATTTCACCCGTGATGGTCAATTTGATTTCTTTTCTGGACAGCTCCCTACTTTCCTGCTTATCTCTCTCTGAGCTTGTAGCTTACTTATCTCTTTGGGAGAATTACCCTTTCTGTAGAGTAGAAAAAATCTCTGATTTAATATATATATATATATATATATATATGTATATGTAAGAGGGATTTTTATCTTCTGATTTTTCAAGGTTTTTTCAGAACAGCTTGATGACATAAACTTTTCAATCACTTCTTTCATGACAGTTGCCATTGTTGACTTTTCTTCATCCCAGAGATGTCACGTGGGATTGTTTCCTATCTCTGGGCTCCCCCCTTTTCATCACAATGGGGCTGTGAGGCCCAGGTTTTGGGTTGGGCTTTTCTTAGATTTTGGGCCTCATTTTCGCTGGGCTGGGTGTGTCAATTTTTAGGCCCAAACAATGCCCCCTTAAGTCTGAATCGTTTTTGGAACGGTTTCAGACTTAAATGACATGGCCATTAAATTGGCGCGTGGTAAATTCCTCCGTTATCCCACGTCTGCCACGCTTCCCCACTAAGCTAGTGCCCGTGTGGAGCAGTTTTTAGTTACTAGCCTTTTATTAGCTAGTCAATATCAGATGACGCTTTGTCTTCTCCACGTCGCTGTCTTCTCTTTCCCACGTTTTCTGGCTTCTTTAAAAGACTTTCAAAAAACCATTGTTCCTGTTCACCTGAAAACCTAGTACTTTCAAACTTCGTTTCCCCTGGGCTTTTCTTTCGATAATTCCTTTTGCTAAAAGAAACCTGCCTTGCCTATCGTGACAACCTCCCTTTCAGAAAAATAATTCCGAGAAATGTCTTCCCCGAAATCTCGTGCTCAATCTTCCTCTGTTCCAGTTCTTCCAGATTACATTACTGGGGCTGGGATTGATAAGCATGCGATAGAGGTTAGGAGCAAGCTCCATCCTTTTGCCCAGAAAAACCTAGACGAAAATGTCCTCCATTTGTTCGAAAACACCTTGGTGCTGGGGCCTCACTGGTTTGGTCCCGTTCCTCCCGAGATGGCAGAGCTGATGAAGAAGGATGTTGAGGCCCCTCTATGTTTCGAGAGTTCTTCTGCTCTGGCTTCTCACTCTTGGGTTAGCAAGAATTTGAGCCGTTCGTTCCCGTCTAGTGAAGTGAGAAACAGTCCAGTCAAATGGGCTGATTGGATTGACAGACTTCTTCCCCGTTTTGGGGGCTCACTGGAGGCGGGCTGGAATTTATGACGCCATACTCCTATCTAGGCAATCTATCAACAGGGATGAGAACCTGCTTGCTGCTGCTCTGTGTTTCTGGAATTCTGCCAGTAACACTTTCGATTTTCGTATAGGCCCCATGGCTCCAACTCTGCTGGATATGGCTCAGATTTTTGGTTTTAGGCCTCATGGAAGACCTGTTGATGCTGTTGGTGATTATCACAGGAAGAAAGACCAGCAGATGCTAGCCAAGCCATTCAACATTTCTCCAGCCCTGATCAACCAGAATTGCTCCTTCTCCAATTATCTCAGAAAATTTAGTGCTGAGAAGGACAAAGATCAGCAGCACATGTTGTTTCTCCTGTATTGGCTGAACAGGTTTATTCTGCCCAATCGTTCTTCTGCAGTTCTGCTTGAGTATAGACATCTGGCAGAAGCTCTGCATAATCACACTGATGTTGGACTTGGGCCTACAGTTCTGGCCCATTTATTCAAGAACCTGCATACTGCCACCTTGGAGTATCCGCTAAATCTGTCTGCTCCTGGGGCCTTCTGGATGATTCAGATCTGGCTGCAGGTCTATTTTCCTGAGTTAAGTTTTCCAGATATAGTTCTGCCTGAGGACCAGGTTTTGGCTCAACCATTGTTGTCAGCAGAAGTCCCCAAGAGGTCAATTGATGAGTACCTGATGATCTTCAGGCATTGTACCAAGAGGTCTGCAGCGCAGTGGCAAGTGGTGATCAGGAGAACCTATCCTTGGTTTCAACCTGGACATCGTCTGTTTGAGAAGGAGCCAGAAGAAGAATCTGCCAGAACTGATTTCAGGAAGAAGTTCCTGAGTGTGACCTTACCCACAGATCTGCCTCACGGAGGAGGAAAGCCTCCAAATTATCATTTATGGGCGGAAGTCTACCATCCCAACTTCTGTGCAAGGCAGCTTGGCTGCCCTCAACTCATACCCCTCAAGTCATACAGAAGCTGCAATCGGGGCTCTTCTTGGAGGGATGCAGATGACTTGGAGGTCCACAAAGATGTCAGGTGTGCAGTGAATAAGATCAACAATAGTGCAGATGCCCTTTATCCTTCATGGGAATTGAACTCCTGCAGTTCTGCGGAGTTTGATGCTTGGTGGAAAGCCAGATTCCGTGACCTGCCTGCTTCTAGCACCGCACTTCAGGTCCTTTTTAAGGGCTGGGACAATTGGACTGTTCATACAGACGAGGAGACTCACAAATTCATGGTGCAGACCATCAAAGACATCAACATGCAAGTTATAGAAGGTAATCTCTCAATTCTGTCTGTTGTTGCCCATTCTGTTTTTAGTGATGATGCTAATCTTTTTTCTGTCTGTATTCAGATCCCTCTTTGACAAAGTGGAGAGGTGTTTGGTAAGTTTTGATGTTTGTTCAGCTTCTCCTACTACTCCTCTACTGGATTGACCCTTGATTTTTGTTTTCTGCATAGTTAATTCTGTTATTGCTGCTGGGGATCTAGAGTTGCCCTCCGGGGATGGAGAAGAGGAAGAAGAGGAAGAAGAAAAAGATCAGGTAGAACAGACTCATGTTGAGGCCACTTCTCCTGTTAAAAGAAAAAGAAAAGAAACTGCCCAATCTGTGACTCCAGGTATTCTTTGAGAGTTTCCTTTTTGAGTTCTTCATAATCCTGTTCTGTCATAATCTTTAAGACTCATTTTCTGTTCGTTGCAGCTGGAAGTCCTTCTCCTCCTCTTACTAAGTCAAAAAGACTTAGAAAGAAGATTGTAGAAGAATACGTGGCCCCGAAGGGAACTAGGGCAGTTCCTACCACCACTTCTGGCACGGATGACGATCTGAGAGAGGTTTTCGAAGCTGTGGAGCAAGAAAAGGAGCTGGAAGAGCTAGAAGAAGTAGGAGAGGGGCCTCAAGAAAAGGCCAAGACAGTGGAAGAAGAGGTGAGTCTATATATATTCGGCAGTATTTGTTCCTACTGCACTTTTATTTCTTCTGTTCTGACTTCTGTGCATTTGTAGGAGGAAATCCCTGCTGAGGTGATAGCGGAGAGCATTGCCTTGGCTCGGAAGCAGCAGGAAGATATAGGGACAAGGCTAGCTAACTCAGAGGTGGCCCTCTTTGATGATCCAGAGGCGGAACATTCTACTGCTGCTCCAGCAGCTGAGGACCAAGCGGAACAATCCGGATCAAAGCCTGGGGAGCAGGCAGAACAAGTGGTTCCTGCTCCTGAAACCGTAGTAGAAGTAGCTGCTGCCGTTCTTGGGTTTATGGTGAGTTCTGCCCTTACTCTGTCTTTTCCTATCTTATGTGGTTTTGTTCTGTTCCTTTGTCTCTCTGACCCTCAAATCTTTACAGGTAGAAATACAAAAAGCTGCTGGGACCTTGGCGGTGAGGACCACCCCTTTGCAACCTCCGATTGTTGCTGTGAGTGTTTTTGCACTTTTGTCTTCTTCTTTTTTGTCTCTACCTTGTTTTTGACTTATGCTTCCTTCTGCAGATGCCTATTCATTCCCTTGCAGGTTCATCTGCCACGGCCTCTTTGAAGCCATGGACCTAGATGCCCAGCTAGACAAATTGGAAAAGCTCAGCTCCCCTGTAGGCAAGATAAGGTCCAGGGCAGTGGAAGAAGCAATGGAGAGACTGAAGATCTGGCAGTCTACTAAACTGGAGCTGGATGAGGGCAGGGAGGCCTTTGACCAGCTGATGAAGGATCTGGATCTGCTGCACAGACAGAACATGGCCCCAAAACCTATACTCGAGATGAGCCTTGTCTTGGCGAGGGATGTGCTCAACCTTCACGACCGTTATGAAGATCTAAGGCCCACCTTCAAAACCTCTGAGTTCTGCAAGGCCACTCATGAAGCCAACTTGGCTGATTTGCAAAGCAGAAAGCAGAACTGGACCAGATGGTTGTGGGGTATAAAGAAGCCAAAGCTACTGCGGATAAATTGGAGAAACAGATTGCGGAGCTTCAAAACAGCTGGCAGAGCGCCGGGAAGTGCAGCACAGGCTCGGGGCTGGATTGAGCTCCAAGACCAAGGCCACTTTTCTTGTGCAGAACATGGTTGCAGCTTCTAGGCCAGCCCTGGAGATTGCAGAGGCTTCAATTCATCAGGGTGTGCTGCTTCAAAAGGAACTTTCTATCAAGAAGACCAATCTGCAAGAGACTCTCAGAAAATTAGGATTTTGATTTTGTTTTTTTATTATTATTTTTTTTTATGAACAGCTTGTCATGGGGAAGGCCCTATGACTTTTTTTTATTTTAAATAAAGTTTATTTTTTGTTGCAATTCTAGTTTTTGATTTCTATTGATGAAATAAATAGAAACAGAAGTAGAAGTAAAAGTACAGAAGGGAACAAACTTAAAATAATCTTAGAACAAAGGTAATTTTAAAAGAATCAAAAGATCTTCAGTGTAGTCTTATGTCTATCCCAGGGTCTGTTTGTACAGCCTGTGAATCCCACATGGTTGGATAAAACTTTTTTAACCATTTGCCATGGATTGGGGCAGTATGAATTTCTCCGTCCCTATCCTGCAACCTATATGCCCCCATTCCAAGGATCTGGTTGATTATGAAAGGGCCTTCCCATGTAGGTGACCATTTTCCATAACCAGCCACATGTGTTCCAAGGGGCAGAACCGCTTTCCAGACTATCTCTCCTTCTTCAAAACTCTTGTTTTTAACTCTTTTGTTGTAAGCCCTTGATACAGCTTGTTTTCCTGCCAGGAGTTTGTTGAGAGTGTCAATTCTGCCTGCATCCAATCCTTCCAGTTCCAGCAGCATGGCCTGGGAGTAGTTCTCCCCTACTAAGTTATGTTGGTGAGCAATTCTGAGGGACTGAACGGCTATCTCCATAGGTAGAATTGCATCATGGCCGTAGGTTAACGCATAGGGGGTCATGCCAGTTGCTTCTCTTTTTGAAGTTCTATATGCCCACAGAGTCTTTGACAGCTTTTCATGCCATTGTTTTGGATTCTTCTCAAGCATTTTCCTGATAATGTTGATTATCACTTTGTTGCTTGACTCCGCATGTCCATTGGCTTGGGCATAATAAGGAGTGGACTGGAGCAATCTGAATTTGAATGCCTCTGCCATGTCCAACATTTCTCTAGATATGAAATAGGATCCTCTATCAGTTATGATTGATTCTGGGATGCCAAATCTTTGTATAATCTGTTCTTCTATGAAAATGATGATCTCTTGAGATGTAGTGGATTTAACAGCCTTGGCTTCCACCCACTTAGTGAAGTAGTCTGTGGCAACAATGATAAAGCAGTGCTGCTGGCTGCTGGCTGGATAGATCTTGCCAATGAGATCCATTGCCCATCCTCTAAAGGGCCATGGCTTTACCACCGGATTCATGGGAACTGATGGAGCCTGCTGGACTGGGCCGTGTCTTTGACAAGATTCACATCCCTTGGAATAGTTAATGCAATCTTTCATCATGGTTGGCCAGAAGTAGCCATATCTTCTAATTAACCAGCACATTTTTCTCCCACCTTGATGCGCTCCACAGATTCCTTCATGGGTTTCCCCCATAACTTTCATGTATTCTTTCTTTCCGAGGCACCTTAAAAGCACCTCATCCTTACTTTTTCGGACCAAATCTTCATTCCACATAAGGTAGTTTAAAGCCATGATTCTGACTCTCTTCTCGGAGGGCAAAGTTGGATATCGTAGATAGGTCATGATAGGATTTCTCCAATCATCTTCAGTGATTGTGGCAGAATTGACATCTATCTCCATCCCCCTGGCCAGAACAGATGGTAGGCTTTTCTTTCCTATCCTGATGATTCTTTGTACACACTCTTCGGGCATTTGTATGCCTGTTGCCACCTGGGCCAATTCATTGGCTGCAAAATTTTTCTTCCCTTGGGATATGTTCCCAAGTGGCTTCTCTGAATTCTGTCAGAAGATTCCTAGCTGCCACCAAGTAGACAGCCAAAGAAGGGCTTAGGCACTTGTATTCCCCAGCAATTTGTTTTAAAACCAGCATGGAATCTCCCAGAATTTCCACAGATTGGATTCCTAGTTCTACCAGCATTTCCAAGCCAATGATTAAGGCCTCATATTCTGCCCTGTTGTTGGTGCATTGGAAATCCAATTGGAAAGAGTAGCAGTGTCTGATTCCAAGTGGTTCTTCCAAAACAATTCCTGCCCGGAAGTTATATCAGTTTTTGATCCATCAAAGTATAACTTCCAAGGTGCAAGATGAACTGAGTAGATAGGATTGTTGAGGCAGGTGTGAGCTCTGGTTAATAGATCTGCATTTGCTATGTCTAAAGAGTCCATATTTTCAATCTCCTCTCCGGGATGATCTGCTAGGAAGTCTGCCACAGCTTGTCCTTTGACGGCTTTCTGAGGAACATATCTGAAGGCAAATTCTGTCAAGGCCAAGGTCCATTTTCCAATTCTGCCTCTTAGCATTGGTCTTGTTAGCATGTATTTGATCAGATCTGTTTTGGCAATGATATAGATGGTGTATGGCAGCATGTAATGTCTGAGCTTCACAGCAGTGAAGTACAAGGCTAGGCAAAGTCTTTCAATTGCAGAATATTTTCTTTCCACCTCTGTTAGAGTTCTGCTCAGGTAGTAGACTGCTTGTTCCTTTCCTTCCTTGTTATCTTGAACCAATAAACTTCCAATGGATACTTCTGATGCAGATATATAGAGCTTGAGTGGTCTGCCTCTCTTTGGTGGGGACAGAACTGGTGGATTTGAGAGGTAATGCTTGATTTCCTCAAAGCTTGTTGGTGCTGTTCTTCCCACTTAAAGGTTTGTTCCTGTTTCAATCTTAACAAAGAAGAGAAAGGCTGGATCTTTCCTGCAGAATTGGATATAAATCTCCTTAAAAAATTAATTTTTCCTAAGAGACTTTGCAATTCCTTTTTGTTCCTAGGCGGCAAAGCTTCTATGATGGATTTTGTTTTGTTATTGTCGATCTCTATGCCTCTTTGGTGGACCAAGAATCCTAGGAAATTTCCCGCTTGAACTCCAAAAACGCACTTCTTTGGGTTCATTTTCAGTTTATGTTGCCTCATTCTTAGGAATGCTCTTCTTAGATTTGTCATGTGGTTTCCCTCCTCTGGTGATTTAATCACCACATCATCAATATAAACTTCCAAGGAATGTCCTATCATATCATGGAAAACAGAATTCATTGCCCTTTGATAGGTAGCCCCTGCATTTCTCAAGCCAAAAGGCATTACAGTGTATTCAAAAGCACCTATATGCCCTGGACACATGAAGGCTGTCTTGTGGATGTCTTCTTCTGCCATCTTGATCTGATTGTAACCTGCGTTGCCATCCATAAAAGATAGCATCTGGTTGTGGGCAGCTCCATCTACTAGCATGTCTGCCATTGGCATAGGGTACTCATCCTTGGGAGAGGCTTCATTCAGGTTTCTGTAATCCACGCAGATTCTGACTGCCCTAGTTTTCCTTTTTAGAACTGGTACAATATTAGCTAGCCAATCAGCATAGATGGCAGGCCTGATGAATCCTGCCTTGAGCAGCCTTTCTATTTCTTCTTTGACTTTCAGTTCTGTGTCCATGGACATCCTTCTTCTGGCCTGTTTGACTGGAAGGTATCCCTCTTTGATTGGCAGCCTGTGTTCTACCAATTCCCTATCTAATCCTGGCATCTCATGATAATGCCAAGCAAAACAATCTTTGAACTCTTGTAGAAGTGCAACGAGTTCATTCTTAAGTGGTTCTTTCAATAGTGCGCTGATAAAGGTAGGCCTTGGATCCTCCCCTGTTCCTAAGTTTATTTCCTGCAAAGGATCTTCTACCTCTGGCAGAGAGTCATCCAGTGCGGCTGGTGCAAAATCTAACACTTCCTCCTGTAGTTCCTCTTCCTCCTAGCCTTCCGTGCTTTCATGAGTGAATTCTGCCATATTGATGGCTGGATTCTGCGCAAAAAACTTTCTTTCCTCCCAGTATATCAACAATCTTTTTGTAATGGACCGGATTGTTGCAGCTCGATCCTTTTCTTGTTGATTGGGACTAAACATCAAAGTTTTGGAAGTTTAGAACAAAAGGTCTGTTCCAATCCTCCAAAGAATTGGTTAGACCTTCTTCAATGAGCCTCTGGGCCGTGACACCATGGGGGCGGCCGTTCTGGTTGACTCCAAAGAAGGTGAAAGGACCAAGGTCATCATGATAGTACCTTGCCTCACAACACATGACAGAAGGTAGGAATGGCCGTGGATCGGCCTCTATTATCTCCATGTAGCCTTCTTCATTCCATAAAGCTAACTGTTGATGAAGAGTGGAAGGAACACATAGACTCTGATGAATCCAGTTTCTGCCAAGCAGTGCATTGTAAGTGGTAGAAGTAGTATCTACCACAAAGAATGCAACCTTCAGCTTCTTGCTTCCTACTAAAACATCCACGTCCAGGATCCCAAGGGTTTTGGTGATGCCCCCTGCGAAATTGGTGACGGTCAGGCGGGTTGGAATTAAATCCTTTTCTGTTCTGCCCATTTTGCTCAGCATTCTGTGAGGCAGAAGGTTGATGGCTGCACCTCCATCTACCATAATTTTGGGGATAGGAACACCCCCAAAGTTTGCTGTTATAAACAAGGGTCTGAGGTGGTTTGCCATTTCTTTGGTTGGTTTGGAGAAGCAAAGCTGACCTATAGCCAGCTTGTTGGTTGTTCCTTCTGTCCTGGGATTGCCTGTTTGCTGTTCTGGCATTTCTTCCGCTTCTGCCAACCTGCATTCAAAACTTCCTTGGGAAAATACGTCTCCGTCCAGAGTGCTCTTCTGTCCCTCTACCGCCCAGAACTTTTCTGGCAGAATGAACACCATATTGATGCCTAGGTCAGCACGTAACAAGTCCTCCAATTCTGCACCAAAGGCCTCAGTTTCTGCATCCAACTCTCCGTCATAATCCATCTGTTCTCCATCGTATTCCTCCGTCCATTCTCCCAGTTCTTCTGTTCCGAGGAGCGCATTCTGGTCATCTGCAGATGGTTCATAATCCAACTGCTCCTCTTCATATCCCTCAGCCCAGTCTTCTTGTCCTTTTCCTGGAATAGGATCAGTTTTTTCCTCTGGTTGGGGAGTTTTAAGTAGATCTTCTGAGGTGGAGGCAGGATGGATAGAAGGTTTCTCTGAGGATTCTGCTTTCGTCAACTTCTGTGGTTGAGAGATTGCTTGTTCTGTCTGGGGAAGTATTTCTGGCTCTTTCCCTTTTTTGGCAGAATTGGCCTCTGGAAGCACCTGTGCGTTTTTCTCGTTATTGAGGAATGTGCAATACTGTCTCTGAACCCTCCTCCTTTGAGTTCTTTAGCTCCATTGTTGGTCTGCCATTCTTCCCGACAGAATACCACCTGCCTTCAATGATGGCCGCCAAAGGTTTATCACTTCCGGGCACTTTTATTGATATTTCCTCCTTGGGCTGCTTAGTCATTCTTCTGCTGGATTGGACAGGCCTAGGGTAGTTTCTTTGTCTGGCTCTATCATGGGGCGTGGTTCCAATCCGGTCAAAAACACTTGGAGTGGGCAGCTCCTGTTTTTCCAGGACTACTTCCAGCTCAGCCTCACACTTGCACCTGCTCAGAGCACTATTCCAGCTGAAATGGTTGCTTTTGGTCTTTCCATAGTCTCTTTTGAAACTATTCTGCTTCTACTGGAGCCAGCCTCTATAGCCGGTCTGTCCTTCTTTCGTTCTGGCCAATTTAGGTTGACCATATTAACTTGTGGCGGGGGAAAAGGATCTATGGTGACGGATGGAGGTTTTTCTGCTAGCTTTAGCCTTCCTGCTGTTATCCCTTCCTGTATGACATCTCTGAAAACAACACAACTATTGGTAGAATGATTCCAAGAATTGTGCCATCTGCAATACTATCTGCCCTTGAGTTCTTCTGGTTTGGGCATTCTGTGAGGCGTCTCTATTGCTTTCTGTAGCAACATTTCATCAAACAAGGCATCTACTTTGGTCAGATCAAAGGAATACACCTTGTTCTGCATGGGTTTGTTTGGAACAAACCCTCCTGTGAATGGTGGCGGCTTCTGATCCCTTGGAGGCTTTGTAAAAGTTTTACAACTGATGGGATGCTTTAATTTTGCCATTTCCGCAACTGCAACCTCTCTCTCCTCCGATTCCTCTGCATCTTCTTCTGACTCTACTTCAATCATATGTATTGAGGAAGAAGGGGATTTATAATACGTGCCTTTGGAAGAGTTTCTCTTCTGCTGTTCCTCTCTGAGCAATTCCTCGTACTTGGCCGCTTTATTTGCCAGTTCTGCCAGATCTCCAAACAGCATCCCATCAAATCTTTTTCTCAGAGAAATTTTGAGGGCAGCCTGAGCCATTTGGATGAAGTGTCTTTCTTCCATGGGGATTCGGCACTTTATTTTGAGCTTCCTGAACCTGTTTATAAAGTCTTGGGCAGGTTCATCCTCACTCTGTTTGAGAGCGGCAAGGTCACTGATGGTGACTTCTGGCTGAATCCTGTAATAGTAGTCATGGAAGACGCTCTCCATTTGTTCCCAAGTCTGAATAGAATTTGCTGGCAGATTAGTGTACCAAGTGAAAGCTTGTCCAGAGAGAGAATTCCCAAAAAGTCTTAGCTTTAACAGTGGGTTATTCTCTATGGCTATGCATTGGGTAGAAAATCTGCCTACGTGCTCGACTGATGAAGCATGAGGATCCTCTCCGTTGAATAAAGTGAAGTTTGGTACTTTAAAACCTGGGGACAAGGGTATCTGATCAATGTAAGGTGGATATGGCTTTCTATAGGTGGGTCTTTCCCCCCTCCTGGCCTCAGGCTCCATCATTTCCCTGATCATCCTCTGCAATGCCCCCACGTCATTTAGAGCATTAACAGGGAGGAGGTTTTGTCCCTGTTCTGGCTGGGCATAATTAATTCGTGGTTCTGCCCTATATGGTCTAGGCAGAACTTCTTCCCTGTGCTCCTCCGGCTCTTCCAGGCCTGGGTGGTTCCTCCAGTTTGCCCCCTGCCTGTTCCTGTCATTGTTAGCATAAGGGTAGTTTCCCCCTCTGCCTCTCCTTCCTCTTGCAGGTGGAGGGAATGGATTGGGGTCCATCCTTCTGGGCCTGTAGGGTAATACTGCTGGCTGTTCAGGCAGAATTTCCATAGGGTGATCTTGTGGGGCCGCTTGTTGTGGAACAGGCTGAGGCTCTGGTTGATTCTGCGGAACTTGTCCTGGCGCAGGACCTTCTGGCCGTATTGGGGCCAGACGTTCTTGGATAGGAAAAGCTACTTCCCTGTGTCCAGCCTGGATTTCCCCCCGTTCTGGTATCCCAGCTACCTGTGCAACAAGAGGATTCTCTTGATATGGCCATGCCAATCCTGGTGGGGGACCATAGGGAAGGTCTAGTTGCTGGACCACCTCATCTGGATTGGGAATTCTGGCCATGGCAACCTCTCGGTCCTTCCTGAATTGCCTGTTGACCTGCCATTGCATCATGGCTGTCATATTATTTAGAGTATCTTGGCTCCTTTGTGTTGTGACCTCTTGTCGTAACACAGATTCCTGTATTAGGTTCATCCTTTTGGAACCGGTCCTGGACCTCCTGCTCCCTGTGCTGCCATGTGCTGAATGCCGGGCATCACTCTCTTCTGATTCCAGTCCTTCCCTGAGGGCCACTTGGTTTATTTCCATGTCGTGGTGTGGGTTCTGGCTAGAGCTTCCAGTATTCATGAACTGGCGAAGAACTCAATGAGAATATGTATACTGAGAAGTCCCACTGGGCGTGCCAAATTGTTCACCCGTTTTGCGTTTACTCCTATGATGGAAGGGCAAAGTTCCCCACTGCCTTGAGAACCATAAACTAGTCAACAAGTCAACTTTCTTTGGTGTGCGAGCGTGCCACTGCTAGCAAATATTTCTAGCAGACTTAGTTTGGAATGGATAACTTGCGTCCCAAGTTACTGATTTCTGCAAACAAGCGATTGTGAATTTGGGTGAGGAATATCTCCCAAGTAAGTTCTTTTCCTGCCTCAGACTGGTGAAGACTTTAACAATTTATCTCAGTATAAAGAGGTTGTCTTGGTCAGAATGGTTGATGGGATTTAAACTGTTTTTTAGGTAGAACTGCCTTTTACAAAATCATAGCAATGAATGCTTATGCTAGAGAGAGATGAAGAGACTGCTGGGACTTTATTTCTGTCGAGATGGAAGGTTCTGGTCTGGGCTGGACTGGAGATGCCCGGGCTGGACTGGAAACGCTTGGGCTGGACTGGACCGTTGACAACCTTGACTGCTAAGCTTCAACTTGTAAATCGATACCAAAAGCTGATTCTGGCAGAGCTTCAATGTACCTCATGCTTTTGTGAAGCTTTTGAGTGGGCAGAACTGCAGTTTTCTCAGTCTGCACGGGCAGGAGTGACTGTTTTTTGAGGGCTTCAGTGGGCTAGAGACTGCACTGTGAATTTTGTTGAGGTTTTCCATATCTGGAGGAAGCTCAAACTCTACCTGTTTTGGTTTTTTGCTGAACCAAATTTGTAACGAGGGAAATCTCGTTTTGAATGACTTGCTTCTTAAATCTGGACCTTGGGAATTCTGATCTGGAGCTGGTTTCACTTGAAATTCAAGTGGGCTTGTTGGTTGATTTTGAACTTGTCTATTTGACGGTTTTCTTGTGTAAGATCTTTGTTTGATTGGATGATGAATTTTTTGTGTGTTTTACCCTGTTCACTCATTCTTGTATTTATAGTGAAAATTAATAATGGGCGGCAAATCTCTTTCAGAAGATATCTCCCCTTTTTTTCTCTTTTAAAATGGAAAGAAAGAAAGTAGGATTTTATCAGTTTGGCAGATAGGCTTTCAAAAAATAGGCAATCACTTCCCTGTTTTTCTTGAGAAAGAACCTAATCTCTTTTCTCAATTTCAACTGCCCCTTGTGAGATTTCACCCGTGATGGTTAGTTTGATTTCTTTTCTGGACAACTCCCTGCTTTCCTGCTTATCTCTCTCTGAGCTTGTAGCTTGCTTATCTCTTTGGGAGAATTACCCTCTCTGTAGAGTAGAAAAAATCTCTGATTTAATATATATATATATATATGTATATGTAAGAGGGATTTTTATCTTCTGATTTTTCAAGGTTTTTTCAGAACAGCTTGATGACATAAACTTTTCAATCACTTCTTTCATGATAGTTGCCATTGTTGACTTTTCTTCATCCCAGAGATGTCACGTGGGATTGTTTCCTATCTCTGGGCTCCCCCCTTTTCATCACAATGGGGCTGTGAGGCCCAGGTTTTGGGCTGGGCTTTTCTTAGATTTTGGGCCTCATTTTCGCTGGGCTGGGTGTGTCAATTTTTATGCCCAAACAATTTTAAATCGTAAAATAAAATAATTTTATTTTTTTATTATTCATAACAATTATTTGTATAAATATTGTGCTACGAACCAATTTTTCGTCTCTCAAAAGTTTGCACAACCAATAGTTCGTCACGCAAAACTCTAAAAATTTGGGCGGGTACCAAAAATGGGACTCGGGATTTTAAAAAAAAATGTTTTAGACTTTGCGCGACCAATATTTTGTGTCGCTCAAAACTTTGCGCGACCAATATGTATTTTCGTCATGCAAAAATTTAAAAATTTGGGCGGGTACCAAAAATGGGACGTAGGATTTTTATTTTTTTTACTTTGCGAGACCAATATACGAATATTCGTCGCGCAAAACTTTGCGCGACCAATATGTTTCGTATCGCAAAACTTTGCGCGACCAATATTCCAATATTTTCCATCGTGCAAAACTTTGCGCGACCAACAATATTGTTCGTCGCACAAAGTGATACAGTTTTTAAAACAAAGATAACTCCTCCACCATTTTCTCAATGTCTTTCTCTACAGTCCTCTCTCTTTCCCTCTCCCCAAATCCCACCATTTCTCTCACACTCACTCCTCTCACTTAATCTCTCATCATCTCTCTCTTCACTATCTCTCACTCTCACTCACTATCTCTTCTCTCTTTTCACTATCTCTCACTTTCACTCACTCTCTCATCTCTCTATCACTATCTTCTCTAATTCTCTCACACTCACTTCTCTCTCTCATTCTCACTCACTCTCAATCTTGCCAAAAGGTATATTCTCTCCAAATTTTAATTTTTTTTCATTAATATGTGTTTTTGGAGTTAGTTTTGAGTTTGTGTGGGGTTTGGGGTTGAGTAAAGGGGAGGGATTGGAGTTTGGGTTGGATTTGTGGTATAATAATTTTAGGGGAGATTATTTTCATCGAGACTTTGACGACTAAAGTTGAGGATTATGCAGCTATCAAAACATATCCAACGCCACTACCACCACAATACGCTTGTATTAGGATTTTATTATTGTACATTGTTAATTTATGTGTACATTTTGAATATTATATATATTTATTGGATAATTTGATCACTATTTTTCATATGTAATTTTATTTTGAATATGTCAATTTAAATTAAAGTAATTAAAAAAATCATACAATTAAATTAAATTTAAAAAGTAAAAATTTAAATAAATTAATATAATTAAATTAATATCAATTTAAATTAAAGTAACGAAAAAAATCATACAATTAAATTTAATTTAAAAAGCAAAAATTTGAATAAATTAATATAATTAAAGAAATATTAAAGAAATAATAAAACAAAAAGTCAAAAACCAAAATATTTCATTGCGAAAATATTTGCGCGACATTAGCATTCGTCGCACAAAACTCTAAAAATTTGGGCAGGTACCAAAAATGGGACACAGGAATTTTTTTTATTTTTAAATTTGTTAAAGACTTTGCGCGACCAAAGTTTTTCGTTCTGCAAAACTTTGCGCGACCAATATTTTTCGTCGCTCAAAGTCACTTTGCGCGACCAATATTTTTTCGTCGCGCAAAGTGACTTTGCGCAACCAATATTTTTTCGTCGCGCAAAGTCTTTCTTCAAGATCTTTGCGCAACGGATTCTGCAGGACGAAGTTTCTGTCGCACTGAAATTTGTGCGACTACAATGTATTTGGTGCGACGAAATTCTCTTCATCGCACAAAGTGTAAAATGTAGTAGTATCTACCCTCTCCTCGACCCAAGAAAGAAGCTTATGGGCCAAATTTGAAACCTAGTTTTTGACTTTTTGGCCTAAATCAAAACCAGAGCACCGTTGCCTGGTTCCATGTGAAAAGGTCATAGTTTAATTGCGAGAGAGAACGATTTAAGTTGTTGATCGGGAATTGAGAAGAGAGAGGAGGTGAGGGATTTGAAGGGGTTTGGATGGGTGGAGAAGTTTAAAGAGGACTGCGACTATGTGAATGAAAGAGAAAATTGTGCTTTTTTAGGACGTCGTTGGAGTGAGAGTGTGAAATAGAAGTGAGGGCTTTGACAGGTGAACCTACATCAATGCGTCAATGCGGATCTCCCTCACACTACTTTCTCTATTAAAGGAAGAGTTATCTCTCAATTGTGCATGTAATCATCCACCCATCATCTATCCATCTATCAATCTCTCTTCTCAATTGTTTTTCTTTGTATTGAGTTGCTAGCAGATGCTAGCTCTAAAGAACTATTATCAACTTCATTGTCAATAGTCTCAATTCTTGGAAATTCAAAACGATTTTCAAATGCTACTGTCTCAATATTAGAATCAGGTACAGACGAGATAACTGCAGATATTTCAGTATGTTTTCTTTTGAAAAATCCATCATTCTAGGTTGTTTCTTCATCTACAAACCAATTACAAATTTTATTAAGGACATTATTCATAAATTATCCATCAATTCTAGGTTGTTTCTTGATTGGAGAGCGAACAACCAAATTCAATTATTTTCTTTTGATGTGTGTGCCTGCTTGAAACTAAGTTCATGTTACTTCATATAGGAACAAAAATTAAAATCTCAATCTTTTTTTATTTGGGTAGAAGTCTACTTCCTATTTGATAAGGGAGATTTTTTGAAACTTTATTTGATTGGCTACTTTTATTTTTTATTAATATATTGGTGGGCCCAAAATTACTTGGTCTTTCTATTTGAAATCACTTACCCTTTTACTTGCAAAGAGATAAAAACGTATATTTCCTTTTGTTGGAGGGGGCCACAAACAGTTTATTATTATATTAACTTCCTAAATGTGTAGGAAAGCAAGAGCAAATATTAAATTTAGTAAAAAATTTGGAGGGGGCCCAGGCCCCTTCAGGCCTTAATAAGGCTCATGATATACTGTTGCCGCATGCAAGTTCAAGCTCACCGTTTTTTTTATAATATACGACTTCTGCAGTGGGATCATAAGTCTGTTGCTCTTTGTGGAAGCTATGGACAAAATGATGAATCCTTTGGAATATGGGTCCTGCATGAAGAATTTGGAAATCGGCCGAACAATAATTATTATAATGCTACTTTGGACCAAACACCTTGCTTTTGATCTCACTTTGACCCACGAGCCTTTGGCATTTTGGAAGAGCGATGAGATTCTTTGGTTTCTACATATGGTTATCTACCTCTAGTCTCATACAACCTCCATACAAAAGCATCATCTCAGTGTCTTCCTATTCTAGGCGTTCGGGAAGGTTTTGCCGCTGTTATTTACCAGCCTAGTATGGTTTCTGTTTTGGGATTTAGAAAACTTCACTCTGCCTCAACCAAGGTCTTGTAACTCAAGTGATTAAGAATATTATTTATTGTGCACCCATGATCCTAAGTTCAATTCCCCCTTCCCCAACAAGGTCCGCTCCACACCATACAAGATAATTGTTGCACCCATGGCACATGCAGTCAGTCGTTCTTTCTCATAGTTATCTTTTGTTGAATTTTTCCGATAAGTCCAATTCAAATGGGATATAGCCAAAACATTTAACAACACTCTTATGTAGTGGCCAGCAGATGCTAACAACTTTAGGACCTCAAAGATTAGTAGTGTTTTCTTTAATTTTCATTCAATTTAAGAGCTGCAAGTTTATATTGTCTAAGAAATTTGGTTGCCTACTCGATCAAGTATTAGCTTTTGACTTTAATTTTCTTCTAAAAGCTGTGTATATATTGCTATTGAACATATCACACCAACTCTGATGCAGCAATGCTTGATAATCTTATTGAGTATCTGCAATACTAGTTTGGTGCAGAGCCCAAAAGGAAAATTTGCCCTGAAATATTTGCTCTCTCCGTTACATATATTATTGCTTAAGTCTATCATGGAAGTTATGTCCAAATAATTCTTGGTTATCTTTTAAATATAGTTAACTTCTACACTATTGTATTTCTTGAAATTCTTAATGTAATGTTTTCATTATACTAATGCATTGATAATCTTATATTATCTAGTGCTTATGCACCCAATTTGGTGGAAGACATTTAAATGTCTCATTTTAATATTCATTTGGTTAATCCCAAGTTCATTCTCCAATTCGCATGAAAACTGATTAAAAATCTAAGAAAATTATATTCTATGCTTCAATCATTCAAACGCTCTTTAGTCACCAAGATTTATGATTTTGATAATTGACAAAAATCTGTTTATACGATTTGAAACTCAACGTCAAATAGGCAGGTGTAAATTGTAACGGGTACATCACACAAGGTTTGCAAGCAGGGAGCATATACAAATGGCTTAATTACACCAATATTCCCTGAAACTACAATCAAATCTCACATTGCACCCCCAAACTCAAAGTGGCCCACTTACATCTCTTGACCGAGGTTTGGTGACCCACTTTGCCCCATGCCGTCAACTCCTCCAAAAGTTTGTTAACTTTGATAACGTGGCAGGGGTGTTTTTGTAATTTCGTACAAATGGATCATTATTAACTAATTGAGTGGGTGACGTGGCAAGTGGAGCCCACCTCCACATAGATAACAAACAAATAATAAAAAATTCTTTATGCTGTAAATTAATTAAAAATTATAATAAAATAAAGGGAGATTCACTATTATACCCAATATAGGAGCCCAAATTTTAAAAAAAATACTATATGAAATAGACTTTAGAAACACTTAAAGCTCATTTACAACATAACAAAAAGGCTTTTAACTTTTTTAAAATTACAGAATTACCATTGATTTCTTAAAACAAACTCAACCCCAGAACCTCATAAAGAAAGCTCAAAACACTCAATAGGGCATTAAAGTAATTTAATAATCAAAATTAAATTCAATAGACCATCTATCATTTTTTGGATTTTTTTTTTTTGGTTTGTTTATAGAAATTAAATGTTGTAGGATTTATCTACATTATTATGCATTTTCGCCACACTCAAGGAAGGAGGGAAAGGAAGGAGAATTTTTTCTCCATGAGATTCAGTTTGGAACCAACTTTAGTCTTTACTGGAGGTTCTCTGAAGTGTGGGGGCCCTTAAGTGCTTGTCGTCTTAAAGTTTCTTTTGCTTGTGGGTGATATATGAGATGCGATATGCAGGAAGAAACGAACGAGAAAGGATCAATCCTTTGACGCCCCTGGCATTTCCAAGCAGTATGGATATGAGGAATGGGGAGAGTATATCTTATCCGTGAAGCTCATCTTTCGCAAAGGTTTGTGTTTGATGGCAATGGATTTTACCATTGTTGTGCTTCCATACCTTTCCCTGAAAAATGCGAATAGACTGATCTACGGACACTCAATATGTACGTTTTCTTATCTTTGTTCGTCTTTAAATTCCACTGTGTCAACTTTTACAACTGTCCATGGACCATGGGGACCTCTGAAGTCTGAAGGACAGTGTAAGCTCAACTATATACACGTGCCATCTGATGAGATGATTATTGCAAACCTGGATGTTTTGTTCCATGCCAGCCTGACAGTTATGAATGTTCAAACCTACCCAGATTCCCTGGTAATATTTCGACTCTTCCATTTGCCCTCTGAATAACAAACAAGAAAAGACAAGAGAAAAACTGCACTGAATACCACATTGCAGGGCCAGAGGAAAAAACAACCCCCAACATCCACATTCTTGACAATGAAAGCTTCAATAAATTTTCACCAGCATTGTGAATGGTTCTCTTAGATGTTTTTCTTTGCAAATGCTCACAATTACACTTACAGAACATACATATATCAGTCTTGTTCATTTTTATTGAATACCAACCCATTATTCATGCCCATTGAAGTAAATTGAAACATTCTAATAAATTTTCTAGAGACATGGTTGACAGTAAAACCAAAGGAAATGCAATACTCATTGAAATAAAATTTGCAATGTAACCTCTAATCCTTGGATTTGCGGTTCTGGAGTTTCTACAGATAATGCAATGATGAATTATTAAAGATAGAGGGACTCAATCAGTTCTCAAATTCTAAAAAAAAAAAAAAAAAAAAAAAAAAAAAAAAAAAAAAAAAAAAAAAAATTTTAATTTTTTTTTTATAAACCTTAACAAATTAAGCAAGAGATCAAAGCTTACATGTCCTTGCCCTGCCTCCTACTGGAAATAGTTGCCTAGAAGCTTTTTCTCTACCCATGAAGGTGACAGCACTGGACTTGTCTCACACTCCACAATCTCTCTTTGTGGGTCTTTGGCAGACTCATCCATGTTTACCTTCTCTGTGGGAAAAACTTTGACCCTCCATACCTTAAAAGTTTGGTCCAAGCTTGCACTATAAACCAACAAACCCTTCACCCCCACCACATTCTCTGTTTCCAAAGAAACTGCTAAGCATCTTACTGGCCCATGATGGCCTTCAATGACAGAAATGCATGAATGGAAGCAATTCCCTTCCTCTCTCCTCCAAACCCTTATGGTTGCATCCTCGGAGCCGCTGAAGACTAATTCTCCCAAGGCTACCAAGCAAAGAACAGCAAAATGATGACCTTGCAGAAACCCTCCATGGTTGTACCTCCCAGACATCTTCTCCTTCTCCCAAAAGTTTATAAGCCCATCTGATGAGCCAGAGTAGAGTAGGGTGGTGTTCGGTGACGAGCTCAATGCCAAGGCATTCACTGGTGAAAGCTGGAACTTGAGAGTCATGGTCAGAATGTGAGAACTTTCACCAAACACCCTTCTCCAGATTTTGACTGAGCCATCTGAGGAGCAAGTGAAAACACAACCATCTTCTTGGTTGATGACAATCCCATTTACTTGACCTTCATGAGCCACAAATGAATCCACACAACACCTCTCGTTGATCTTCCAAGCTTTGACTGTTTTGTCCCACGAGCCTGTGTACAACAGCTTGTCTTCCTTGTTGTAAGCTAGGCAAGAGATGTGATCATTGTGCTGCTGGCTGCTCTTTCTTGAAAAGAACAAAAATCGATTTCTTTGAGGCAGAGTTGTGATCTTTTTCGGCCTAAAATTCTCTGCAGTGGACGCATCCCATATGCGAACTTTGCAGTCACCATGTGTGGTGAATAGCATTTTCCCCGAGGACAAGATGGCTCGAACTTGACCTGAAGCAGCCTTTATGTAACCAATTTCAGTGCAATCCGGCTGCTTCCAAGCATGAATCCGGCTACTTTCTGAGCCTGTGAATATAAAATCTTTTGATAGTGTGATGGAGAAAATGTTACCTTCATGTCGGTGGAGGGAGGCAATGCAATGGTAAAGAAGGGGTTGGGAGGGAGAGGTGCGCACTGGGGATAGTGTCCATGGTGTCCCAGGGCTCATAGGCCGTGTAGGAATTGATGGTTCAGAAGCAGCAACAGAAGGTCTTGCTGAAGAAGCTGAATGCATGTTGTTGGTTTCTGACGAACTTTGTTGCGGGTCACCACCAAAAGAAAGTCTCCGAGGCAACTTGATTCTCTTTCTTTCCTCATCCATGAAGCTCCAGAGGTTTTTCTCACAATTGAACTCCATGGCATTGCTGAGCAAAGCAACGGGAACAGTACGTGACAGCTGCAGGAAATGACAGGAAAAATTAAACCACAAGGGTGCTTAAAAATTTGCTTTACTGTGTGTTAGATTTGGAGTTGGGGGTTGTTTAATTTGGAGCATTGGAGGGGGCCAGTGTAGGCTTTCAATTGCATTCAATGTGCGTTACCAATTGGAGCATGCTAGCCACTGAGTTGGACAAAATGCAAGGATCCAGCTCTGACCGTTGTCATCTCCCTCAATGATGATGTTGGAGGGGGCTGGGGCTTGGCTGCCCAAGTTTTTTTCTACTTTGTGAGAGCTGTTGATCAAAAACTCTTCTGATGGAGCAACAATAACTAAATTTAAAAGCCTCTTCCTACCTCCCCATTGCATTTGATATAAAATAAAAATAAAATAAAAAAATTATCTTCCAACCACTCATAGTACGGCAGCTGCTAATTAAAGCTTATTTAGATGAGAAGTTTGGAGAAAAATAACAGCACCCAGCTGCTAAAGATTATTTGATTTGCAGTAACTCTTATTTTGGCAAGCAGAACCCTTTTTTTTTCAATCACATTACTAAGATGAGATTCTGGTGAAGTGAATCTTTAATTTTACCAGGAGATATAGCCAGAAATAAATGCGGTACATATTCATTGATAGGAGAAATATGCAATAACTTTTACTTGCAAAGTTGGATGCCTGCTCCTCTTCCTATCTTAATTTTCTGCATTCCTGAAAGCTCATGGAAAGCTGTCATTTCTTTTGGTCTGAATTATCATAAAAAGGACGGGTCAAAAATAAAAAAATCATAATGAAAATAAAAAACTTTGATCTCCAAAATTATTAAATCAGTGAATAGTACAGAAAGTCATTGAGATTCCTCTCTATCCCTCCTCCAATTAGGCAGCAAATCCCCAATAATTAAAACATAAAAACAAGTAACATGATCCAATGCTTCTTACTATAATCCCCCCACAATTAATCTCATCCACTCATTTTTCAAATCTCACAGCCCTTCATGCCTTAAGAGGATACAACTGTATCATCAAGAAGGAACGACTCCAGCCAGAGGGGAACCTCTTCTACCCTGGTTACAAAAGAATTACAGTTTAAAGCATGTTTAGCTAGAATATGAGCAACCTGATTACATCCGCTTGGAATGAAAGAGACAGTAGCATTCTCTAACTATTGCAAACTCCTCTTGACATCATCAATGAGATGCCCTTCTGGTGCGAAAGACTCCTCATCAGTATTTAAATTGTTAACCACTGCTTGTGAATCAGACTCAACCAGGATAGAAGAGAAGCCTGCATCCCAAGCAAAGTTCAAACTGAATTGAAGTGCCATGATCTCGGCATGTTTGGGGGAGGTGGCAGTGTCAAGGGGAAGGGCCGTAGCCACCATCACTTCCCCTTTCTCATTTCTAATGACAGCACCAATTCCACCCACACCCGTATCAGGAGTATAAGCAGCATCTACATTGAGTTTAAACTTACCAACAGGAGGGTGAGACCATTTGGAAGCCTTTTCAATAACTATATTAGATTCTCTTCTCATCAGATCTCCATATTCCTCAGCCAAATGAACTACTCCATTAAAAATCATCTCTTCTTTTTTAGAACAAGCTTCAAAAATCGCCTTGTTTCTATTTTTCCATAAGCTCCAGCAGATGTACACAAATAGACGCATTTCAAATGTTGAAAGATAATTTGTGGCAGCTTCAATGAAATCACCATAAGTGGACAATTGCAGCCCTTTGAAAACCTCCATGAATCTCACTTTCTTCCAAACCTTTTGGGCCCCATGACAACTCCAAACTATGTGTATTAGATTTTCAGAATTTACAATACAGATGGGGCAAGCATCATCAGAAACAATTTTCCTCTTAAGAAGATTAGCTTTGCAAGGAAGAGAGTTGCGGATAGCTCTCCAATTAAAAAAGATGAGTTTTTGTGGTATCTCTAGGGACCAAACTTTCCTCCAAAAAGAATTTTGGGCTCTTGGATCCGAAGAGGAGCCAGCATCCCCATTGTAGTCTTTTTTTTGCAGCATTCCCAATCAGTATCCACTTTTCACAGAATAAATTCCATTATTAGTATAGTGCCATATCCATCTATCCTTATGATAATTAGCACTCAGAGGGATTGACGTGATGGCCCTGACATCTTCCTCATAGAAACACAGTTTTAACAATTCAATATTCCATACCCCATTTGGAAAAAATAAAAGCACTTATTTTGGTTTCTTGATCCAGCACGGGAGGAGAGATAGGGCGAAAAGAAGTAGGCCTAGGAATCCAAGCATCTCCATAAACTAAAGTATCTGCCCCATTTCCAATTCTCTCTCACCCCATTGAAAAGCAGCTCACGCCCCCAAATCAGCAACCTCTATACATAAGATGATGCTCTTCCCTTATCAGCCTTCAAAAAATTACATTCAGGGAAATAACAGGCTTTTAGCACCTTATGAATCATAGATAGTTCATTGGTGAGAAGTCTCCAGCATTGCTTAGCCACTAGAGCTTTATTAAAAATCTCTAGGTCTCTAAAACCAAGGCCTCCTTCATCTTTTGGTAATTCGCTGAACTGTTCCACCAAAATTCTGATACCATTGAATTCAGTTCAGCACATAAGGTCACAGGAAGTTTAAAAACCATAGCATAGTTTGAGATGCGTTGAGCCACAGCATTAATAAGAATAGACTTTTCTGCTTTTGAAAGCAATAACTCTTTCCAACCATTGAGCTTCTTTCTTAACTTTTCTTTTATACAGTTAAAGCACTCTATTTTTTTCCTACCAATCACCGTTGGCAATCCCAAGTATTTGTCATGAAAATAAACACTCTGGATGCGTAGGAAGCTGCATACCTCATTCCTTAATTGCATCGGAGCATTAGGGCTGAAAGCAATTGCTGATTTATCAAAATTTATTTTTTGGTCCACCGCTGACCCATAGATCTGAAACACTTTCTTAAGAGCCCTGCAAGCTCAAGGTGTTGCTTCTATAAATAACAGGCTGTCATCAGCGAAAAATAAGTGAGAGATTGAGGGGACACCACTTGCAACTTCAACCCCTTTTATTTCACCAGAAATCTCTGCCTGTTTGAGAAGTGAAGAAAATCCCTCTACACAAATGAGGAAAAGATAGGGAGAAGGGGATCTCCTTGTCTAATCCCCCTTTGTGGGATGATATTAGCTTCAACAGCCCCTTGCCTTATAATTAAATATGAAACTGTAGAAATACAATCAAAGACCAAATTGATCAATTCTACAGGAAAACCTAGTTTCTCCATCATTTTACAAAGAAAATTCCATTCAACCCTGTCAAACGCATTTGCCATGTCCAACTTCAAAGCAAATCTTGGAACTTTGTTGCCCCTTCTACTTCTCATAGCATGAATTGTTTCAAAAGCTAGAATGACATTGTCTGATATTTGTCTCTTTGGAAGAAAAACATTTTGACTTTCGGAGATGATCATTGGGAGCACACAATTTAGTCTGTTGGCTATGGTCTTACATATGATTTTATAAAACACATTGCAGAGGGCTATTGGCCTGTATTGGGACACAAACACTGGCTTCTCAATTTTGGGGATGAGAGCTATCAAGGTCTTATTCAAACTCCTTACACTCTCCTGACCATTAAGAATTTTTAAGCAAAAAGTGGCAATTTCATCACCTTAAATGTGCCAATATTTCTCAAAAAAGACAGCTGGCATCCCATCAATTCCAGGTGCTTTTGATGGAGGCATTTGCTTCAGGGTAGTCTAATTCATTCCTGCTATATGGCTTAATAAGCAAATGCTTCATACCATCAGGAATTTTTGGACTAATCGTGTCTGTGATAGCCTCAATGTGGTGACCTCCTGTTGTCACAAAAAGAGATTGGAAATACTGGCTGACATTGCAGTCACCATTCTCCTATTTGTACACCACTGCCCATTTGAATTATACACCCCTGGAATGGAATTGTTCTTTGTTTTCTCCCTTGCCTTCTCATGGAAGTAGCTAGCATTCTTATCACATTCTTTCAGCCATTCCACCCTTGAGCGTTGTTGCCAAATGATTTCCTGTTTTCCCAGTAGGTCATCAATTTTCTTTTAAACAAAGTTCTTTCTCTGGATTTGCTGTTTTGTAGGATTGGATACTTGTAAAGTCGCCAGCTCTTCTTTGAAATCCTTCAATTGTAATCTAACACTACCAAAAACATTTTTGTCCAAATTTTTAAAACAATATTCACACCTCTTCAGCCTTTCAGTAACTGCAAGTTGCCTATTTGCATGATTATTCCAGGCCTCCTTCACTATTTCTTCAAATCCTTCTTCTTTCGTCCACATATTTGCAAAATGAAAACCCATCCTGCCTTTCGAATTCGTCGACACATCATTTGGCTGATTGTTATCCCCTTTTTGTACTGATCCTCTGGATGCTTGTTGGGAATTCATTGAATTTGAGGGCGAGTGTCCCAGGTCTTTCTCATTGGAGGCTTCTTTTAATAACTCTCTAGCCTGTGTTATTGTTGCATTTGTGGTACGCAATTGGGAGGGCAGGAAGTGCGCCTTAAAGCTTACTTTTTGACTACTCCTCTGCTTCATATTAGCTGGAGAGTAGGCTGTAGCAACTAGTTCATTTGAGCTACCTCCTTTCTGTTTTCCAGCATCATTGTTTCCCTTATTTCCCCTGTTCTCTTCCTCCTCTTCCGAAATGGATTCATAGCACTGACTATTTGAGGATTGGGCTTGGCCATAGCCTCTGGGGGTCAAAAACCTCCCGTATGGTTGCTCTCTAGCCATTTTCTGCTGTTGTGGTACATGAGTACAATCTTGAAGTGCATGACTGATTCTTCTGCAACCGAGGCAAAATTTGGGAAGCTTTTCATAGACAAGTTCAACTAGATCAGAGGTGCCCCCAAGAAGATTTATCCTTAGGCCTCTTTTGTAATATCTACTCGAACTCTGATCCTCATGAAACCACCCACCAGTTCACCCCCCTCACAACGAGAAATGTCTATACATTTGCCTATTCTGTCCCCAATTGATTTTGCAAGCTTCTCAGTCATTTTTAAAAGGGGAATATTATGTATTTGTACCCAGAAGTCAGCAAACTTTAGATTCATCTTAGATGGTGCTACATTACCATCTGGTTCCTCTATCAAAACAAGCTTCTTATCAAATTTCCAAGCGGCGTACGTGACAACATTTTGTTTATCCTCAAAGTGAGAAAATACCTGGGAGGTCTTTAATATCTACTTCACCCACAGGATCCTGATAACAGTATAAGAAAGAAGAATTGAGACTGAAGGAAGAAGATGAATATTGAAGAAGAACTCAGGTAAGAAGAGAGAATTTGCTTTCTTTTAATTTTCAATCGTGTTTACAATTACAGAGAGATATAGTTTTTATATCAGATGTTTAGCCTATAACTAATGCTTAACAGACTAACTAATTACAGCTGTGACATGTGAGCCACACGTGCCAACACTAACAAACTCTTAGCTAACTATTACTGTTATCATTCCCCCTCAAACCCAGCTCTAGGTTGCCCAGCCTCATGTTTGCACAATGACTCAAGAAAACAGGACTATGTAGTCCTTTAGTAAAGACATCAGCTAGTTGTTCCTCTGCACCCTTTCGCGCACGAAATGGAAATCAATGTCGAGGTGCTTGATGCGTGAGTGATATATAGGATTAGAACTAAGAGCCAAAGCAGACAAATTATCACATGAAATTGTAGGAGGCTCAGGTAAGCATACTTTCAAATCCAACAAGACCTGTCGAATCCAAGCTAAATCTGCAGCTGTATTGGCCAATGCCCTATACTCTGCTTCAGTCGAACTTCTAGACACAGATCCCTGCTTTTTAGACTGCCAAGAAATAGGATTATTTCCAAGAAATATCACAAATCCTGTGGTAGACCTGCGTGTATTCAAGTCTCCAGCCCAGTCTGCATCACTGTAGGCCTGCAGATGCCAAGGGCCTGTAGTGAAGTGAATGCCATACTGTATGGTACCTTGAATATACCTTAATATACGTTTGACCAAATCAAAATGTGCTTCTGTAGGTGTAGTCATATATTGACAAACAGTATTGATAGAATATGACAAGTCAGGCCTTGTGAATGTCAAATACTGTAAGGCACCTACAAGACTCCGATACAAAGTTGGATCAGTTAATGGCTGCCCCTCTGTTCTTAATACCTGATTATGTGGCTTGCAAGGAGTTGGACAAGCTTTACAATTGGTCATCCCTGCTTTATTTAACAACTCCTGAGCATACTTGGTCTGATGAACAAAGATACCTCCTGTGGAATCATAAGACACCTGAAGACCTAAAAAATAAGCAAGTTTGCCCATGTCTTTCATGTCAAATACAACTCCTAAATCATCAATAATTGTTTGAACCAACTGAGGACTTGAACCAGTCAAAATAATATCATCTACATACAGTAGTAAATCACAATATCAGAACCTTCATGCTTGACAAACAGGCTTGGGTCAGAATGGGAGGACTTAAAGCCTAAGGCTGGAAGATAACCTGTAAACTTGGCATTCAAAGCCCTTGGTGCCTGTTTAAGGCCATAGAGGGACTTGGCCAACCTACACACAAACTCTGGATGCTGGGAATCTTCAAAACCTGGAGGCTGCCGCATGTAAACTTCCTCTTCTAGATCACCATGTAAAAATGCGTTCTTAACATCTAACTGGCCCAAACTCCACTTATTCATGGCTGCCAAACTAAGTATCAGTCTCACAGTTGTATGTCTGACAACTGGGCTGAAAGTTTCACTAAAATCCAGACCCTGTTGTTGGCTGAATCCTTGTGCCACTAAACGAGCTTTATACCTTGCAATTGAACCATCGGCATTGCGCTTGATTTTGTAGATCCATTTACTTCCAACTATATTTTTCCGAGAAGGACATGGCACTAGAGACCAAGTTCCCTGCATTTGTAATGCTTCAAGTTCTTCATGCATTGCTTTAACCCAAGCAGGAGATTGAGCAGCTATGCGATAAGAAGAAGGTTCATCATCTGCAGCAATAACAGGAATGGTAGTATGGTAACATTGATAATCTGAAAAAGGTTTCAGTTTGCTAATTCCATTCTTAGCCCGAGTTTGCATAGGATGTGTATTACCAAATGGAACAGAAAGAGCAGATATATCAGAGACAGAAGATGAATTAACATCAGATGCAGAAATGACAGGCACAAGGACTTATAATTGATGAGCATTTAAAACAGATGCTATAAAATCTGAAGGAGATACCGCATGAGAAATGGAAGGACTAGTGTCTGCCGGATCAGAGGCTACAGGATCATATGCCAAATTATCAGCACCTTCTACAGAATTAGGAGTAGCAGAAGTTGTCACAGGAACGAAAAGTGGAACCCGGATAGAAGTAGACTGTGAGGGCATGGATAATACCGAAGAAATAGATGTTGTAAGCCTCTTAAAAGGATGACAAGTTTCATCATGGATAACATGCCTAGATATCACCAATTTGCCTATGAAAGGATTATAACAAATGACACCTTTATAACCTGGTGCATATCCAAGAAAAACACATTGAGCTGTGCGAGGTTGAAGCTTATGCTCAGTATAAGGTCTCAAATATGGATAAATTGCAGTGCCAAACACCTTAACATGTGTGATATCAGGAACCAAACAAAAATTCTATAATAGGAAGACTGAAGATCCAAACCTTTACTAGGCATCCTATTAATCAAATACGCAGCATGAGCAACGGCATGAAACCAAAACTGACTAGGAAGATGAGCAGCAGTCAAAAGAGTAATAGAGGTTTCAATAAGATGTCTATTCTTCCTCTCAGCTAAACCATTTTGCTGAGGAGTGTATGGACAGGATAATTAATGTTCAATGCCCTTAGAAGCCAAATAATCAGTGAACAACCTACTAGTAAACTCCCTTCCCCCATCACTTTGAAAACACTTGACAGAAGCAGCAAACTGAGTAACAAGCATGGCATGAAACCTGAGAAAAGTAGCATAAACTTCTGATTTATTATAAAGTGGATACAACCACATATAGCCAGTACACTCATCAACAAAGATCACATAAAACCGAAAGCCATCAACAGATTTCATCCTAGAGGGACCCCACACATCACTATGGATTTTCTGAAATGGAATGGTAACTTTTACATGATCTGTAGGAAAAGGAAGTTTATGCATTTTGCCATGAAGACAATCAGAACACACAAAAAATTGAGAATCATCACAATAAGGAAGTTGAGCAGCTTTGAGCATATACTTCACCACTTCATTAGTTGGATGACCCAACCTGCGATGCCACAAGGAGGATTTAACCTGCTGACCAAGAAACGCAACTGACGGAGACATAGACCGCTGAGAATGTTGTATGGGAGATGGTACAGAAACTGAAGATTGCAGAGACACTGGTATTGGATAAAGCCCCTGGCTACTCTTGCCTTGAAGCATAATTTTCTTGGTGAGCTTGTCCTGTATATAAAATCCAGAAACATCAAAGATAATATTGCAATTGTTATCTTTACACAATTGATGCACAGATAAGAGATTAGCCGTGAGATGTGGAACATAAAACACGGATGGAAGAGTTAAAGAAGAAAGCTTAGCAGTTCCTATATGACGGATTTGCAAACCTTCCCCATTGCCAACAGTCACATTCTCAGCAGAATCACAAGCAACCACATTATTCAGATGATCGAGAGTAGAGACCATGTGATGTGTAGCACCACTATCAGCTATCCATACTTGATCAGGATTGTAGGTAGTCTGAGCAGTCATTGCAGTCAAGGATGAAGGAGGAGATTGACCTTGAAATGCATAATTGGAGCAGTGGTAACAATCCAAAGCACCATGCCCTTTCTTACCACAAATTTGACACTCAATTATCACAGAAGAAGCAGTAGGATTAGGAGAAGAATGACGATGGTAACAATTAGCAGCAATGTGCCCACGCTTACTGCAAATTTGACACTCTAGAACTGCAAATTTATTGGTAGAGAAACCATTGCGAAATCCAGCAGAGGAAGGACGGAATTGAGATGAACCAAATTTACCATAACCAAAACCACCACGACCAGAATTGCCGTTGAAATTAGGACGAGGACCAGAAAATCGTGTGTTAGAGCCAGCATAGCCAACTGAACCCTGCACCGGTGTAGGAAGCAAGCCTTGACCAGACGAAGGACCATAGCTTGCAGACCTAGGAACAGATTGTGAATTCGGAGCAGATTGAGAAGTAAACATTGCAGAATGTGTCACAACCCTGGCCTCAGCGGTTTGCTCAGCAACAAGAAGTTGAGCGCGGAAGTCTCTAAGAGAAAGTGAAGTATCCCGAGCAATTAACACCGTTTTGATGATATCATGTTCCTGCGGCAAACCGTTGAGAGCAGCGATGACAAAATCGTCATCAGAAATCTTCACACCAGCAGAATGCAATTGATCATGAATATGCTTCAAACGAAGAAGGAATCGTTCAATCGAGTCACCACCCTTCTGCGCTGTCTGCATTTCAGTCTTCAGGTGGTTGATACGTGCTCGAGAAACTGAAGCATAGCGATCCGTAAGATTAAGCCAGGCCTCACGAGCAGTGCGACTCCCAATGACATACTCAAGAGCTTCATCGAAGAGAGAAGCAATCAGCAGACTCAGGAGAGCTTTATCAGTAGGTAGCCAGTCTTTGTAAGCAACGGTGACTTCAGAGGTAACACCTTCCACATCCAAAATCGCAAATTTCGGAGGAGCAAACACAGATCCATCAAGATATCCAAAGAGGTCGTAGCCTTGTAACACCGACTCAAGCTGATAGCTCCACTTCAGATAGTTGTCATCGCTCAAGCGTATGGTAAGCATGCCGAGAAGACTCTCAATCTTGAGAGAGGAGGTAGATGAAGAAGATGCCATGAGATTGAAGAACTCACAAGCAAAGAATTTAGGATTTGAGAAGAATTTGGGGAAAGAAAAAAAATGGATTTGGGGAAAATCGTGTAGAGAACAAGAATAGAGAGAGAAGGAGGAGAAATCACGCAGCAGAGAAGAGAAAGAAGATCAGGATCGAGACCTGGCGACTGATACCATGATAACAGTATAAGAAAGAAGAATTGAGACTGAAGGAAGAAGATGAATATTGAAGAAGAACTCAGGGAAGAAGAGAGAATTTGCTTTCTTTTAATTTTCAATCGTGAGAGGTATAGTTTTTATATCAGATGTTTAGCCTATAACTAATGCTTAACAGACTAACTAATTACAGCTGTGACATGTGAGCCACACGTGCCAACACTAACAAACTCTTAGCTAACTATTACTGTTATCAGATCCCAGAGCTCCAATAAACGGTTCTTGAAAGGCTTCTTGAGGAATGGTTTTGGAGAGTACAACTTTACCACTAAGCTTCTTTCTAGGATATCTTGGGATACTTGATCATCATCTTCTTCCTCTATCAATAGTGGCTCTGCTTCCTCTGCTGTCAAAGTAAGCACTTGGGCAAAGCTGGTTTGGACTTCCTCCATTTGAAATTGCTTCTACCCCTGGACCTTTGGACTTACTAATTCTGGAAAAGGTTGACTCTTGTCATTTGATTCTCCTTAGTTAAGAAAGGAGAAATTCTTGTGAGAACACAAGGGAAAGACAAACCCTAGCCATCGCCAGGAGAAAAGCTCCCACTTCCAAGAGGGAGAGAAAAAACCCTGCTCCGAAATTAAAATTTTGAATGCACTTGTTCCCCTTCATGCCTATTTTTGGAGCATGGTCGGTTCTGTTTCTTGAGAAACACCACCATCACTTTCCTCTTTTGTTTTTTTTTTAGTCAGTCATCACTTCCTCTTTATCATTATTTTCTTCACAAACACCACAACACCACCACTTTTTTTTTTCTTTCGATTAAACAGAATTTTTGCTCACAGGGTAGATCGTTGATGAGCTTCCAGACATATCTATTCGGATTTTCAATCGTTTTACCCCTTTAATTGAACATAATTCTTGAATAATTTTCAACATACTGTTTATATCGGGTCAATTTTGCACCGTTAACAAATTTCATCCAATCTTCTGTCAAAATATATCGCATGCGACTTTATACGTCTCAGTTTTGATGTGAGACATATATAAAGGTAAGAAAATAATGACATATTTGGGCCAAGTCCAATGCCAGCGAAAGCAACATACAACATGCACCTTGGTTTGGCAAGACCATGTAATCTTTTGAAGCCCAACAAAAAAGGGGCTAACTGAACTGAACCTAGCCCTATATCAACTGCAAACAAGGCCGACGTATAATTTGGCTACTCACACTCATCATTGGTCCAGCTTCTTCTGCTAGTTTTTCTAAGAGAACCAGGAAAACGAAAAAAACAAAAGCATTGCCTCTGTAGTTTGAATCTTTCATATTTGGCTCTTCACTGCAATTATGATAATAAGAGCGACATGTCGTTTTCAGAAGCATCTTTTGTATATGCCCTTTAGTGATAACCTGGGACAGAGAATTGCAGATTTTTTCTTTTGGCTCGTGGATTTTTCTATCCCAGGTTATGTGTGGCTTTACTAGTTTTCAATTGTCGGAACATAAATTTTTTGTTCAACTATCAAAACATGGATTGCATCTCAACCGTTTAATTATACATGATCTAACGGTTGAAATTTAAATTATCTTCTCTCACATTAAAATGTAAGACCATAGTGAGTATCCAATTCTAAAATCCCTTTCTTTTTTCCTTCATAATACGAGCAATAATACTAACGAGAATCAAACGCAGGACTTCGAATATAAAGATAAATACTTTTAACTATTTGCTGTAAGCCTTTAACGAAAACCCCTCCCTTGAATTACCATAACAGGGAAGGGTGTAAAAGAAAAAAATCACAGTGATGACAGAAACTTTGATCTCCAAGACCAGTGAACAGTACAGACAGTGTCATTGAGATTCCTCTCTATCCCCCAATAATTAAAACCTTACTATAATCCCCCGCACTTCTAATCTTATCCACTCATTTTTCAGAATCACTTCCTTCCTGCCTATTTTTGGAGCATGGTCGGTGGTGTTTGTGGCCCAAACTTTGTCGTGCCGTCCATCACCTCCTCTTTTATCATTATTTTCTTCACAAACATGTCCCACCACCATAACACAATCCCTTTTACTTTCTTTCTCAATTGAATTCACAGGATTTTAGCTCACTTGGTAGAATCATTGATGAGCTTCCAGACATATCCATTAAAGCATGTTGGTGACAGCTAAGACCACTTCAAAAGAGACATGATTGGATGTCTGCACTGCATGTATGGACATATATATTTTGGTACTACCTCTTCCATATATATTCCCTTTTGTCTTCTAAATGTCAAATTAATTCATCAAAAATTATGTATAGTATGCATAATATAGAGTACATGCATGTCCTGTGACTCTTTTTAATAAACCCTAATTATTATTTTCAACTTGCTATAGCTGTTGTTATTATATGAAAAATACTTCTCTCGTTTTCAGTAAGTAGGAAGTTCTTATATTCCTCCGTGTCAATAGCAGTGTGATACGTGTGTATAAATTATTTTTTTTGTGTCTTGAATGAATTATTTTTGTATATGTATGAAACTGTAATTCTCAAGAAAAAAAAAGTATATCTTTACCGACAAGGAGGCAAGTAGTATCCTTATTATATATATGAGACCTAGCTAGGGCTTGTTTGCCATCTGAGCCTTCCTAATTCTAAACCCGTATCTTCTGCTCTCCATACTCTTCCCAATTAAGTCTGCTTTTTGAAAGATGGCCAAAATAGCATTTGGGCGCTTTGATGATTCTTTCAGTTTGGGGTCCTTTAAGGCCTATCTTGCAGAGTTCATCTCAACCTTGCTCTTTGTTTTTGCAGGAGTTGGTTCAGCCATTGCTTACAGTAATCATTTCTTCTATTCAATTCATTTCTATCTTTTGATCTATCAAAACAATATACTAAAACTGAAATTAATAGTTCAACTTGCGAGGTACTATGTCATGAATTCGATCCCGTGACAGAAAGACGACGATACAATCTATAACAATTTATGATTTGAGATTTAATTACTTGCAAAACAATTTAAATCATCCACTAATAATCCTTGGTGATTTTGTAACGATTTTTTTTTGCTTTTTGTGTGCAGACAAGTTGACATCCAATGCTGCTCTTGATCCTGCTGGGCTAGTAGCCATTGCTTTAGCCCACGGCTTTGCTCTCTTTGTTGCAGTCTCAGTTGGCGCCAACATCTCTGGTGGACATGTGAACCCAGCTGTCACCTTTGGATTGGCTCTTGGTGGCCAAATCACTGTCCTCACTGGTATCTTCTACTGGATTGCCCAGCTTCTTGGTGCCATTGTTGCTGCCTTCATCCTCAAGTTCGTCACCGGAGGCTTGGTAAGATATTGCTCAACATGCCAATCCAAAATTAGTACAACTTTTTCCTTCACTCAACGAATAGTGCATGGAATGACAGCTTTGTCCATCCCAACCTAAGCCTTCATGCACAAAATAAGGGCAATTATGATATTTTGGTGTTCTTAATTTTAGGAGTGACAAATTATGACACTTAGGGCTTAACCCTAATCAACTTAGCTAGCACAACAATTAGAATTTGGCTCTCTATTTATCCGTGAACGAAATTAAAAGGTTTTATTTGGAGGATTTAGTGGAATTTCTTCGTACAAAATAAAATTGTGTTGATAATTTTTGTGATTTATGCAAAGGACCGCTAGGGATACTAGATCTGTTCACTAACAACATTTGATTGATTCTTATTTGAGTTCCTTTTAAATTAAATCTTATCTATTACGAACAAGTAATGTACCACCACTTAAACTAAGACATCATTTGGTGAACAAATTTGATAACTGTGACGTCACTGTTATGAAAAAAAAGTGTTTTAAACTAATTATAGTTATTATTTAGCGTATACCTACAAAGGAATCTTAATTTATTAGTTTAATTCAGTGTTGAAGTTAACTATGGAATTTTTCTGTTCAGACAATTCCCATCCACAGTTTGGCTGCCGGAGTTGGAGCCATTCAAGGAGTAATCTTTGAGATCATCATCACCTTTGCTTTGGTTTACACTGTGTACGCAACAGCAGCTGACCCCAAGAAGGGCGCATTGGGCACCATTGCCCCCATAGCCATTGGTTTCATTGTTGGGGCTAACATCTTAGCTGCCGGCCCATTCTCCGGCGGATCAATGAACCCAGCTCGCTCTTTCGGGCCTGCCGTTGCTAGCGGCGACTTCCACGACAACTGGATCTACTGGGTTGGGCCCCTGATTGGTGGTGGGCTTGCTGGGCTTATATATAGCAATGTATTTTTTCACACAGAGCATGCACCCTTAGTTAGCGAGTATTGATATGGTTGACAGTTGAGTTTGTTGCATGTGTTCCTTCCTAACTAGTCCTTTTGCCTTTGTAATAAAAGAAGGAAGAGCAAGTTTTTGTTCTTGCTTCTTTTTCTTATCAACTTTCCAATTATTTATTCTCAACTTGGAACCCTGTTTTATTGTGCTGTTTGTAAAGCCCATTTGTAGGTCACTTTTTCCTCGTGAAAATGAATGAATTTGGTGAAGCCCGGGCCCCTCTTTCTTCTGTGTATATGGTTTGTTTAATTTTGTGGGTTCTTTTGGTTTTTTTTAGTACAGTCGATTGAGGGAGAGTGTTTTATACAAGTATTCATTGGGTGTTTGGAAGTTTCGAACCTCTGACTACATGACTCATGAGTGAAAGTGGAATAGTTTAACCAACTAAGTTGTACCACATTGGCATGGGTTCTTTTGGTTTTGGATGGAAGGAAAGTCCATTTTTCCAATAATGCAACTGATGACATTCAGTGCATTTGTGGAAATTGGCTTTAGAAATGTAGGTGGAAGTAAGACAATTTAAAGCAAAAATACACATGAGAATGTACACGCATTGAAGCCTTAAGCATAACCTAATTATGAATTTTCTATAATTTAAACTAGATTTTGAATTTAATTTATTTATCTAATTAAAACTTTACAATACTGGTTGGCAAAAATGTCTTATGATGGTTGTGAAGGGTCTACTAGGATTTCCTCATAACGCCATTCATGTGCTTTCCATTCTGGCAGTTGTTGGACAACAACCTGCAATCAAATGAGAAAGAAGCAATTAATTCAACCCAACTATCCATGAATTGATGAAGATGTTTGTTTAAAGACAACATAACCAAAAATACTATATTGTTTTCCAACATAAAGACATCACAAACCAGTCCTCTAGAATCAGGTTTCCCAACTGTGGTTTGGCAAGCAAGTCTCCAATTTTTCGGTTTCTGCACATTGGTCAATTCAATGTTAAGCCTTCACTACAATTAGGCATACTGCTCTCACGATGCTAGTCCAGTCTAGTCTAGTCCTCCCTAACAAACGAGGCCTATGATCATACCTTTTTAAGGTGTTCCTTCTCTTTTCCTGTTCGAGGGTTTAACAGCTCTTTTCCTTGAACAACCTAGCAACACAAGGAAGATTCTTCACTCGTTCAAAAATTGAAATGACTCAAATCAGATACGAGAAAAGGGGGAAAAGAAAACTGTGAAAGATCACCTCAACCATACATGTCCCGCAGGTTCCTACTCCCCCACAATTGAGCAGAGTCCTGGCCTGAACATTTTGAACATGTTGAGCATATATATGTTTCTGTTCTAAATCACTAGAGAGAAGCTTAGAGCAAGAGAGAAAAGCTTACATAGGGTCCATACAAATCAATATTTGAATCCAACATTATATTCCTAAGCTTCTGCCCTCCACAAGCTTGACGAAGATGCACATCTGGTGTTTGATCAGGAAGTAACACAGACTGAAAACAAAACAACAAAACCAATGAATGACACAAATTATAAGTTTTCATATGAACATATATATGTATATATATACACACACATAATTTATAGAACTTACACTAACAAATGCAAAATCAACCAAAGGGGGTTGCTCTGGGTCAATGGCTCCAGATGGGTTCTCTTGGGATGTGCTAACTGCTCTAATTTTTCCTCTGGAGAGGAAGCTGAGAGGCTTAGAGGGTCTGAGAGTTGAATGGGAGTTGGCAATGGTGGAATTTATCAAGTTGAATGGGAGGGAGCAAAAAGATGAACCACAAGAGCTCAGTTGGAGACTGCCCATTTTGATGATGATATGTTGAAAGAAAGATTATTATTATTATTCTTTTTTATAAAAAGATAGGTTGTGTTGTTGTGTATGTAGGATAATTTAACAGTGCTAGTTTCATGGGTTTGGTTTGCATCGTGATGGATGTGTGGTGGATTTTGCTAATTACCTTATCTCATATGCAGTGCCTGCCCAACAAATATGGCATAAATAAAATAAAATAAAATTCAAGATAATTGGGGTTGGACCAAAATGAGACCAAATCTCAATTGGGAATGGATGCCTGCTCAAAACATTGGGCTGGGCTGCTTTTGGTTTTGAAAACATTTGGGCTGATTAAACTGGACCAGTCTAGACCCAACATTTCATAGGCAAATTTCAAAAAGCGCTAGAAGGAGGGTTCGAACCTCCGACCTTGTGGTTAACAGCCACACGCTCTAACCAGCTGAGCTATTCCAGCACGTTGGTAATCATTCTAACATCAGCAATTTAAAGTAAGTGAAAAGTAACATTACTTTGATTTGGTTTGGTGTTGGCGTGGCTAAGTGAGGGTATTATGGACATTTCCCAGTACCCGGTCATCTCATTAGTGGTTTGTTTTTTTTTTGGTCCTAAACAACAACTCATCAGTGTTTTGACGGGATGCTCCTTATATAAGAGATCAAGAACATATCAACACAAATCATATCTAAAATGCCTTATAAAAAATGATCTAAAATGTAAAACTTCCAATGTTTTTTTATGAAACAAAAATATACGGTCACTTATTTTGGGCCACTTTTGGATTGGGTTTGATGGGTGGGTTGGGTAAAATTGTGGACCTTACAAGCTATAGACAATTCTCCCCCAATAAAAACTCCCAAGATTTCTAACACCCTGCTAAAACCCCCTTTGAAGTTTGAAGTTTGAAGTTGCACAACATTTTCATTTTTATAGACCAAATCAATGAGAATTGAGTCGCAATGCCAATGCTTATGCCCCAAGTCACAAACCTCCGTCTCCTCTTCTTTTCCCCTTTCCCTCATCTCTCATTATCTTCCCTCAGTCTTAAACCCTTAAAACCTCGCAGTCTCTTCACCGCCCTCGCTTCCTCCTACCGAAAACGACACCGTCCCATTCCCAACCAATCTCCCAATCCTGGTGCCAGAAACAAAACCACTCTCAGAGAGAGTAGAGGCAGAGACAAAGCAATGGAGGAAACTAAGGAGACTGAGACTGCTGGGTTCAATAAGAGAAGAGCAGAGGGTAACGATAAGAATGATAGGCCCAAGAAGAACCTTCAGCGAAAAGTGCGCACGCTCAATCCTATCAATACCCTATCTTATGTGCAGGTATGTTGACTTTTGAGGTTTTGGCTTTCTGGGTTTTCATTAACGTTTGAGTAGACTGCATAATTGATTGCATTGGTTCTCGTGTTATATTTGTTAATCTGATTTCTGGGTTTTCTTTAGTTGTTGTTGAGTATAGTGTAGTATTCACTGCATCGGTTCTTGGGTTACATTCATTTCTTTGATTTTTCTCATTTAGAATAGTTCGGCTTGTTTAATATGACTCATCTCAAGTGGATAATAATGTTTCAAATAGTCAAAGGTTGTACCTTCAGTAAACCATCGAAACAGAACTACTTTCTGCCCTGACATTTCACTTCATCCTCTCTCTCTTTTTTTTATTACACTGAAAGGCATCTAACCCTTGACCCATTTTCGCACCCTCAAATAAGTGACAGTGACTTTACTCGAGTAAGTGGACTTGGGATTTGAATTATAAAAACCGGGTGGAGAGTACTAAAGTTGGGAGTGTGATTCTAGGAACTGGTTGCAATTTTTTTGGATTTGAAAATCTGGCTTCTAAATTGGTATTCTGTTTTTGGACTTCAGTTTGGATTTAAATTTGTTCTCATGGTAATTTCTTGGTTGTGGGATTTGATTATTGGTGATGAGAAGGAATCAAAAAAGTTAAATTCAGAATGTTATGGTTTTGATTTACCTAGCAGATTTTTGCTGAGTTTTGCGTTGAATGGATACTTCTTGAAAACCGAAAAAGTTTGTATGTCTTAACTTTAGAAAGCACTGTTTGTTTCTATCATTTATCTTTTTAGTTATTTATGGGGTAATAATTTGGTCTTGCTTTTACTCATTGCAGGTACTAGGGACTGGAATGGATACTCAGGATACATCTCCTTCGGTGTTGCTATTCTTTGACAAGCAAAGATTTATATTTAACGCTGGGGAGGTAAGTGTCAGGTGATTTGCATTAGGAACTCAATGATAAACCCGTTTTAAAGTAATATAATCTCTTACTATGCAACTCTCACTGCAGGGATTGCAAAGGTTCTGCACAGAGCATAAGATTAAGTTGTCAAAGGTATAAGATATCTGGAATCTTTACCCATCGTCTGTTGTCGGAACTTGGAATAAACATATAAATTGTTCTTCATATTGATTCCTGAGGTTTCTTCCTATGATTGAGATGCCTAATTGATGTTCTTGATTCTTCTTCAGATTGATCACATATTTCTCTCTCGTGTCTGCTCGGAGACTGCAGGTGGACTTCCAGGTTTGTTTCTTGAAAGATCAGCTAAGATGTTGCAGTTGCAGTTAAAGATTGTTTATTGTATTTTTGTTCTATCACCAGTAAAATGTGTAGTAAATCTGTATGATGAGATCTTTAAGCATAGTATTGTGCTTTCAATATCTGCACTGGTAATGAAAAAGAGATTGTTCTTGCTGACCCTGAATTGCCTGACTTTTACTTTACGTCACAGGTTTGCTGTTGACTTTGGCTGGCATGGGTGAAGAAGGAATGTCTGTAAGTATCAGATTGACTTTCTATGATTTTCTTCTTTTCTGTAATCGGCCTTAAGTTTTATTTAAATTGGATCCAGTCTCCCAGATATTAGTTTAAATCATAATTTGCGTTGTTTTGAAGGTCAATGTATGGGGTCCATCAGATCTCAAGTATTTGATTGATGCTATGAGGTGTTTCATCCCAAATGCTGCCATGGTTCACACTCAGAGCTTTGGGCCCTCTGTTGGGGGTCTTATGGCTAGTCAAACAAAGTTTACAGAACCCATTGTTCTTGTTGATGATGAAGTTGTCAAAATATCAGCCATTGTTCTACAACCAATTTTCTCGAACGGGGCTCAGCTCCTGAATGAATTATCCATCACTCAGAATCCTACAGAAAAGGTTTTTAATGACAGGGTGGATGTGTCAAAATCCTTTAGTCCTAATGGAAAAAATTCACTTACTGGAAAGCCTGGTGACATGTCTGTCATTTATGTCTGTGAATTACCTGAGATCAAAGGGAAATTTGACCCTGAAAAAGCCAAAGCTTTGGGTCTTAAACCAGGGTCTAAATATCGGGAACTGCAACTTGGGAATTCAGTGAAGTCAGATTTTCAAAACATCACGGTTAGTTCTGAAAACTTTGGAAAGAGATTAGTATAGCATTTATTTTCCAATGGTGTAATCCATTGAAAATGTTACAGTGCATTCTATGTTCTAAGTGTTCTATTTCACTTATTTGTTTAGGTTCATCCAAGTGATGTAATGGACCCGTCTATTCCTGGTCCAATTGTGTTTCTTGTCGACTGCCCAACGGCATCTCATTTGCAGGAGTTGTTATCCATGCAATGTCTCAGTAGCTATTATGCAGATTTCTCGGGCCCGCCAGAGAATGCTAAGGTTGTGACTTGTGTCATTCATTTGGGTCCTGCTTCTCTAATAAGCAGTCCTAACTACCAAAGCTGGATGAAGAGATTTGGTTCAGCCCAACATATCATGGCTGGACATGAAAGGTGAATTGCTTTTCCTTCCGAGAAATCATCTAGGACCTTCTTGGTGTATGGTTTTGAAAACCACTCTTGGCTTCTCTTTCTGTTTGCAGGAAGAATGTGGAGATTCCGATTCTAAGATCGAGTGCAAGAATTGCAGCTCGACTTAACTATCTGTGTCCACAGTTCTTTCCAGCTCCAGGTTTCTGGTCTCTTCAGCACCTTGATTGCTTGGCACCAGAATCCACTCCTTCAAGTGAGGTTTGTTAGAATATCTTTTCTTCTGTGTACATTATTAGGTTTGTTAGGATGGCTTGGAAGTTGGCAGGAACTTGATCAATGTTCTATTTTATTTTCTAGCCTGTTTTTTAGAAATTTGGGGTTCATTTTGCAGCTAATTTTGTTTTTATTTTATTTTATTTTTACCAGGGTTCTGTTTCAAAGGTTTGTGAAAGCATTTCTGCTGAAAACCTCCTCAAGGTACGAATTGTTGATTTACTTGGATGCACCTAGTAAGTAGTTTTGTGGCACTTATCATGTGAGCCGGATTTTCGTTTCTCCTTCATACAATAATTTTCTTCTTAAAATAAGACTTTATTCTTAAATTTGCATCAGAAATATATATATATATATATATATTGGAAGTCCTTCAATCTATAATTTTATTTTTTTGGGTCGAAAGTCCTTGAATCAGGTATTTAGGAAGTCATTCTTTTTTTCTTTTTTTCTTTTTTTCTTTTTTTCTTTTTTTAAAGTATCTAAAAGTATACAGCCCAGAGACAAATTTGACACTTTTGGAGAGGGAGTTTGGTACTGAGAGTTTTCAAAACAGTGCTTTTGGTTTAATTGCATCATGTCATCCCTTTTTTTTTCTGTCTTTTCTTTTACCCAAGTATGATTATGAACATTTTCCAGCAATGAAAGGATAAGTTTATGCTTACATGTTAGAACCTGTTTCTCACTATCCATGCCTGCTTTTCTCTGCTGCATTGCAAGTTCTGCAATCACTTTATTAATGTAAGAATTTTAATAATGAAGATTTTCCTGTTTGTTGAACAGTTCACTTTGCGTCCTTATGCTCGTCTTGGATTAGATAGGTCGGTTATTCCAAGTCAGGTGGCGTCCTCAGAAATCATTGATGAGTTACTTTCAGAGATTCCCGAGGTTGTAGATGCTTCCCAATGTGTTAGTCAGTTATGGCACCAGTCCACAGAAACAAAGGAAGAGATGAGGTTAACTCATGATGATAAAGTGATAGTTGAAGAGCCATGGTTTGATGAGAATACTCTTCCTAGTTGTTTGGAAAATATAAGAAGAGATGACTTGGAGATAGTTCTTCTTGGGACTGGATCATCTCAGCCATCTAAATATCGCAATGTTAGTTCTATCCATATCAATCTTTTCTCTAAAGGAGGTTTACTTTTAGACTGTGGTGAAGGAACCCTGGGACAGCTGAAAAGAAGGTAACACCGTTCGAACTTTAAAATTGCATTTACTACTTATTCCTGAAAGTTTCTCATTCTTTCTTCCCCTTTAGATATAACATTTTATGTACATTGACAACAGATATGGCGTAGAGGGTGCTGATAATGCTGTGAGAGGTCTTAGGTGTATTTGGATTTCTCATATTCATGCTGATCACCATACGGGGTTGGCAAGAATACTTACTCTGCGACGTGATTTGTTGAAGGGAGTGCTTCACGAGCCATTACTTGTTGTTGGACCGAGAAAACTTAAATTCTTTTTGGATGCATACCAAAGACTTGAAGATTTGGATATGCAGTTCCTTGATTGTAAGCACACCACCGAAGCTTCTTTACATGCTTTCGAGGGCGTTACTGAAACAAATAAGGATCACTCTTTTCTAGGAAGTCCAACTAGTTTCGAGGACCTAAGAGATAAAAATACAGATAGGCAAGTGGCACAAAAAGTTGATTCTACTCTATTTGCTAAAGGATCGCGTATGCAGAGCTATTGGAATAGACCGGGTAGTCCTGTTGACAACAATGTAGTTTTTCCAATTTTAAAGAGCTTGCAAAAAGTGCTCGAGGAAGCAGGTTTGGAAGCCTTGATGAGTTTTCCTGTCATCCACTGTCCACAGGCATTTGGTGTTGTCTTGAGGGCTTCGGAGAGATTGAATAGTGTTGGAAAAGTGATTCCAGGTTGGAAGATTGTATACTCAGGTGATACCAGGCCCTGCCCGGAACTTATAGAGGCATCTCGTGGCGCAACAGTTCTTATACATGAGGCAAGTGATGACATGTATTTTGTGTTTTTTTTTGGTCAAAGTTGATGGAATTTTGCAATTTCGTAAGAAATTGTGTGAAAAGGAAGAGGATGGTAGTTAATCAATTGCAATGTTGATTGTTGCAGGCAACTTTCGAGGATGGCATGGTGGACGAGGCTATAGCACGAAACCACAGCACAACCAAGGAAGCCATAGAAGTTGGGAACTCTGCGGGTGTTTTTCGCATAATCCTTACCCACTTCAGCCAGCGATATCCAAAAATCCCAGTATTCGATGAGACACACATGCATAAGACATGCATCGGATTTGACATGATGAGTATTAACATAGCTGATTTGCCCGTGCTTCCAAAAGTACTCCCATATTTGAAACTTCTCTTTAGAAACGAGATGATAATCGATGAATCGGATGAGGTTGTAGATGCTGCTGCAAGTGTAGCTTCTTGATAGGAAATTACGTCATTGTTGTAATTCCCTTTTTTAATTAGTTAATTTTTTTCCTTAACCGTTTGTAGTTTGAGTAAATTATTCAATTTGAGAGAGCATTGGTAATTGCATGTGGTCTAATGCTAGTCTTTTTTCCCTACTACATACTAAAGTCTCTCATCCGTTCACGCTCATCTCTCCAATGTTGGTCCCACTCAGCCCTCAATCTCTCATCTCTTCGTCCTCCTATCTCGCCAATGAAACCGAGCAAATCAATCAAGTCAACAATAAATATTTATATATACCGCTTTGGAGGGCATCAGAAGGTTCTTTCTCTCTGTTGTGGATGGAACAAAAGGTTGCAGAGAAGGGTCGGGTTATTGTAAGTTTGAAATAATTAATTTCCTTTTCCGCACTTTGGCCAACCTTCATATCACAACCAACTATATCGTGTCTATCTCTTTGTGCAAGGCTCCTCCTCAACACTCCGCGAGAACAAATCTCTACAATTTTCATGGTTCCTTCTCTTATCGACCCTTCGAAATCCAACACCAAACTTCTCCTTCTTTTTAGTCTTCATCTCCTCACCCTGCTTGTCTTTGTTAATGACAGCATTTCTCATCCAATCAGGTTCATCATCTGAGTCAACTTGACCATCTTTTGCACCATTACGATCAGATTCAATCCTATCTTCAGTCTTCTGTTGTTGCCTCCTATAAACCACCCATTGCAAAGCACTACAAATGATACTGAGAGTTTTTCCAGTCCCTATTGAAGTACAATAATTTCAAATCAAACCCAATAGAATAAGAAAAGGGAAGTTTTCGACAGAAAGTAGGGAAAAAAAGAAGGAAAAGTATTGAAATTAAAGTTTGTCGGTAATTGTAACTTCAAACTACTTCAACTCTAAAGTATGCAAATTCTTGTTTTTATTTGGTTCTCTCCATTGTCCTAGCAGTCAAAAGTGCATACAAGCAACCAAATCAAAAGGTTTTCCCATTCCTTTGAACTTGATAAACAGTAATAATCTTGAATCTTAGTTCATCTATGCCATAAATAAATAAAAACTTTATGTGACAATAAGTGGCGGATGCCCAAAAAATGCAAGCATATAAAATGAGGGTTTTTCAATCAAAGTCGTAAGCTTGAATCTTCGATAATGGAGAAAAATATGCCTAAAAGGAAGAGTCCTATAGCATAGAGATTGAGCGGTGAGCTATGACTTGCCTGTGGGGCTTTCGAGCATGGAAAGACCTCCTTTGCTGAGAGAGTGATAGAGGGCTTTTTAGAGAGCTGGATGCTTTGCTCTGGTAGCTCTCTCTCTCTCTCTCTCTCTCTCTACTCTCAAGCTCGACTCTGTAGACATCTGTTTCGCGCGCTTTCACTTCACTCCCGCGCGGACCAAAAATGGGCCTTTCTAATTGGGCCATTTTGTTTTAAATGTTTTTAAGGAAGAATTAGGCCATTTGTCTAATTAATTCCTCTTTTTTCTTTATTTAATTTTTTGTTAATGAAAATAAATTTTATCCTTACATACTTCACAATGTGGTCTTCCAAAATGAATTTTGTATCACATATTTCACTTATTAATGAAACATGATCATGACCCAAGAAAGTATAAGTGTGAATGATCATCTAAAGAAAACTCGGCAAATATATGATTAATTGACTAGAGCAAGTTAAAAATGAACGCATATTTTTCTTTTTGCTTTTTTCATACAAGCAATATTGGGTAAGGGGAGATTCGAATATAAGACCTCGAGTACAAAAATAACTGCTATTAAACACTTGAGTTACAAATCTCTTACATGTGTTTTGGTTCTCAAGCCTAGCATAAAAAATAAAAAAACAATTCTTCTTTCTCCTTTGGTATATTGGAGGCCAACAAGAAGACACATGGGCCACAGAGTCAGGCCCATATCTACACTCAAAGCCCAGGCCGACAAATTCCATCATTATTCAGCTACGAAGTTCGACTTACCGTAAAACCCTCATTCGCTTACATGTTGATGTGCTTTGCATTTTTGTTGGGATTTTTGAATAACCAGAAAACGAATTTTTCATTTTGACGATGATTTTCCAGGAAAATGTTTCCTTTTTATGATTTTTGCTTCTGGGTTTTTTTTTATGGCTTTGTGTTGTTTTTTGTTGGTATTAAAAAAAAAATAGACAACTGGAGTATTAAATAAGGATAACATAGTATATCAAAAAAAATTATATTTCATGATTAATATGAAGAAGAAAAAAAAACAAGTTTTACATGGCATTTGTCATATTTTCATGGAAAATTATAACATGAATGACTATAGGACTCATGACCTTGAGATTTATAGTGCATGTTGCCTGAAAATTCATATTGGAAAATTGGTTTTCTTTATTTATTTATTCTTTGGTTGAACGAAGTCAGAGCAACAAGTAGAAACATATTTCACAATATACAAAAAAAAAGTATGTGGATCCAACATATTAAGAACGGAAAGCAGAAAAAAAAAAAAATCAAAACGTTAAATAAATAGAACTAATATACGAAAATCAAGCCCCCATTAAGTTTAAGCAAGGAAGGTGAAGATGAAGATGAAGATGAATATGAAAAATAATAAGATCTTCACCATTAAAAATTATAATAATATATAATATGACGAAACTAGTTACCACCACGAATTATAATAATATATAATTGTATTCCATGAAAACATGACAAATGCCATGTAAAACTTTGTTTTTCTTCATATTAATAACGAAATAGGAATTTTTTGATTTACTATATTATCCTTATTTAATAAATAATTTTACTTTTTTATTTCATTAAATATGGGTAGTTTGTGGTATTTTGAATATTTCATAATAGTTCAAAGCTAAACTAAACCAAACCATATACAGTATGACTCTGTTTTTAAACCGTTTAACTTTTCTTGGTTAAAACCAAACTAAACCGATAATTATAATTTAAATTGGCCGGTTTCATTGGTTTGGGTGGATTGATGCCCACCACAATAATAGAGATAGACAATATATAGTTGGTTGTGATATGTAGGTTGGCTAAAGTGCAAAGAAGGAAATTAATTATTTCAAACTTACAATAACGCAACCCTTCTCTGCAACCTTTTGTTCCATCCACAACAGAAAGAAAGAACCTTCTGATGCCCTCTAAAACGGTATATATAAATATTTATTGTTGACTTGATTGATTTGCTCAATTTCATTGACAAGATAGGATGAGGAAGAAGAGATGAGGGATTGAGGGCTGAGTGGGACTGACATTGGATTCATCGATGAGCTACACTTGCAACAGCATCTACAACCTCATCCGATTCATCGATTATCATCTCGTTTCTAAAAAGCAGTTTCAAATATGGGAGTACTTTTGGAAGCACGGGTAAATCGGCTATGTTAATACTCATCATGTCAAATCCGATGCATTTCTTATGCATGTGTGTCTCATCGAATACTTGGATTTTTCGATATCACTGGCTGAAGTGGGTAAGGATTATGCGAAAAACACCCGCAGAGTTCCCAACTTCTATGGCTTCCTTGGTTGTGCTGTGGTTTCGTGCTATAGCGTCGTCCACCATGCCATCCTCGAAAGTTGCCTGCAACAATCAGCATTGCAATTGATTAACTACCATCCTCTTCCTTTTCACACAATTTCTTACGGAATTGCAAAATTCCATCAACTTTGACAACAACAAAAATACACAAAATACATGTCATCACTTGCCTCATGTATAAGAACTGTTGCAACACGATATGCTTCTGTAAGTTCCGAGCAGGGCCTGGTATCACATGAGTATACAATCTTCCAACTTGGAATCACTTTTCTAACACTATTCAATCTCTCCAAAGCCCTCAAGACAACACCAAATGCCTATGGGCAGTGGATGACAGGAAAACTCATCAAGGCTTCCAAACTTGCTTCCCCAAGCACTTTTTGCAAGCTCTTGAAAATTAGAAAGACTACATTGTTGTCAACAAGACTACCCGATCTCTTTCAATAGCTTTGCATACGCGATCCTTTAGCAAATAGAGTAGAATCAACTTTCTATTCCACTTGCCTATATGTATTTTTATCTCTTAGGTCCTTGAAACTAGTTGGACTTCCTAGAAAAGAGTAATCCTTATTTGTTTTAGTAACGCCCTCGAAAGAATGTAAAGAATCTTCGGTGGTGTTCTTATAATCAAGGAAATACATATCCAAATCTTCAAGTCTTTGGTATGCTTCCAAAAAGAATTTAAGTTTTCTCGGTCCAACAACAAGTAATGGCTCGTGAGGCACTCCCTTCAACAAATCATGTTGCAGAGTAAGTATTCTTGCCAACCCTGTATGGTGATCATTGGCTTTCTTTGCTATGCTTGGACACCAAGGATCTTTATTGGTGTGGTGAATAGAGAGGTGCCAGTTCAATTGAATTTCTAGTTTTGGTGTAAAATTCAAATTTTATTTCTTAAAAAATAAGAAAAGATGCTCCATTGAATTCATTTCTTAAAATTGAAAAGAAAAAAAATGGACTTGCTGCATTAATGCTTCAATTTATTTTGACTTTGTTGGGGGACAACAAGAAAATGGTCTATTTGGTTGAGGAAAGAAAAAATTTCTAAGATAAATGTATATAACACCATGTACTGCCTGCACCTCCCATAATTGACGTTTTAATTGTGTTCTCAATATTTGATTAATTGACACATGCAACAAAATTCCTAGTCTGATTCAAGTAGCCACTTATTTGATACCTCACAAGGAGAATGAATAAGAGTAGGGAAAGGCAGTTGCACTCGGTGGGCACTCAACTTTGGAGCAACGTCTAGAATTTGATGTTGATGAACTTAAATAATTAGTAATCGTGAATTTAGCCAACGAAGTCTAGCCTACTGAAAAATGACTTTGACTTGCAAACTAATAGTCTCAAATTCAAACATCCATCCATGACTCATAATAGTGTACGTTTAAATAATGTGCATGGATTTTTAAAGCGTTTCATTTTCTCTCATGTTAATATTGCCTTAAAATGAATCAATGCATAGCAATGTAGTCTTTTCCTCACGTAATAGCATTACATTCAGAAATGCATAGCAATATTGCCTTATGCATACAAATGTTTAATGGAAAAAGTGTTATTTCATGCAAGATGTCTTCTATGATGAGAGACATTTGACATATGCTTCATCAATTTTAAAGTTCAAGAAGCTAAGATGATTGTGGATATTTTAGCACATTATTTATGACACTTTTTATAATCAATTTTGTATATAGTTTAGTATACTTTTTATATTCAAATTTGACATGTTAAGAGCATCCACAGTGGGGAGGTGTATTTTCGAGGGTGTAAAGCCACTTTTACATCCCCTTTACACCTCCGGGAGGTGTAAATATGTTTTTTGCTCTAATGAGAAACGATGTAACTCTAAAATGTATAATTGATTTGCTCCATTTTTCCTCTCTTTTTCCCCAGCTGGGTCCCACCTGCAAGAGATGTAAAATCAGATGTACAATTGCATCTATATTTACATTTCAGGGTGGTGATGTAAATATACATTCATTTAGACCCCCCCCATTGCGGGTGATTCCGATCACCCGGGATGTATATTTAACATACATCTCCATTATACACCCCCCCCCAACTATGGATGCTATAAGAATTAGAGTCTAGAGAAAGAGAGATAGAGTCAACACTCTCACGGCTCTATTTAATACAAGTCTTCCAACAAACATTTGAGAGAGAGAGAGAGAGAGAGAGAGAGAGAAAAAAAAACAAACAAATCAAAGAAAAAAGAAGAGGAAAAATAGTTTTGAAAGAATTAAGAAGGTTGATGAAATCATTTCAAGCATCCATGAAATGATTCCAAATATCAATGAAGTTGTTTTGAAGGTGCACGAAGAAGAAATGCTTTCAAATGTCAATGAGGGTGAAGGAAGTGCTTCCACAAGTGGAAGAAATTGTTCCAAATGTGAAGATTTTCTTGGACAACACCAATGGAATCATTGAAGCGCTTCCGACCAAGAGGCAACTTGGACTTAGGGTGCTCGAAATCGGCTTGATTGTTGGTATAGCTATTTGGCTCTACAACGGGAATGCTTTGGACAAGAAGGCAAGCAAGGAGAAGAAGGCAAACAAGGATGATAAGGCAAGCTAGAGATAGCATGAAGTATAATGTAGTTAGTATGTATCTATGATCTTCCATGCCCACCTAGCCCTCTAGAGCTTGTCTTTGGTTGCTTTTCTTATATATTTTGTCCAAGTTCATGTATATTTTCTTAGATTTCTATGCCTTTTGGCTATTGATCATGTTTCTTCTCTTATGTTTCTATTTTTTATATTTTTATGCATTTTGGCTAAATTAATATATATTGTCCTTAGTATTTTTATGATTTTATGTTCAAACAGTTCGTCTTTTTCATTTTAAATTCATGCTATTTATTAAAGTTTAGTATTGAAATTTGTAAATTGTAAATGGCAAGGGATAATGAGGTTTACTCTTTTTACAATCTTGCTTTTCAACTAATAAATTCAACCCTTGGTACCATATGTATGTGCATGATGACTGTTTTTTTTAATGCCACAATACAAACATAGACGAATAGTATAGTAGACGGGTTCTCAAAGAAAAAAAGAAAATCGACAAAAATTGCACACTTTTAAGAACCCGTCGTTGCTATACCTGTATGCCAATGAGAGAAAATCACTCTACTATACTATATGTCTATGTTTGTATTGTGGCATTAGAAAAAAAACAATCATCATGCACATATATATGGTACCAAGAACTAAATTTATTAGTTGGAAAGCAAGATTGTGAAAAGGGTAAACCTCCTTATCCCTTGCCATTTACAATTTATAAATTTCAATACTAAAATTTAATAAATAGCATGAATTTCAAATGAAAGAGATGAGCTGTTATCGTAAAAATACTAAGAACAATATATATTAATTTAGCCAAAATGCATAGAAATATAAAAAAAAGAAACATAAGAGAAGAAACATGATCAATAGCCAAAATGCATAGAAATCTAAGAAAAGATACATGAACTTGGCCAAAATACATAGAAATATAAGAAAAGCAACCAAAAACAAGCTCTAGAGGGCTAAGTGGGCATGGAAGATCATAGATACATACTAACTACATTATACTTCATACAATCTCTAGCTTGCCTTCTCATCCTTGTTTGCCTTCTTCTCCTTGCTTGCCTTCTTGTCCAAAGCATTCCCGTTGTAGAGCCAAATAGCTATACCAACAATCAAGCCGATTCCGAGCACCTCAAGTCCGAGTTGCCTCTTGGTTGGAAGTGCTTCAATGATTCCATTGGTGTTGTCCAAGAAAGTCTTCACCTTTGGAACAATTTCTTCCACTTGTGGAAGCAGTTACTTCACCTTCATTGACATTTGAAAACATTTCTTCTTCATGCACCTTCGAAAACAACTTCATTGATATTTGGAATCATTTCATGGATGCTTGAATTGATTTCATCAACCTTCTTAATTCTTTCAAAAACCATTTTTCCTCTTCTTTTCTCTTTGATTTGTTTGTTTTCTCTCTCTCTCTCTCTCTCTCTCTCTCTCTCTCTCTCAAATGTTTGTTGGAACACTTGTATTAAATAGAGTCGTGAGAGTGTTGAGTCTCTCTCTATCTCTCTAGACTCTAATTCTTAGAGCATCCACAGTGGGGGTGTATAATGGGGATGTATGTTATACATCCCGAGTGATTGAAATGCAACCTGGGGGGAGGGGGGGGGGGGGGGGGGGTGGTGTGTGTGTAAATGAATGTATATTTACATAACCACCATGAAATGTAAATATAAATGCAATTGTACATCTATTTTTACATCTCATGCTGATGGGACCCAGCTAGGAAAAAGAGAAGAAAAATGGAGCAAATGAATTATACATCTTAGATTTACATTGTTTCTCGTTGGAGCAAAAAATGTATTTACACCTCTCGGAGGTGTAAAGGGGATATAAAAGTGGATCAAGCCGATTCCGAGCACCCCAAGTCCGAGTTGCCTCTTGGTCGGAAGTGCTTCAATGATTCCATTGGTGTCGTCCAAAAAAGTCTTCACCTTTGGAACAATTTCTTCCACTTGTGGAAACACTTCCTTCACCTTCATTGACATTTGAAAGCATTTCTTCTTCATGCACATTCGAAACAACTTCATTGATATTTGGAATCATTTCATGGATGCTTGAAATGATTTCATCAACCTACTTAATTCTTTCAAAACCCATTTTTTTTCTCTTCTTTTCTCTTTCATTTGTTTGTTTTCTCTCTCTCTCTCTCTCTCTCATCCTCTCTCTCTCTCTCTCAAATGCTTGTTGGAAGACTTGTATTAAATAGAGCCATGAGAGTGTTGAGTCTCTCTCAATCTCTCCATACTCTAATTCTTAGAGCATCCACAGTGGGGGATGTATGTTAAATATACACCCCAGGTGAATCGGAACTTGCACTTGGGGGGGGGTGGGGGGGGGTAAATGAATGTATATTTACATCACCACCATGAGATGTAAATATAGATGCAATTGTACATCTATTTTTACATCTCTTGCACGTGGGACCCAGCTAGGAAAAAGAGAAGAAAAATGGAGCAAATCAATTATACATCTTAGATTTACATTGTTTCTCGTTGGAGCAAAAAATGTATTTACATCTCCCGGAGGTGTAAAGGGGATATAAAAGTGGATCAAGCCGATTCCGAGCACCTCAAGTCCGAGTTGCCTCTTGGTTGGAAGTGCTTCAACAATTCCATTGGTGTTGCCCAAGAAAGTCTTCACCTTTGGAACAATTTCTTCCACTTATGGGCGCACTTCCTTTACCTTCATTGATATTTGAAAACATTTCTTCTTTATGCACCTTTGAAACAACTTCATTGATATTTGGAATCATTTCATGGATGCTTGAAATGATTCAATCAACCTTCTTAATTCTTTAACAAACCATTTTTCCTCTTCTTTTCTCTTTGATTTGTTTGTTTTCTCTCCCTCTCTCAAATGTTTGTTGGAATACTTGTATTAAATAGAGCCGTGAGCGTGTTGAGTCTCTCTCTCTCTCTCTTTCTCTCTAGACTCTAATTCTTAAAGCATCCACAGTGGGGGGGTGTATAATGGGGATGTATGTTAAATATACATCCCGGGTGATCGGAATCACCTGCAATTAGGGGGGTAATGTAAATATAGATGCAATTGTACATCTATTTTTACATCTCTTGCAGGTGGGACCCAACTGGGAAAAAGAGAGGAAAATGGAGCAAATCAATTATACATCTTAGATTTACATTATTTATCATTGGAGCAAAAAACATATTTACATCTCCCGGAGGTGTAAAAAGGATATAAAAGTGGATTAAGCCGATTCCGAGCACCCCAAGTCCGAGTTGCCTCTTGGTCGGAAGTGCTTCAATGATTCCATTGGTGTTGTCCAAGAAAGTCTTCACTTTTGGAATAATTTCTTCCACTTGTGAAAGCACTTCCTTCACCTTCATTGACATTTGAAAGTATTTCTTCTTCATGCACTTTCGAAACAACTTCATTGACATTTGGAATAATTTCATGGATGCTTGAAATGATTGAGCCATAATTATAATTAAAACTCCCTATTAATAGCATATCATTCACCCCATTTCTTTTGGTTTCCATTCCCTCTTACTTATCGCTCCCTATTAAGGCTGGGCATCTAAAACCAGAATATCGAAATCATACACTAACCATACCATACCAAACCGGTTTCATACCGTTTCAATTGGGATGAGGAGATATTCGGTACGATGCCCTATCGTATCAAGGGAGTATGGTATGGTAGCGGTACCAGGTATTTGGTACCGGTCAATACCATACCGTACCGAATACCTTAAGTTGTATAATTTTTTCATTCTCTCGCCTCAAACGCCAAACCTCGATCTCTCAGAACAAAAATGCTCTCTCACTCTCAGACTCTTAACCCATTCAAACTCTCTTGCATACCCAACTCTCTGTCTCTCTCTCAATCTCACTGAAATTATGTATTAAATTAAACATAACCAATTTCAACTAAATTTCTTTATTAGATGTCAACAATTCTAACTGAGGCATAATGAGATCAACACACACAAGCATTAGTTTCTCTTTGTCAACTTCTTTTTTGGATTGTGCACAGATCACTGTCATTAAAACCACATTTGTTTCAAAGATAAATATACCTCAAAGATAACTAACTACATCAAACCTTCATCATATCAAATTTTCTTGCAAACATGAAAATGGGGCCTAAAAAGAGTTCTTTTGTTTTTCATTTTCCCCCCAAATTTACCCCTCAGGTTTCATAATAAAAAGAAGACAATTTTAGAACTAAAAACTGTTAAAACTTGACTCAGCTTTGTTATTGGGTATGGAGCTGCATAGCAAGAAAATTCTCCTTCACATACAAAATCTGCATTTCTTTTTGTTAATTACATCATGAATTGGCGCCTAATGTTTTTATTGGTTGTTGCTCTGTTTTTATCCGTCCCAATGGCCACATAAATTGGTGCATGAAGTTTTTATTTATTTTTATAAATTGTTGTGGTATATGCTGGTGAAGTAGAAACTTTATGTTGCGTTTATTCTAATTTTTATAAATTTTGGTACTGAAATGGTACCGTTTCACACCGATACCGATTTGGATGGGTATGGTACGGTACCAATTTTGGCAAACGATAATCACATACCATACCATACCAATTCTAATTTCCTTTATCGGTAGCAGCAGTGGCGGACCCAGAAATTTTTCAGCAGAGGTGCAATTTTCAAAAGTTAAGAGCTCAAAAAAAAATAAATAAATAAAAGACAACTAAACATCTATATAATTTAAACAATACTAATGTTTTTCATAATAAATTTAAAAAAAAACATTACAATTAGCCTATAATTGTTGCCAACAAGGTTTCATATCATACTGATCTTACTAATACAAAGAGAGCTAAATAAGAAAAAATAAATTTATTAAAAAAAACAAACAACAAATTGGCGTCTGCTCAAGAAAAAAAAAGCATTCGACTTACTTTGGATTGGCGTACTCAAGAAGGAAAAAAAAATGTAGGATTCTTGTGATGCACACACACTTTGATGAAATTGAGTAATGTTAAATTGGTCATTTATAAAGAGAATTCTCATCCCACTTAAATAAGGAATTCCCAAAATCCAATTGAATAAAGATAACTCCCACTTAAAACCCAATTAGTAAGGAATTATAGAAATTGGAAAGCCCAAGAGAAATGGCCCAGCAGCTTCCTTTAAAAATAAAAGAAAAAAAAAAAAAAAAGGTCCAAAACGGCATCGTTTTGTCCACAGGGCCCAGAGCATGTTGCGTGCATATCTGGTCTGAAGCAAAGGTGCAACTCCAGCTACTCTAATGGACTTTTCCGACGACCGGAGGTACAGGTGCACCTCCTTGCGCCTGCACAGGTTCGCCACTAGGTAGCAGTACGAGCTTAATACCGTACTATACCATATCATGCCCAGCCCTACTCCCTATTAATACCAAATTTAGTGTCAAACATAAAGTAAAAATATACATTTTAACTTTTATGTAACTTATAAATAAAAAAAATTTAACTTTACTTTTACGTAACTCAATTACAAATTTTTATTAGGTTTGGCGACTGCCAGTGCCATTTTTTTAATTCATTCCGAAAACCGTTCAGGTTTTGCTAAATTCTCAATCCATAGTAAATATAATTTATTAAAATTCCACAAGATCTCATATATCTTGTCATTGTCCAATTTCTACAATTTATGATGGAACCATGTTAGGTAACGTTACAAACATAAATTTATGATGGAACCACCATCCAATTTTTTTTTCAGTTTCGGCCTTTCTATAATACCCTTGTGCTACTTATATATTTAGAATTTTGGTTTCTGTATATTCTTTCTAATACGTTTTCACTCATTTTCAAAATCCAAGACTTTTTCTTCAAGTTCAAACCCAAGACATTGAATCAACAAATATGATTCATGTCATTAGAGAATGTTGAATCAATAAATATGATTTTGGTTCTGCTTCTTAATCTGAATGTCGTACACAACACCATGTTGGATTACGTGTGTACAAAAGTTTAGTTGGTTGTTAAAGTAGATTTATCATTTGAGTGAACTCATAACACCACGTTATCGTGTTAAACACAGCGTTATCGTAGCATGCAATGTTACCATCAAGCCAAAAAATTACTTAAGCATCTATGCAAGGAAAACTGACTAGGAGGCTATCCAAATACCTAATTATATTTCAGTTTCGTTTGTAGGTTTTTACAGTATCCTTTGTTTTGGTTTTGTTGTCCTATCGTGTCTATAAAATTTGATGTTCACATGCTTTGTTTTGGTTCTTATAAATATTTTGGTTCAAAGTCTATTATTTGATGTGAAACTCACTTGAAGATTCATATGGGAAACTCACTTGTTGAATGGTTTCAGTCAGTGTATTATAGGCTAAAGAAACTATGTGCATGCAAGTGTTTATAGTTGAGCTTACACTGTTCTTCAGACTTCAAAGGTCTCCATGGACAAGTGTAACGAGTTGACACAGCGGAATTTAAACATGAACAAATATATCTGCTCCAAGCCGAAAGAAAGAAAAAATGATTCTTTGGTGAAATGGAGAACCAGTTGAAGTCATTGTGCATGAATCAGAGGAAACACAAAAACATGGGAGTTGCAGATTTCAGTCTGAAACCTAGTAAAACAAGAGTGAATTTATTAACCAAAGCCTACTTCCTATCTTAATTACATACATATTGTCCCCCACCCGAGATAAGAAAACGTACATCTCGAGTGTCCGAAAATCAGTCTATTCATATGTTTCAGGGAAAGGTATAGAAGCACAAAAATGGTAATATCCGTTGTCATCAAACACAAACCTTTGTGAAAGATGAGCTTCACGGATAAGATACTCTCCCCATTCCTCGGATCCATACTGCTTGAAAATGCCACGGGCGTCAAAGGATTGAACCTTTCTTGTTCGATTCTTCCTGCATATTGTAATCTCATATATCACCCACAAGCAAAAGAAACTTTAAAGGGACAAACACTTAAGGGCCCCAACACTTCGGAGCGCCTAATAAACACCGGAGTAAAAGAAACTTTAAAACACTACAGAAATGGCAGCAACACCTTTTCCTATGCCTTGCATTCATCACGGTTGCATGCAACTGCAATTCAAAAGGACAAGACTCTCGTATCAACTCTTACAGTGGGATTCATAATCGAAACTAAAAACAACCAAAATTAAGAGTGCCAAAAGCAGACACAGCAGAAAGATCAAATATACAATACCTTTAATTTCTGATTAGCATCTTTCTCTAGAACAAGCCCAGCTTTAGTATATGCATCGGTAATGACTTCTAAGAAAAGCTAAAGAAATTTAATAGAAGTATTAAATCGATATAAATAACTTCAACCTAGACTAGAAAGTTTTTATTTTCTTATTCTATTGATTTCAGGTACAACAAACACAAAAATGAAATATAATGAATGCTTATAAAACTAGGATACGACAAGCACGCAGAAGTCTCCCCTCGCTGCCAATTTCTTCAACAGGAGCATAGACAACACCAGCTTTGGCCAAGGAACCTCTCATACAATTCTGCAAGAACATGAAACATCTCAAGTGTTAAATAGCACATAACCAAAATCATAGGAAAAGCAAATAGCATCAGCCCCACTCTGGCCATCACCAATAGAAGACATATGAAAGCCTCATAGGATGCGAACAAGACAGTGAAGTCAATACATATATAAGACAATGAAAGCTAAGCAATCCTTCACTGAAAAACCAAGGCTTTTATTCACAACATGCTTGTATTTATTTATTCAAAACAAAGGTAAATATTATTTATTCTCAGAAGTCAAAACTTACTGCTTTTGGTAAAGGTGCTCAAGATGAATCCAGTATGACAAGTGAACAATGTAAAATTTGAGAACATGTGAGACAGTGCAAAGATTGGTTACTTCAAACTTTTTTACTAGTAGCCACAGGTATAAACTACAAGAATAAAATCTTAACCCCAACAAAATCATTTTTAACTTAAAAGCTTAAAAACATGGGCTGATGCATTATCATATCCTTGCTCCACATAATTAGCTAACACACTATTTGGTTTAGTAGAAAGGGAAGAAAGAATAATACCAGTCCCTGAAGTCTTATGGAGACAGGACGATTATCTAAAGCTTCGATCACTTTTGAAGAGACGCTCTGGATAGAAACACACAACATTTTATTTCAAGTTGGCCCCTGTCAGCCTATTTTTATTTGATTCAGTTATGCTTACCTGCAAAACCTCAATAGCTGCATGAACTCGGTCTTTGTTCCACAACTTCAGCATAAGCACAGTTAAGTGAAACGTTTTTGGTTTAATGAATATTGACTTTTCAATTCCCAAGTCTGTCAAGTGCACAGATTGAAATGAGATTTTGACCCAGGAAAAAGAGGAAAAGAGAGACACAAGTACACAAATTGTTTAGGAAGAACAAGCAAATGATCCTCAATAAGTTCCAATGAATGCAACAAATACAGAAATTAAACAAGTAATATCTTATGGGGGAAACAGTTAACAGTGACCCAATCAACAACTTCATGGAAACTAAATAATATCACTAGTATCAACTTCATGGAAACCAAATAATATCACTATCACTATATTCAAACCGTCAACTCCTTAAGCCTCATGCATCATGATTCTTTTCCATCTATAATAATATTTCCGTACCAGATAGGGTGGAAGCCTTTGACGTTTTAGGAGCATAACTGACAAGAGGTATGTGAGTTAGATTCACATTAACTTGCTCACTGTCACCTTCAACATTAAGTTCAACTGCGACATCAGTTCCTTTCTCTAAATTTTGGTCTTCTCCTTCATTCTCAGAAGTATCTTCATTTGAATCACTATTCATTTTCTCATCTACGCAAGAATCACTAATTCCCAGGATGGAGTTCTGAAAGTTGACAAGCTTATCAACTAATTCAGGATGTATTGCCAATGGAAGTGAAATGAAGTGAGAGTAATCAAGATTTTGGCTCTTAACTGCCTGTATGTTTAAGTAGAAAGTAAGATGTTAATTATGTGTAACAGTATGCTCTAAATAGCAAAAGAAAGACGAGTGATGAGGGACAAATTGTGTATATAAAGGAATGGGCATAAGCTCTAAACAAATAATAATGACTTGTATTAAATAATTGGTAAAAAAAATCGAGAGAAATTAAAAATAAAACAGAACCACCCTTCTTCTGCAAAACTACATTGCTAGGCAACTAACCTCATCAATTATCGTATGTATCTTCTCAGAAGCTCTAGATATACTTTCCATTGAGATGCCTTCAATAACTGTGAAAGATAACCAGCTAAAAATAGTTAAACCACATTCACATTCCCCAGACAGTCTGAAATCCTCATGTAAGAATACAAGATTATATGAACTTGGCTAATATGTCCTGTCACAATTATGAAAGAGTTGAACAACAGTAGACCTGAACAATTTCTATTTGATCATAAAGTCAAACTCTTGTTAACTTTTAAGTTAAAACTTACTAACTGAATCCTCCTCCTTTGATGAGGGGATTATAATCTTAACTCCCATCTCATCTTCAATCTCTCTCTGTGTAGATCCCCTGACACACACAACAAACAATAATAATTACAATATATGAGAAAGTAATCCTATAAATATACTTTTATAAAACATTTACATGCTGAACTATGTACCCTTTTCCTCTAATAAAGCGAACCAAAGAAGCACCAACCTGCATAGCAAGGAAGAATGTGAGAACAAAATAAACAGAACGAGTGTCATCAAGGCAACAAAAAAGTGAGTAGCAGGAACGTAAAAGGGTAGAATGGAGTATGCAATGACTAGCATTATGAGAAATGCCTTTGAAGTCCAATGTGCAGTAAGCAATACCGGCACCAATTCTATAAAAATCCTAGAAAATTCCTACCGTAAGATGATGATACAACTGATTTTGTTTCTATTCAGCACTCACTCAGGCACTAATCCTGAACTCTTCCAACTCCCCCCCACCACACAAACAAAGAAAAAGATAGTACATGAAAAGGCATTGTAGCATGAAGGGGTTCAAGTAAAAAATATCTTGAAAATCTCAATTAAACTGTAAAACTAAGCAAAAACATACAGTGCGGCCTGATAACCTTATGGATCAGAAAAATAGAATTTTCAACAAAATCATGCCTCAACTGAAATTGAATGCTTTTCAGTAGAAACCACTGATTCTCCTCTGAAGACTGTATTTTCCCCATTATCTTGCAATGCACTGGAACTAGCAGTAAAGTCCACCTCTACGACATTGTGAGCACTTGAAATTCTGGTAGATGTGCAATGGTGCACTTCTTGGACTTGAGCATCAGATTCCAGCTCATCTGTGGTCACCTTTACTGAGCATTCTGCAAACCAATAAATCTGTAATAAAATCTGGACAGTAACCAATCATTACGCCTATAAAATAAAAAATAAAAAAAATTCCAACCGAATCGATCATAAGTTTAACAATCGCTGACCAATAATGTGTATAGATTATTATACAAAGTTGTAGATATAATTACATGTTTCAGTATGTCTCAATATTCATCTAAAAAATAAGAGAAACTTTACTGCAATTAGTATCTAAAGCTCAAAGGATTAGAATCAATGTGAAAAGTAGCAGGCTTCTATTAGCCTAGGCTACATGATGATGCTTAAAGGTAACCCACCTTCATTGGAAGTGGCTTGAGTACTGATTGGTCTCCATACAGTATTAGTTGTTCTGATCTTTTTGTTACGATCCCTGCCACTTTGCTTATCTTTTCCACCACCCATTTTAATATTATAGCTCAAACCACAATAACCACGGTATCCCTGTCACACGGGTATGAGTCACAAAAATATCTACTTGAAATCCCAGAAAGCATCACAAAGTGACAACTACCTCCAGTGAAGTCTAAATTTGGTTCCAAACTCAATTTCATGGATACAAAAATTCTCCTCAAAATCAAGTTCATTTCCCCTCCTTTGTTTTGTGCAAAGTATTGAATTAATCTTTGGGGAAAAAAATATAAAAAAACCTATCCAAACTACTTCATTAGTTTCTCTTTTCAAAGAATTAATCCTTGATCACTCAAACAACCCAACAAAATGCTTTTCTGAAACCACAATCAAAACACACAGTTTCATAGGCAGAGTACAGATATAATTATGGCATCAGATTGAGTTTCTTATGCATTAAATGCATAGTGATATTTGTACTGATTTAAACCCAAAAAGAAAAAGGGATGACAATAAAAAATAACTAACCAAGAAGTAATTCACTGGCTCCAATGCAGCATAAGTAGTTGTAAATTTCAGAAATCGATCCACTCTGCAATTTGCAAATATAGGGATTAAAAGTTCATTTCTTTAACTCTCCTCCAAAAGAGTACATATATGCTTGTAAAAAATAAAAAAATGGTTTCTGTTTCCACGAAACAAAACTGAATTCTACAGCTGAATCAGATATATGGAAGACAACATAGGAACCCAACAAAAGAAAAGCGATAATGTTAATTGAAGGCATGCTGACTTTGATAAATTAATTAGGCGTTGTTCGGCGACGGAGAATTCAGCAACTGAATTGTTGAGACTTTTTTAATTATTTATAGTTAGCTCAATGAATAAGGTATAGGGGGCAAACAGAGTGTTAGAAGAACTAAAAGAAGAGTATGCGTTCAGTACCTGAAGAGGGACCTGGAAGCTAACATTAGCGGTAGCGGTTATTATGTGGTGTCTCCGAAGAAGAAGAAAAAGCAGAGGTTCGACGGAGGAGACGGGTGGATTGCAGAGTTAAGTTCTGATGACACGTATCCTTTTGCACGTGCGAACATGGGCTGCAATAGTAAAGGCCCAATTCTATATGCATCATCATAATCACATTTTCTTTCCTAATTTGAGAAAATTATACCAATCTCTCACTTTAATTTATTCTTGCATCTGAGAGTCTGTATTCAATTTTTTCTGTTCTCGAACACCGCTATGAAAGAAATTTTTTGTCTCGCATTCACAATCATGCTCCTTACTTTTCAGTTAGAATTTAGCTAAAAATACAAAAATTATTTTAGGAGCTTTTTATCAAATTTGAACTCCAATTATACACCTATTTTAGGGAGTCATAAATACTATAATTATTTTTTAATTCAATATAATTGATACATCTCTATAAAAAAATAATATTTAAAAAGAGTTATCATTAATTAAAAGTTTAAAATATACATAAAACAAAGCACCATTAAATTATTGAGAGCCATTATGAGTTATTTTTCTTTTCTCGGATTTAGGAGCTCTTAGAAGTCTCCCTATTTTATAAGGTGGATAGGGAGCATGGTTGAATTTGTCTTTTTCCAATTCCTCCCTAAAATATGTCTAAGGAGGTGGTTTAGGGAACCCATTGCGGATGCTCTAAGTTTTCTATTTGAGTAATACTAAATGTGGGATATCCATATTATATGTCACATCAATTAAATCAATGAAGCGTATTTTAATTAAGACAATTAGAAAAACAAATTCTGGAATAAATCATAAAATAAAAGAAAATATTAAATAATTTTAATTGATGTGGCTGTCCACCTTAATTGCCACATAAGATGGTATAGGAATGTGGTATACAAATGTGGTAAGAGTAGCATTATTCAAATCAAATGACATTAAGTGGAGGAGATTACTTTACATGTAAATGGGATTTTGACATTAGTCAATTTTCATAACCTTTTTCTTTTCTTTAAATTGTTTTAACTTTTGTTGTTTTGAAATTTGACAAGTGTCAAATTCTTATTTGCTTTGAGAATGAGCTCTTAGTTTGAAGGAGCCAAGTTTTTCTCTTTTTAAAATTAAATCCACGAGGTTGTGAATATGTTTACACGTAAGCAAAGAAAAGAAAAATGAATCAATATGTGACACCTAAGCAAGGATGTGAAGCTAGGTGGACTTCAGTCTAATTAAAAACTTAATTATTCTAAAGATAATAAATAAATAAAATGCATGCTAAAAGACTTAATTAAATCCCATGATTGTAAAAGCAACTAAAGTAGTTTTATGAGGAATTAATGAAAAAGGGAACGGATACTTCAACCTTTGTCATATGATCCCAAATCAATCATATTCCATACTTGATCCACAAGTGATCAAATAGTCTCGGTTGAAGGCAAGAATACACTCACAACTACTTCAACCTCTCTCTACATTTTCAAGCTTTGAACAAGGAAGAGACACAACTTGACCAATTTATTAGGCCAATCTTCAAACACTTGATCTCAGCCATGGTTTGTGTAGGAGTCTTTTTTGGCTGCGAACAACCCCGTTCTGCCAAAGGTTATGTTCTCTCAGCCTTGGCCATAATTGGCATTCTCTTTGGCTTGCGCATCCTTTGTTACAGCATCTATCGGTGCTTCAAGAGCGAAATGCAGCATCCTCACAGCCCTCGCATCGAGCGAAACCCGAACGATGGGTTGGAAATGCAGCCATGGGAGATTCAGGCTCACCACCCTGCAGCTGTGGGCAGAAATTAGAACCAAATTCGTGAAGTCTAGAGGCCAGAATCCCCAACATGTTATACGTATTATCTCTGAAATTCTAAGCTTATAGAAAATTGATAGCTCTTGCTTCTCTGTTGCAAATGTATAATGAAGTCAACTTCGGGTCAAATATTTTAGTTGGTCCCATATGAGAGCCCATTGTGGACCCCATTCTTCTTTGTAATTTAAAAAAGAAAATTATAAAATGATTACATATATACAACAAGCATGCATATTTCTAGGAATAATTGGCCGAAATTTCAACTAATATATATTTGGACAAGTTATAATCATACACGTATGGCAAATGAAAGAGTGTGTGTATACTACTAAATTAGCCACCAAAACATAAATTATTACATAACCTAAATTTACTTTCTAATTATGTATGCCTGTGGGCAAATACGAATATCAAACGAGACCTCACCTTACGGTGGGGAGCTACAAATACCAAACAAGACCTCAATTTATGGTGCGGCTAAATATATTGGGATCTTTTTATCAAAAATTGTAAGAAATACCTTAATGTTGCAACAAACGAACTTCTACGTCGGAGTCGTGGAAGGAAAAATCAACGTGCTATTTCTAGGAATTGTAATATCAAATTTGGACATAACCAATTTTACTAGGTAACATTTATTTAGCAAAGTGGAATCTTTAACAACTTCAATACAAAGCTATCATTTTTGGAGATGGAGATAAATTACTACATTTTAGTATTTTTGACATATCGGGTATAGTAATTGCAACTTAGTTTTTATTCATATTGTCATGTTTGATTTGTGTAATAATATAATTCAAATAATGTTCAGTTTTTAGGAGCAAAATGTACTTATAATGGGTTTTATACCTATGTGTCTACAAAACTCAACATGTGACGTGGAGCTATGAAACTCGATATATGTAAGTTTTTGTTGGTAAAAGTTGGGGCTTTAAATTGCAATATGCTTCTCTATGCTTCTCGAATCAGTGATTTTCACTCAGCGATGGGTCAAACTTCGTAAAGGTCCGCAGGAGTCTAGATGGGCTCAAATTGAAACAAATTCTGATTTGCATGTGTCAAATAATTAATTATGATTGTAATTCAATCATCAAAAAGGCATCGAATTAGTATCAAACTGCAAATATACATAATAAATAAAAACATGTTTGAGATTACCAAAACTGCCACTTCATTTTTCCTTTTTAATACAAGGGATGTTTTGGAATCTATAGTTCAAGTCAAGACTATCTGCATAGCTGCAACAAAAATTTATTGTATATACTTGAAATATATGGTTCCACATATAATAAGCAGCCAGTTTTATTACTAATATGAGGGGCATTGTATATTTGAATCGCGTCTCTCCTAATATCACTTATATATATAAAAATAAATAAAAACTATGTACGCATAAGCAAAGTCGTAATTAGTATTGCTACACCAGAGTTATGTACACATATGAAATATGTATACAAGTTAGCTATAGCTAGATCCCTAATTGAGAAAAGTCCCCTTCCCTTCTAGAGCTCAAAATACTCGCACCCATTTTGCGTTGAAGTCATATTTTCAGCAACTTTATTTGTGCAGGTCACACGCCACACTTTAAGAACCCCATCAATACTCCCAGTGCAAATTGTGCAACCCTCCTCAGTCTCTTCCCCTAATCGTCCAGAAAATGCTGCGACACACCTGATTGGGCCTCTGTGCCCCACAAGCACTGCTAGACACGTGTGCTGGCCATCCTCTACATCCCTAGACCAAATCCTACTGGTTGAGTCAGCGGACCCACTCACCACGTAGTTCGCCACGCTGGTCAAACACATCACTGCATGTGTGTGGCCTTGGAGCGCACCCCCATACTGCAACTGGCCTGAGAACCAGCCCTTGAGCCAATAGTGTATGTACCCGTCGGTGCACCCGCCGTAGAGGACCCCGCCATCTGAGGTTAGGGTTAGGGTTTTGACCGGAGAGCACTTGGCGGGTAGAGTTATAGTGAGCGAGTGAGGAAGCTGGTCGCCGCTGCAAAAGTTGCGACGCCAGACTCGGACTGTAGCATCGTCTGAGGCTGTGTAAAGGATCCCATCATCGGCGACAATGATGGCATTGATGGGCCCGGAATGAGCTTGGATGGTCTCAATGCACTTGAGGTCCGAAATTCGCCACACTTTGACTGTTTTGTCTGTGGAAGCTGAGTATAGGATGTCCTCGGATACATTGATCGCTAGGGATGTTATAGCACCCATATGCTTTATCTGTTACGTACATAGAAATATTAATCAAAGTAAATTTGATCTGTTTTTTTTAGCAATTTGCAATTACAACAACAAAAGCCAAGAACAAGAATGATATACGATGGATTCATCTATTACTGCTACTAATTAATGACTGTTCCTGTGTTCCATCTACTAATTTTAGCATAAGAGACAGAAAATTTAATTCGCACTTCGTCTTGTGTTGTCTAATAATGGTCATAAAAGACGACCAACAAAATCTGTACTGAATTCAATGAATCAACAAATTTAATTTAATGGACCGTTAATTACTTGAATTTTTATTAGAGATGCGATCATTAATCTAAACGTGTAGACTCCAAACATATATATTTTGATTCTCTGATGATGGTTACGTTATTGCAGCCAACGATGGACCCAGAAAAGTTTTTTAGAAAGGCTATAGTCTAAATATCTTAATCGGGAGGACCACTACATAAATTTAATTCCAAAAATAGTGTATAATACTAGGTTGGGGCCATCCCAAGCCTATATGTGATTATCCGATTTCACCATCTCACTCTTCCTATGACACATTGGGGCATCATAATTAATGGTCTCTCCAAAGTTTCAACCCCTATATGTCACACTCATCAATATTCAAAAAATAAAAAAAACAAAAAAAAACTCTTACCCACCCAAAACCTACCATTAATTAATAAACAAAAAGAAGAAATATATCAAACATTGAGTTCTTACAGTCTTATCTTTGCCGGCAATGTAGAAGCTCCGAACATAACTTCCGGTCTTTGGAATAGTAGCCAACTTGACATGCTTCAACCCCCCATCCCATGCTCTCTGCCAAACCCTAACCTTACCGTCGCCATAAGCTGCATAGACCTTGTCATGGGAAACCTCGATTGCCACAACCATGCAAGCCTTGGCCTTGAGCTGCCCACATTCTGTGAACTCGGGGAGCTTCCAGAGCCTTATGAGGTTGGTGGTAGAGCCGGTGTAAACGAGGCCGTTGGATGCGGCAATGGACAAGATCTGGCCGTCCTTTTGGAGGACGGATGAGATGCAGCGGTAGGCAGTGAGGAGGTCGGGGTTCTTGGAGGGAGTAGGAACGAGAGGGTGGAGGGGAGAGGAGGTTGGGGAGGCATGGAGGCTTAGGGTTTGGGAGACGGAGGAAGGAGAGTTGGTAGGGTGTGGTGGGGTGTATGGGAAGTGTGAGAAGGATGGGGCTTCCTTGTTTGAAATGCTTCTGAACATGTTTTGGTTTTGTGTATTTTCTTCTGTTGTTGGTGTGATTTTGGGTTTAGGTTTGGTTGAAAAAAATGGGGTTTGGGGAGAGTTGGAAGAGCAGTAGGGAAGCCATTTTCTTTGTCTCAAAATGCAGCAAAGGAGGGGGTCTTCTTTTGGTGCATATATTTTGGTGAAATGAAATGTATAAATGCTGCGAAATTCGGCCAGTGGCGAGTACTGGTGGTGTGTAAATGTTTATAAATGCGATGGGTTCGTAATTTAGAGTAAGATGTGACAACACATACGTATATGATATATATTCCATATCATTTCCAAGGAAGATGTCAAATACCAAACATTAAATTTAAATTTGATAGTTAATGTGGCAATATGACATCTTACACAGCTTTGCACTCCATCCGATATGTCAAATTAAATTATTATTTTATTACATTTTAGTGTTGATTTGTTTTTAATTAAAAAGAAAAGAAAATAAATAATAATAAAATATTCATTTGACATATTGCTTTTGAGATGTTAAAAATAACATTTTAACCTCTAGCCTTCATTCCACATCAGCTTTGACATATTGGTTGGAGTGATATGAAATGTTATTTCTAGCCGTTAAATGTCTATATGACACTTTTGACACATCGGCTAGAGATGCTTTAACGTCTTTTACAATTTTATAGTTTATATATTTTACTTTACTAACCGAAAGTTTACCTAAATTTAGACTTTACTATATCAAATTTTTTTCATATCAACTTCGTACACAAAATTTGAGTTTTCTATTATTTTCATACATCCGTTAGTCATTCCGTCAAATATTTCATAGTTTTAACCACATATAGCTTACCTAACACTAGGCCTGGGCACGGATCGTTTACGAACGGTAGTGGGCTCTTCCGTTAACAAGCCTTCGGGAGACCAATTTCTCTTTCATTAACCAACCATTACAACCTTTAACCGCTCGGATTGCTTAACCGCTTATTTAATTAAGATTAATTGAGTAATCCGGCAGTAGTAGTACCATTTAACAAAAAATCTTCAATACAAATATTTTTTGCTAATGCTAGTTGAAAAACTCCAACTCAACATTTAAGAAAATTCCCAATAGACAAAGATATGTCAAATTCAAGGATCCCTTCTTTACCCGGGATCATTTCCAAAGGTTTTAGTGAGGAGTAGGCAAATTCATACTTGCATATATTAATATTTAAATGTGGGTACTTAAATAATGAAACGTCTATAGAATATAGCACCCACATTTAAAGAGAGAGAGCTTATAGGCTTATATTCTAACACGTATTTGTGTATGTATAAAGAGAGAGAGCTTCTATTGAGGGATTCTTCAAATAAACTTATTTGAATGACACCCTATAGGGCTCACTCCGTATTGTATTTCACTAATCCAAACCATCTATTTTGTAGATATTCTTTCAAGAATCATCTCTATAAAAAAATCCCTTAAATCCGATATTATTTTACCACTCAATTAAATTATTAAAATTTAAGTACTTTCTTGAATCATCGTATTCATTGATTTTGTTGGTCTCAATTAGATGCCTTAATGATTTCAATTTGCATGATTTTTTGAAAGGATGATCTCTGAATGAAAATGTGAAAAATAGATGATTTGGATCGTTGAAAAAAAAATTGTATAGGACCCTAAATAGTATCCCTCAAATAAATTTATTTGAGAAATCCCACAATAAAAAGGGACTGTATATATATATATATATATATATATATATATACAATTTTGATCACATAAGAATGACTGGATTTTAATTAAAATGCAGACACTAAAGGTGAAACGTCATATCAATCCAATAGTATTACAGCTTTAATATGTATTAATTGACAAATACATCTTTACTATAGGCATGTGTATTCTTCTTATGTATATATGTATGTGTGTTTTATATATAAACATACATTATAACGAAAAATAGATCATATAAATTAGTTCGGTTCGGTACGAATTTTTGTCAGATTAGAGTTACTATTACCCAATTTTTTTAACCAAATACTTTGATACCGATCGATCTAAAGAATAAAAAATTAAAAATTAAACAAACTAAGCCAAACCAAACTATCGATACAATACGATCGGTATATGGATTTTTCGGATGAGATGCCCACCCAACCTAACACTAACGGGTACCATTCATTGATCACCATATAGCTAACACCACCAACGGAGTTTCTTCTCATTCAATTCCATTATCCTTTTTTCTCCCAAACAATCAAGAAAGAAAGGGACCCACACTTGCCCCAAGGCTCTCTCCTCTCTCATCACTCCCTCTCACTCTCTCTCACTTTCCATTTCTCACAAAATGCCACTCCCTCCTTCATCTTCAACCCAAAGATCACCAACCAAAATGCTCGAACGAGCCCTCTCCTCCCGCCGGAACGCGCTCTACGCGGACGAAGCCGCGGCCGAAAACGATGCCGTAGCTGCCGACGAGTCCAAAACCAAGAAACACTTGCCCATCTCCTTCTTCACAACCCGAATCACCAACTACTTGACCCGAACCGGACCAGTCTGGCCCTGCCTCCTCCTTCTCGCTCTCGTCCTCCTCCTCATCTTCTCCCTCATCTTCAACTCCCGGAGATTCGTCTGCGTCTCGCCTTACGACCCGGTTTCTCGCTCCGGCTTCTTCGGGTTCGATGGCCTCGAATCGGATTTTGGATCCCTCGGCGTGCCCTGGTGTAAGTATATCCGACTCGAATCGCATTTCTGTAAAGTCGTATTCTTCAGTGATAGATTGATGGATCTGGATGTTGTTTTGATGTCGACGTCAATTTCGGATCAAGGGTTTGCTAGCGTTTCGGGCTTCGTTTCGTTGCCTTCAATAAAAGACGTAGAATTTTTTGGTAACTGAGTAATTGGGGAACTTGGAATCAATTTCAAGTCTTTCACTTTATGGGTTTGTAAGAAAAGTTGGAAAATTTAGCTCAGTTGAGTTGACTTGAGTGAAAAATGAATTTAGTTGCACTGGCTTAGTAGTAGCTTCATTAAGTTGATATTTCAAAAGGAATTGTGATGTGCGTATTTTGGATTGTAGTTCTTGCTGGTATGAGATATGTTTATATTTACAAACTTTTCTTTATGTTTTAGACTTGTCTAGCATTTGTTCATAATCAAAGGGTGGCAAACCAACCATTCTGACTGAATTTAGCACCCCCATTAAAATCTGCGGTATAGAAGTCTAATTAAAGTTAGGATTTGTTGCATTAAATATGAGGGCCAATGCCCATGTCAGTCCCGTTGCTTAATGTTCTTGAAGTTGGTAGTATGTGAACCCCGGTGGGTTCTTTATGAGTGAATGCGGGGAATTTTGAGTTTTTTTATTGAGTTTAGAATCCTTGCTTTTAGTGTGAGTTTCTGGGTTCATACCTTTGTTTGATTCTTATAATGTTATCCTTGGCAAAAGGCAGATCGAAACATGGAAAAACAGTTGAATGGACGTCAAAGGATTTAATCAAGGGCTTGGAAGTGTTTGTACCTATATATGAAACACGACCAATAAAAAACAACCAGTTTGGGATGGGTTTTGACCACAGCTTTGGGCTCTGGTTCATTGCGCAGTGGCTGAAGCCAGATCTGATGATTGAGAGCGGGGCTTTCAAGGGGCATTCCACTTGGGTTTTGCGGCAAGCGATGCCAGACACGCCAATTATAACCCTTACACCCCGGCATCCTGAAAAGTATTTAAAGAAGGGGCCTGCATATGTTGATGGGAACTGCACTTACTTTTCTGGAAAAGACTTTTTGGATTTTGGAAGTATTGATTGGCGAAAACTAATGAAGAAACATGGGATTACTGATCTCAGCCGTGTTCTTATTTTTTTCGATGACCATCAAAATGAACTCAAAAGGTACTTACAATATCTCAATGTAATTGTGCTCCTTCCACTCATTGTTGAACGATCACCAGAAATCCTGATTGCTTACATTTTCAAATTTTATGCTCTGGTGAGCAGAGTTCGGCAGGCTCTGAAAGCTGGTTTTCGACATCTAGTTTTCGAGGATAATTATGATACTGGAACAGGAGACCATTATTCCTTAAGGCAAATATGTGATCAACCCTATATAAGAGGTTCATGCTCTCTCTTGTTATTTTTCATTTTTCAACTATTTTTTGTCATTTTCTTTATGTTATAATATGCATTCATGCCTTTGCCCTCTTTCTTTCTTATGAAGGCCAAAGTAACTTTAGTTGATGTAGTATGGATTGAATACTGGTAAATAATTTTGTTAAATAAAAGAAACCATAGTAGTATATAACCAAGGAGTGAGTAATTGCTGAAAGACTAAGTGTGTGGCCAAATACGTACCTCATTTTTGTAGAAATGTGTGTTTTTCTTTGGTTTGTGGTTGAATAGTTTTTTGGTTTTTTTTCCCCATAGAATTATCTTTTTCATCTGTTGGTTATGGTTTATTGCTTCAACAAGTAATTCTTTTACTGTAGATTTGGTCTTATTTTTTTCTTTTGGGTGCTGCAGGAGGTGGTCACAGCTGCTTTAAAGACAGTGATGAAGCTAGGATTAGGTCAAGAAGGAAGACGTTCTGGGAGAAAGCAGTGGATATTGACGAACTTTGTGGCCCAGGTGAAGCATGGTGGGGTGTTAGAGGATATATGCTGGATGACTTTAACAACAGTAAAAGTAATAAGCTGATTTCGTTTTCAGAACATTTTCAGAATAGTCGGTTTGTTGAATCAGTTCTTGATGTTTACTGGGAGGTGCCACCAGTGGCAGGTCCATCCCTCACCCATCAAACTAGATATGATCCTGCTCGTGCAGTAACTCCCGTTGTTGAAGATGGCCGGTATGGCTTATTCCAACGGCTTGGTTTAACCAGACTCGATCCTTCTGTATTTAATGGATATACTCAGATGGCTTACCTTCAGATCTCTAAACAGTAATTTTAGAGCTGTCTAGATTCAGATACGTTATTTAGCTTTCAATAGTTGTTCATATTATGCAATATGCATGCATTTTTCTCAATAGCTTTTCCGCTCGTTTATTTCCTTTGATTTATTTGTCTTTCTATCGTCAATTTGTGGAATCAGTCTGAGTGACAATTGTTCTGTACTAGTAACTTAGTAAGTATCATGTCATAGCTGGACCATTTTGACTTGTTTTCAGCTGTCCATTTTGACTTATTTGAACTGATTCAGTTAACTTGTCTGTTGTAATATTTATAAATTCAATTAATTCAAGATTTCCTTGTTTTCAGTAGCCTGTTCCTATGTCAAATTTCAGATTCTCTCTCCAAAACTTAATAGCTGCATGGTTTTAGTTTAATGACAGTTATGTTTGAATTTTGGAAACGCTATGGTTTAATCTCTAGAACAAGATGAATTTTAGCGTAACTCCAACATTCTGTTTCTGTAAAGGCTTGGTGTCCATTAGCTATTGGATTGAAGTTGTCTAAGCCGAAAATGTTGCGACAAGGCGAGTAATGCATATGCTAATTTCTAAGGTCTTTGAACAAGTCAAACAAACTCAAATCAGTTCTTTATTGTTCTTCTCAAATCAGCAGCTAATCTCAAAATCATTGGATGGACATGGACTTATACATACAGTTGTTCTTCAGAGAAGAAAGGAGAGATTTGCAAGCAGCAAGGACCATTTACATAGGAATTAGAATATATGGGTACATAAGAGAAATAGCAGCAAAACAAACACATAATCTGGACATCTCCAGTGAAAAACTTTCTAACTAGTAGGAAAATTTCCAATCCATAAAAGACAAAAACTAGGATACTGAAACATATGTGGCAAACTGCAACATGCACCCAACTTAAAGTCCATTGAAAGGTTTCAATACTCAGAAGAATGCCATTTCCAGCTGGTACAGTTTATGTTAGTTGCGGTTCTTGCACTTCTCCACGGCCCTTGGAGCTGCGAGCAAAAACAGTGATCAGATAAATTACTAGCTGGATTGCAACAATCTCAGAGTTTAAACATCGAAAGGAAATAAAATACCACCATATTCCTCACAGTCATGGGCAAATATATGATTGATCAGTGATAAAAGAAAACATAGGCTATGCTGGGATGTGCAGATAAAACTGAAAATGTATCTTTGCTAGTTTATAATTGCAGAACATACCTAGCCCGATTGCTTCGGAACCTTTCATGATCCTTAGCCTCCTACACGTCTCAGTGAACATCCTGTCATATTACACACTGATAAGATGAGAACAGAATAACATCTAAAGACAATAGACTTCACTGACTGTCAAATTTGAGATCAGGTGAACTGAGGAAAAGTAAGATAATGAAATGAAAGGCAGCACTATATTTCATATCAGGTGATACATAATTCTGCAACAAAACGCGTCTGCAAGTTAAAATCACTACTATTTATGGATCATACAAGTCAATCAAGAATCAGTTAAGATAATTCCAATGACAGATTTGCGTGAGTCTAATAAATCAGCTAGATATTTTTTTATTCAAAATCATCACTCCTGCAATTCAGTTCAAAAAGCCATAGCACAGAACATTTGAAACTTACTTCCAAGGAACATCACCAACAAGCATCCAATCATCATCCTTGTCTTCATAAGTCAGAACAAATTCAGAACCATGGAGAAGATCCATCAACCGACTCGCACTCAGGCCATCTCGCTCTGGAATTCCATTAGAGCTGCACTGCCCTGAATCACAGCCAATCACAAAGTTCAGTAAATACTTGTCTGGTTTACCTTAAAACATCCTATGAAACATTTAAACACCCTTTTGTAGGCTCACTGCTAGTTAGATAGTCTTTGGTCCGGTATTAGGGAGTGTCAGTAGTGAAGTCCCTAACTAACAAGTAACAACTATGTTACCTGAGGTGCAACTGCATATTTCAGCTTTATTAAACACCAACCTTAATTTATATTCTGGATCAAACCCTACTGGCAGGCGTTGTACACCAAACTAAGTGACCGAATTACTCAGTCTGCATGTGCATGCCTGCCTGCACTTGAGAGAGAGAGAGAGAGAGAGAGAGAGAAAGAAAAAAAAAAGAGAAAGAAGAGTACCAATGGTGAAGCAGCTAAACATCTTCTCCAAAGCCATGGAGAGTTCAGTGTAGTTGTTGTAGGTTTTAAGGTCAACCTTCCGCAGGTAAGGAGCACCATCCATGCTAACTTTCACATAAAGGCACCCAGACTCTTGTTTGCCCTCAGCATCATCATTGTTCTTTGCCAAATTAGAGGCCATGGAGTTCTTCCGAAATGATCGAATTGGGGGCCATCCTACCACCTGTGCCCTGTTACACAAGTAATTTATTATTCATTAAAATTCACCATTAGTACCACATATGTAGGAAATCGTTACTAAGGTTAAAAGTTACATACATAGATGAGTGAGGAGAGATATATTGAAAGTCCAGAAAGATAGAATAACAAATAAAATAACATTTTTAGAAGTTAAGGGAGAAAATATCTGAAGACTACATGCAGAAAAACATTAGGAATCAAATTATACCAGAGTAAAACAACATACCAGTAAACACTACAGAAAACAATAAAAATAAAATTTAACATCCTCTATAGTAAAACCCTTCCAGGAAAAAAAAATTTTGTCCCACTAGGGAAAGAAAATTAAGATTGAGAAAAATGAAGCTGAATTTTTTTTAATTCTTTCTTGACCAATTTATTTATTTTCGTTCCCAGAAATCAAATTTCCCAGGAACCGAAGGAACATTTGAGGTAAAAAAATATCCCTGTAAAAAGAAATAATTAAAAAATGAGCAAAGAAGATAAGTAAGCTTACTTGGCAGCAGGAGCACTAGCATGCTCAGAGACCTGAGGCTTCTTCTCCAGGACTGGCTTTGGTGATTGAGGAACAGAAGCAACCTCTTGCTTGGCTTGTGCAGAAGCACATAACTGTTGGGTTTTACCATTACTCTCAACACCAAGAGACTTAACATTATTCATACCTCTAGGAGAGAACAAGATTGCTCCTTTACCCATATCAACCTCAGATCCAAAAACCCATTTCTCAGAAGAGCCATCAATGGCATCAGAGAAGCCCCTCTTAGCCCCAGACACAGGGTTCTTTGAAGGGTTTGGAGTATACCCATTATGCTTGTTATCCTCTAAATCTTTTCCAAAAATAGAGACCCCAATTCCAAGTCCTGATTTTCTGTCGGGAGAGCGAGAACCAGGCAAGCCAAGCCTTAGCTCAGTCTCCTTGAGGTTGAAAGTAGAGCTCTTCTCATCCTCTGTTGTGGAGAGGGCAGAGGAAGAGGAAGAAGAAATCTTTTCAGAGCTTCTTTCCATTGAAGAAGTCTCTGTTAAGCCTATGTAATCATGCTCCAGTGGCATAGACATCAAAGTATGTTTCAATCAATTTTGGACCTCGAAATATGCCAACAGAAATTTACTCTGAGAGAAGTAAATGAACTGAGAGACCTTCAAGAGAGAGAGACAGAGAGAGAGAGAGAGAGAGAGAGAGGGGTAGGCAGTAGTCACAGTCTGGTTAAGCTGCTAAAGAGCTGGTTTTTGTTGATGCAGAAAGGAAGCTTCTTTTAGCCTTTCTGTAGTTGCATTATTCTTTTGCATTCTATTTAAAAACTCTACTCTTTTCTTTATGGCAAGTTTGCAACAATGATGAAAGCAATTCTATATTGTATTTACATTTAAAAATGAAAAAGCTATCTTTTAATGGACTGTCATAATTAATACAATTCAGTTAGTTAAATACTCAAATTTAGTGCAAACACCCTTTAGTGTGTATGAGTTTAGTATATTATCGCTTCTTTTAATAAGAAAAGTCCTCAACAAAAAAATGGTAATGTTAAACTTACCACATTTTTATACCACATTGTGTATCGCCTCTCTAATAAAAGTGGAGCCCACCAATATAATGGAGTCTATCTTTCTTAGAAATGTAGTACATAATATAGTAAAAAAAAAAAGGTAAGCCTAGTTTTTTTTTAATTTAAAAAAAAAACACTCAAATTTAGTTTTTTTTCTGCCTTTTTCAAGCCATTGAGATTTAATTCATCATGTTATTAAAAAAATATGTATGATAATTTATAACATTATCAAATATTCCTAACTCATGACTTTATTTTGATGCCAAAAAGAAAAGACTTCACTCAACTCAAGACTTTAGTTTGATGCTAAAAAGAAAAGACCACTCAAGTCAGACCACCATTGACATTGCCAAATTGAGTTAAACTTGAACCTCACCTTAGTTCCCTATAATAAGAATATATAAAAAATGCATCAACCATAGTGACTTTATAATCAATTAATTTAGCATTTTTATAGGACTTTTATACCATCAAATACGTATAAATATTCCATAAAAAAAAAAAACATTTACATACAAATCATATAAAAATCATAAGAAGAGAATTTTATTATTTTATTATTATTATTTTTTTAAGGTTTAAAATGGATTTTTATAATGTAAATAGGAGGCAAAGCCACCGACAAAAGACTGCGTATTCCCCGGCAACCTTTTACATATTGTTCCCAAATGGCCTCTATTGCTTTATACTAATTTCCAACCAGCAATACCAATTCCCGCTAAAGTGCACCCACCCACACGGCGCAGGTTAGAAAAGTGAATCCTCCTCCTGCACGGAATGGGATCATACAGTACAGGGGAAGATGATAGTACTACTGAATTGCGCAAATGGGAAAGTGATTGGACGAAACCGAACAACTGTCTCTTTTTCTACTGACAGAATTTCAACATCTGTTATCATTTCCCTCACCACCATCCTAATTACCAAACTTTTAAATCTGTATCGTGTTTAGGTATCTTCTGTGTTACATTGTATTTGGATCTTGTCAAAGTCTTTACATGATACCCTAACTTAATCTCTTCTCGTTCACATATATAATCTACACCAAACACAAAGGGATCTAATCACGGCATCAAACTCATATGGTACACCTCTACTTAAACCTATAAGGCCAACTTAATACCACACAGGCCTACAGATTAATCGAGCTTAATCACCTCAAATCTGTAATAACCAAGTACATTATCCATAACATAACTTACAAATCCAAAAAAAAAAAAAAAAAAAAAAAAAAAAAAAAACAACCACGCATCAAACTCAACCTTCAATGCTCAAGAAGAACTGCATAGGTTTACAACTCTAGTTGTTAACAATATCCCAAAAAAAAACACTAATTTAATATCTCTGAACAAGAAGGCATTGGTTGCTTTTTATTTATTTATTTCTTTTAATAAGGAAATTATGGAAATAAAAGATCAAATTGATGCCACATGGCTACTTAGGATTTAACTTTTACTTGATGCATTTTACTGTCTCATACTGTGAAATGTCGGATGAAATCTTTTCTTTTACCACGCCCGTATCTGTCGTAATAATTGTGTAATCCAAAAGGTGGGAACGCGTGCAACAGTGTACGCTGATCGACGCTTCCGAACTCACCACGTCACCATATACGGTAGTTAGGGGACATAACGGGGTTCCGTTTTCTAGCGTTGACGGAAGTAAATGCTCATGATTGTACCATTGACCAGCCCAGTAAACGGGTGATGGTGGTGGTGACCGTTTACTGTGAGTCTCCGCAGGGTAAAAGAAAGTGGTCTTTTCTTGACGAAGACAGCCTTTTGACTCAGTCTAATTATTTTTAGAGACCTCATTATTAAAAAGTTAGGCACCAAATGGAAAGTTAGAGCTCATTTATTCCTAAATAGTTATCTGCTCTTCAAAGCTCATTTATCTATGTCCTAGAAACTTATTCATTTGTTACATTTTTATTTTAACTTTTACCTATGAAAAACTGTAAAATTTCACGACTCGTTTGATGCTTTGATTTTAATTGAATTGGAATTAAGTTCATATCAGTATTTATGAGTCCCACTCTTTTAGATACGACTTAACACAATATATTAGACTATTATTCAAGTCAATAAGCCTAATACTAGGATATTAGTCCCATTTTATTGAAATATTTCAGTCTAGTTTGAGCCACCGAATGAAGATTAACGAAACTTAACTTATTCTAATTTACCCTTAAAAAATTATGAAATTTGAGTTAAAATAGGATGTGTGTCCAAATAATACGTAGATTAGTATTTTAGCATCTGTGTCTCCCATTTTGGGCTAAAATATACGAATTTCTAGTCTACCCTAGTTTTGAGTTTTGACATGTTTTTTTTAAGACCAGTAATCATCATATGTGAACATAAAATTCATTCAACAAAATTGATTGTGACTTTGATTGCACTAGATATTATGCACAATACATCATTTTGCAACTCTTAAATATGATATATTATTCTACCATGTCAAAGAAACATCAAATTTTAGTGCTTCCATATGCTAGTAACATTGTTTTACCCTAACATTCACTTCTCTTAAGTTAAATAAATCAAGAATCACTAATAAAATCCAATAAAGGAAAATTAACGATCGAGATGGTACCATGCTTACTAATTATTACATCTTTCATGTATGTAAATTCACCTACTCGTTGTAAATATGATACACGTAGGATTAATGAGGAGATCAAAGAAAAGAAGGATTACATAGCAAAGCCCCACATATCAAAATGCAATCATGAAAGAATTCTTAAGTTATTTGTTTTAGTATTTTATAGTGAAAGAATGTGTGCTTAAGTGCATTGAATTTGCATCAGTTGAATAGCCGCCCAGCCCAGGGCTCTCCCACCCATGTTCTACTCTGGATTAGCAAATGGTAGGTACGTACGCATTATTATCCGTCACTTCATTTTCTTAAATTAATAGGCAGCTTCCAGAAAATCATAATCTCAAAGTTGAACTTTGGAGCTCTAAATTAAACAAATTAATCAAGGTATATGTGCCTTTTTAGGTCTAATTGTTTAGTAATATTCTAAGTGTAAAGCTTCACGCACACTGCGCATAATCCCCACATAGAGATGCTGTCACATCTGGGAAGATAACAGAAATCAGTAACCACCAATTGGGGCCTTGAGAAAATCTCATACTCATCAGCATGCTTATAAATCACCTTGATTTCTTGTTTTCTTTGCTTAATTGCTTGCTTAATTACCACTATTATAATTACTTATTTTTATATGTATTTATAAAATACATATGTGCCAATTCTAGTCAAACTCTATGGTGTTATGATCTTTTGAGTAAAAAAGAAGATCTCATTGCTGCAATGAAAGTAGAAGCAGCCAAAAGGCATGGGAATAAAGTTTTAGATTTGCATAGCTGGGCTATCAGTGCTATGGTGTTTGGTTGTCCTTGCTGAAGAGATATTTGCCTAATTGTACCATATTAAAATTTTAGAGATTTGAACATTCAAATCAACTGGAATTCCAAGATGTCTTTGATGCTTGTATTGATCCTTATTCGAATGTGTGAACCAAGTTCACACTTCGACAACATAACATAAGCACGTTAGGAAAATATTTTCAGCCATTTCCTTCAATATATGACACCCTTTTATTTTATTTTTGTGACGGTGTTGAAATATTACAATTTACCTTTTGAGTTGCTTGTGTGATATTTTTCTAGATTTTTCGGAGCAGTCAATTAAAGCAGTTCTTTAATAAGTCAAGTCAGTTCAAAGTGGAATACGGACGTAACTGTGTTACTTTGTGAAGAAAAAAAAAGATTTGAAAACCTTTCCCATTTTTGCTGCTTATTAATTTCTTTGAAAAATACTTAGTTTTTGCTTGAAATGATGTCCTTTGTGAGGTGTTAGCACATTAATTGACTGAGCATGAACTATGGTGCCCCATTTGCTCCCCACGCCAAACTAAAAGGTGCATGCTACTTTAATTAGTGACAACATAACTTGGTCCCTCCATGGATAACCACTAGCTCATTGTGCACTTCATACACGTTCCCCTCTCATCTACCTATACCTATCCTTCCAAGTTCCTTTCTTCATCATATGGGATAAGGGGAAAAAAGAAAGTATAGTTTACCATGTTTTCTCCTAAATCATAATAAGAAAAAAAAGTGCTTAACCCACTTATTTATCTCATGTTTAGCATCTGTGTTTATTTAGATGATAGAGGATCAATAACAGATCCTGTGATCTTAAGTTCTTTGCATAATTTCATTATATTCTCAAAGAAACAGCCAGCTTTGCATTCACCCCAAAGACTTGTATGGAAAAAACATATGTATCCATTTGTGATAGCCGTTTTATTTGACTAGGAGCATAAGCAAGGAGGAGGTTTGGATCCACCAAAGAAACAGATCCAAATGGCAGTTGTCCTTGCCACAAGATAGTGGCTCTAGAGCAACAAAGAATAACTAGCTAGGGCCATCATTAACATGTGACCTTAAGTTGGAGGAAACCCCCCCAACTTACAGCCTCAGTATAGGGCTTTAAAATGAAGATATATATGGCCAACGGGTCTAGTATACTGTCTTATGTTCTAACTTTTATGGTTGTGTGTGAGAGATGATCAATTTTTTTTTGTAGTTCTAACTATCGCTTGTATTATAAATTTTTTTGCTGATTTGGCAACGGAGAAATCCTCATTCTTTTGTGGTTTCTTTTTCCTCCCACTGAATATAAATTTTCTTTCAATTTGACATTTGTTTAAAGTGTAACACATCGTGGGGTTCACTTAGCACACTATTTCTACAGTGAGCACAAGTTGAGTAGAGAAGCTAAGCACCCCTATCTCTATAAAGAGATTCAAAATGTTCCCCAATATTCCCATTGAAAAAATTCTTCCTTGTCCTGGTGCTGAAATTCACTCTTTTGATTAAGCAAACGTACAGATGTGGTCCTTTATGCATGAGGCAGCTTAAATCTAACCACCGTCCTGAAAACGCACATATCAAATTGTCACAAAAAATAAAATAAGATTCTTCAAATATGCAATAATCTTTTAGGTTTTTTAAACTATGAACAAGCGTTATTGATTAAATAAAATTATTATATTTGAAAGTGTGACCAAAATTGACAATCCGACAATATATATCCTCGGTATCAAGTAAGAGAAGCCAACATTTGATTGATGCTACACATGTTAAACACCCGAGTTTTTCTTTCTTACATTAGAAGGAATTGAACCTTAACTTTCCTAATCCCAACTTTAACCCTTTTTCTCCACTTTTTCGCAACGGAGAAGTGGCCCGCACAAAGGTTTGAAGGACTACAGCTAAATTAGACCCTCCTATGCTTTTTCTCCATTTAAAAAACATGCACATATCAACTGTGAAATGTCATAGGAAGCTTTTAATCACACCATTCTGGCGTCAAATTTTACAATTTAACATAGGATTTTGTTGGTGATCAGATAGAAACCAAACTTTGTTTTTGGGCACATACGAAACTCATTTTTGGAATGTTCAAATGGTGCCATATAACACCAAATGTTCTAGTTTTTTCTTCACATGCCGAAAACCCTACCGACTTCTTGCTAACAGTCCAGTAATGACGACTATAATTAACGTGGAATCCAACAAGGCAGTCAATTTAACATGGGACAGTAGCTCCATACATAGAGATAAAATGGAATTTCTCTTATATGATTGTGACCATACATATATGTAGAGCTTGAGAGCTTTCACAAATATGATCCATCAAATCACGATATGAATGTCATAATCAATATCCCAAACTCTTGGGAATTTATGAACCAGAGGTGCTAAGAACTTGCAGCCCTGCATACGTTTCAGTATCGCTTTAAGCTAGGGCAAAGGATCGATTCGCTTTCATTGTGACCGAAAAAATAGACCAGATTAAAATTTATAAATCAAACTAAAAGACTATTTATACATGAAATGAAACAATAATGAACCAGTATGAGGAGGGCAATAAGTAAGACAAACATATATTATTGAGGAGGGGCCAAGTCTGCACCATATACAATATCTATTGCTGATCTGATCAAATCTTGGGGCTCAGGTAAGCCTGGCTTAACAACAAAAATACTAGGCCCCTGAATATGCCCTGCAGATGTTGAGCATTTCTGCCATGATTTTCATGCATGTGGTTACTGAATTTGAAGTCCTTTTTTACTCTTTTCCAATCTGCTTGGCAAGGCTTCTTGGTAAGAAAAAGAAACACCCATAATTTACTGCATTAGTTATTATATTTCTTACAGTATCTATTAGGCATATAATGGGTCATAACAACTCATAAGCTGCCACAGGGTGAACAATTATTTCAGCTATACGTTTTTTGGTCAAACAATTAAAATGCCATGTAATTTTTTTAATACAAAACAATAAAAATTTCATTGGACAACAAAGATAAAAATGTACAAGAGGGTCTAATGAGCAAGTAGATAGAACTGCAGACGCTAATTAGGTTAGTTGACAAGGAAGTGTGCCGCTGGAAGCTTCTATAATGAGGAGTTTAGAGCGAGAAGCTTATTTGAAGGGTTCAATTCCACCATAAACAAATGTGAGGAAATAAATGGACTTAAGTTCCTCACTCTAAACTCCTCATTATAGCCTTTCCGGTGTCGCGTACCCTTATCAAAAGAAAAGCAAGTAGATAGACATGGGCTTATGCTGTTTGCGACATACATTGCCCATACATACACACATTACAAAAACCAACAGAAAGCCCAAGAAATTTAACAAAAATTCAACAATGGCCCATATAAGCTCAGTATGGTACGTGTTGTCCAATTATAGGATAACCATCTAAATAAAACAATAGAAACACGGTCAACAAGAACGTCGATATGTCCGAGTGGTTAAGGAGACAGACTCGAAATCTGTTGGGCTTTGCCTGCGCAGGTTCGAATCCTGCTGTCGACGATTTCTTTTTGCAATTTTTCCATTCAAAGGGCTAAATCGTCATTCAACGTACAACCCCATGTAAAATCCAAATCCAAATCCAAATCCGAATTTTCCTTTTGTCAGTTTATTTTAAGTTATCATTTCTCAGACTAATTTATTTTCTGTTAAAAAATAATAATTTATAATTTCGACCCAAAAAAGGTCATATTCATATTTCTCTTTTTTAAGGGTAAAATCGTCATTAGAGAACATCATCCAATGCAATTTTACTACCACCGCCTTCGCTTGGCAGCTCTTTGCTTTCGCTTCTCAACACATCCATGGCTTCCTCTCTGCATCCAAACCCAACCCACTTCCTCAAACTCAAACCCCTCACGCTCACAACCAACCGCACCGTAACCCACGTTTCCGTACGGTGCGGACCACGCGACAACCGTGGACCCTTGGTCAAGGGCCGGGTCCTCAGCATCGAGGCCATCCAAGCCGTCCAAGCCCTCAAACGGGCCCAAAGATCCGACCCGACCCAATTGCCCACTCTCGCATCCAAGACCCTCTCGCGCCTAATAAAAGCCGACCTCGTCGCCGCCCTCAGAGAGCTTCTACGGCAGGAACAGTGCCACCTGGCTCTCCAGGTCTTCTCCACCTTCCGATCAGAATACCCACCCGACTTGTCTGTTTACGCCGAGATGGCATTGGCGCTCGCGAGAAATGGGATGGCGGAGGATATGGACCGCTTGATTTGTGTTCTAGAGAAAGAGAGTGGGGTCCAGTGGGATAGTGACAAAGGATTGATAAGGTTGATCAGGGCCGTTGTTACTGCGGATAGGAGGGAATCAACGGTCAAGATTTATGAGATGTTGAAGAGGAATGGATGGGGGTCTAGTGATTTTAAAGCGGACGAGTATATGGTTAGGGTTCTGAGTAAGGGGCTGAGGAGACTTGGGGAGGTTGGATTGGCCGATGAGGTTGATATGAAATTTGGTAGCCCCAATGAGGGTAATTTGGAGAAATTAAGTGTATAAAACTAGTGAAACGAATTTGTATGAGCTAGTTTTTGTTAGTTGCACCCTCCAAAATGTCTACTATATCCACTTATTAATGAAAAAAAATGCAGGATGGTTAGACAATTTTTTCATTAGTTCTCGTAATTTCAATTTCACGTCGTTCCTCCTCGCAGATAAATCACAGTTAATCACAAAAACCTTTCTTTTGTTCTTGTGAGTTGTTCCTGTATGTTTGTCGAATCTATGACATCTAACATGAAAGGAACCAACAAGTTAGGAAATTTTCGGGTTCGAAACGAATTCGTTGAAAAATAAAGAAAAGCATATACATAGCACAATGAAATGCTGGGTTTTAGCAAATGATGACTGGGGAAGTAAATACATGCAGGATCTCAATAAAATGCTTCTTTCACTGCTTATTGCATGTCTAATGGGATTACTCATTGCTCAAATTTACATATTTGATGCTTTCCCATGCAGAAAATAGCAGGCTCTAAAAGCTGGCTTCTAGCATTTAGTTTAAAAGCAGACCAATTTTATAAAATGTGTCCAGACTATACAGGATCTAAGGACAAAGAATGAAGCTTTCTACCCCATAGATGAATGAATGATTCTACATCGGAACATAAACTCTAGATTCAGATGTTATTTTCCCCTTGATTCAAAGGTAATGCTTAGAAAGAGGAAAATAAATGCTACTATCAAGCATTATTTTATACACTTGTACTTATACTATGTAGTGGTTGTTTCTCCACTGTAACAATCATTGCTTTGGCTCATTAACATGCCGCTGTATGGCGATGATGGGCTCATTGCATCTGGAACATCTGAAAGCCGGGACTGCAGCACATCGTGTCCTAAGGCAGTAGTAACAGTATCTGCCAGCATGAGCGATTATCACATTACAGCATAAATATTGAATCATGCTTAAAATGATCATTTTACCCGATAAGCATTTTGGCCAAATGCGCCCAAGTAGAACAAAGATTTGGTTCGAAATTTTCTATAGGCTGTACACCGCATCTTACTCTTATGCCATTTTGGTACTCTTTCAAAAGTAGGTTTCTTTAGAGAGAAAAGTCAGAGATGGATTAGATTAAGTGATGTACCTGTGCTGACAGGGAAGAGCAAGAAATGGAACGGTTGGACTGGCCTGGCAAATGGGGCAAGCAAAGTCATCTTCTTTTGAACTTGATGATTTATCCTTGGAAAACGGGCGAAGAAGGTTTTTCATAGAGGATGAGTTTAGAAGAGGAAGAAGCAACAATAACATCTCCTGCCATCAGCACAAGAACTATTTAAGTTCTATACGTTGTTGTGTAACAATTCATAAACCAACTAAAATTGGACACCAGAACAGCAAATCATGAAGCAAAAATGAGAAAATAATTATGCAGAAAAAAAAGTACACACACACACACACAAAAATATGGAGTGTACATGCAGTCGGCAAATCAAGCAATTTAATATTGTTATTTTTCTAGTTTCCAATATCTATAAGGCCATGCACGTCTTATGCAATATCAATCAAGAACTGGGCGCAAAATCTAGAACTTACCTTTTGCAAATCAAAAACTCGGAATTTTTTTAATATTCTTTGTAAGATCGAGAATGGCTGCAGAAATACTTTGGATTTACCTTCGAAACCATGCAAGAAGGATCAAGGATTGTGCAAAAAATCTAGAGCTTTACTTTGCATAAACAACTCTGAAATTTTTTTTTGGCCAATGGACCAAATATTGCAAACATGAGCATTCATGTAGGTATGTATGCTTACACCCAGGCAAATACACGCCAAGATGCATACAACTTGGGTGGACAAAAGGGGTGCATATAGCACAACCAGATAAAATTGGCACATACGATCATTACAAACCAGACTCAACAACATGAACATGGAACTAAAACAGAGCGAAACTATTATGTTTATTATTATAATTTTTTTTAAAGGAGCAAAATTATTCTGTTACTTACAGAACTAGGATATTAAAACCTGCTTCTTTAAAAAATTCTATTAAAAAAAAGAACTATTTTGGAGAAAATGCTTTATAATCTGGTTTCCAATACTTATCATATCAAAATATGTTCCTATATATATACTTGAAAAGAAAAAAAAGTATCTACAACCCTAATTAAGGACAAATTCCATAAGCTAGAAAACTAAAAACTGCTTTCAAATAAACAAGAATTTCTTCAACATCAGCTGAATGGAACCTATCAGCTGTTTTGAGTCCAAAAGCCTTACTCAAATCACACTAATATATTTCATTGATATCATTACTTGGCATGCCTCAGAATGACAGTTCCTCAAACTAAGAATGTTAATTCAACTTGAAAAAATAAATTAAGGGGTATCAAATAAATAAGGACATACTGAGAATTCATTCCATACTAACTGGCGGTTCATGTACTCAAAGCTAACTGCTCGGTTCATATTAGGGCTCCCATAGACCAGCCTAGCTTTTAAAGCTCTTTCAATTAGATTCCTATACCTGCATCGCAACATGTGATTTGAAAAGATGTTGAGTCTTACAAGCTTGTCAAGGGAAATATAATTCCTAGATCACCTTAATCGAAAAATTCCCACATTATCATATTACAAATGCAGCTCTATCAACATGTCGATGCATATAAAACGAAGGTAAAAAACATGGAGACAAAATGTCAAAAGGTTGTGCAGTATCAAACAAAACTTTGATTTCCATTAAAAAAAATTGCATACTATGCTGCAAATTCGGTTATATTCTTAAAATATCCAGGAACAGAAGCTACTAACTCTAGTTGCAGAGCACTAATGCTCTCTAGGTCTCAGAAAAAATGGCTACAAGTAGTATGCACACATCAATAGACTGGATACAATCTTTCAAGTAAATGCCAAAGAACATACCTTCCAGTGTAAAGAAATAAAAGAAGGTTGCCAAATGAGGCAGCTTTGTAAAGTCCTTCTATACGCTGTATCAGAATCCATGCTCCTCGTGCCACTGATCTCTGAAGAAAATGGAAAAGAACATCATTTGACGACTTCAATAATCTGCCATATCTTTTATTGAGGGCAGAAAAACACAGAGACAAAACAGTACCTGTTCAGAATCACCCCACCTACGGAAGGCAGAGAACGATTGCAAACGAGCCCAGATGTACTGACCACCAACAGTGGCAACACAATACCAAAGCTTCTGTGCAACTGTAAGTCCAGGTCCTTCCAAACCCGTTCTGACTGAAAATAAATTGAAGACGAAAGCAGAAGCATAAAATGTAAGAATACATGTAATCAGGATGCACTATTAACAAGCTGAATGAAAAAATGCAATTGCAAATTTCTGTTTGAACAAATATAACTGTTCACAGCTCAATTTGTAATTGGACAATTTAGGAACAGCCTTGTTACTACATCAGTCAGACTACTATTTGGGATTTGAAAACTACTTCTACTTTAGAGATGTCTAGAATGTTAATTTTGGGGTATCATATAAAGTTGGTGTATATTCTTGAACTGATATGAGAATTTGATCATATTTGTTAACAAAAAATATAGGGAAAACGAAAGTAACTTTTGTAGACATCTACCAATTCCAAACTTATTTGATCATTGAATATCATTTAAGATGAGAATTTATGGCCAATCTAGGACAAAGTGCATACCAAAATTAGTGTTTATGAGAATATAACTTCAATGGTTTCCAGTGACACAAGAAGCAATACAATTGACAACAAGCCATGATGAATCGTATAAATCAGGGCTAAGACTACCATAATGTTTTAGAAAGCTCATCTTCTTTGTTTCCTACTTAACATATAACTGGTCAGAACATTACATATCATCCAGAGCCAACTTAACATATGCAGGAAATGCCAAGATGTTCTTACCTTTTCCTCTTGCTTCCAGTGCACGTTCATTTCTATACCTCAGATTCATTAGAGCAATTCCCGGAGTAGGCTTATCTACCCAAATCGAGAACCGCCAGATAAGAAACTCGAGGAAAGCATCAAGTTCTGCTTCATATTGAAATAACATTCCTGGCTAATCCCAATGAAAAGAAGGAACAGTTTAGGGATGTTATAACAGCTACATATGGCTACCCGTTTTGATGACTACAACTATAAGCCATGACCATGAGCGATACCTTCATTAACGAGAAGACCTTGACCAATTGTTCTTTCAACATGGCTGACATTTCAATGTCCAGTCTTCCCGCATCGAATTGGTTAACTCTAGATATGGAAATTGGGATTATTGACTGCAAAAGAATTTTTCATAAATCAAAAGGTATTTCAAATGAACAAATGAACAAACAAACAAACACAACACATCATATGCATGTACGTATTTCCCCCCTCCCCCACCTATAAACGAAAAAAAAGAAAATTCTTTAAAGAAAAAAAAAAAAAAAAAAAAAAAAAAAAAAAAAAAAAGGTGCATTTAAGAACCACTTGGTTTGTTTTCTGGAAAGTAGTTATTGAAATCTTTCCAAATTTAGATTAGAGAAGCTCCACAAAATTATAATTTGCTGATAGTTCACTGATTTTTCGTCTGCTAATTCTAATCAAGATACTGGGTCGGATTCAATCACCAAAACCCAAAACACCAAAATCTCTAAACTTGATTTTCCAGAGAACATTTTCCGAGTAAACAAGCACAAAAAGTGACATAAAAAGCAGTTTTTGCTGAATCCCAAAATTGATAAATCGAACAAAAATTAACAGCGGAGACATGAAGGCAGGAAATGAAGGGAAAGGAAAACGAACCTGGCGGGAGTGAGAGAGGGATTGCCATTGAGGAAGTAAGGTCTGGTAAGTGTGAACCCAGGCGTCTTCTGCTGGTGGTCTAAAATTACTGCTACCACTCATCGAAGAATCGAAACAATTGAACAATTGAATTGAAGGGTTTGAAGCCCCTCTTCTTCTTCTTGCTGGTGTTGATTATGAATGAATCAAACACGTTGATTTTCTACTTTTGATTTTGGATTGGGGGGGGAGAGAAGGGTGGGTGCTCTTTTCAAAGCTCGGCTTACAGGGGCGGTAGAGAGAGAGAGAGAGAGTGCCTGCTATAGTGCTTGCTACTATCGGCTAGCGCTAATCGCGGTAAAACCTATATTCACTGCGGCGACGGTTCAAATGGATGATGAGGTAACGGTAGAAAAAGAGGTAAAATGAGGAATGAGAATAATTCTCATCGCCAAATCGGGTCCCATGAGGTATGAGAATAATTGCTGAGCTCACTTGCACTTGTGTCACATCTTGTCTCGTATAAAATTAGAATGAGAATGACAAATTCGGTCTCGCACCATTCCCCATCTTGTTAGGTTGCTGAACTTCGGTGTAAAAATTATTGTTTCACGATGCATACTATACTATTCTTCTTTGATTGGTAACTTCTACATTTCATTTTACATTTTAATGGGGGAATGAGTTAAATTTCAATTTGGATATATAAAATTTGATTAATTTGTTAAGTAAGGGTCTGTTTGATAACCATTTCAATTTTAGTTTTTAGTATAGGGGAAAATGAGAATGAAGTTGAGATTGAGAGAGAGGATGGGAAAAGTGAAAACAAAAACTTGAAAGTGAAAACAATTACAAATAGATTTCATCGAGATGAATCTACAAAAACACGAACGTCAAGCAAAAATCTTCCTCTCTCTCTCTCTCTCTACACTCCTTATGCACTCCTAGTATGGGGTAGGGTTTATACTTGTGAGTTGTGTATGAGCTCGGGGACTTGAGCCATGTATTTATAGGCAAGTGCTTTAGGTTTCTTGCCTTTTAAAGAAAACCTAAAGTGTATCTTTATCACTTCTAGAATCCATGACAAAATAGGATATATATATATATATATATATATCTCATTTGATTTGATCTTTTCTTCACTTGCAAGTAACTAGCTAATCGAGTGAAAACCTTTCCCCTTTTATTATTGACATATTTGGGGGATTTAAATGGATGCAAACTCAATAAAGTTCTTACATTCTCCCACTTGAGTGCCACATCCATGTAAAACACCTCCTTATTTTCTAGAATCAATTCCTCATGTGCAGAAATTAGAAAGGCCACTCGATACAGATATCTATATCAAACTCTGTGTCAAATGTCACCAACTCATAGGATTGTAGACATGATATCCAAATGATATGGCATCATCCACCTACAATCACAACAAGGAGTGACATTCACATAGAGTATCAACAAGTCATAGTTTTGCTCATAAATTAGAAGTGCTAAACTGTGAAGTATCATTTCTAACATACGAATGGTCCTATGAGTGGTTTAGCTTCAATGTTCAATGAAGAGCTCCTTACATTTACATAACAATTCTCATTTATATTGTAAAATTCAATGGAATCAAAACCAAATTTATTCATTCATACTGCTAAACATGAAAAAAGTCATTATTCTCAACCAGAAAAAAAAAAATTACAAAACATTAGCTTAAGAATAGCAACAAAACACTCAAAATTAGACATGTTGTAATTGAAAATAGCTAAACTGTTCCCACTAAACTAGAGCATCTTCAAAAATTAATAACACTCTCATTCCATTAACATGCTTCTCAAAAACTAAATTAGGCACAACCTTGTTCAATGGATCAAATAGAATTTAAGTGGTGCTAATGTAATCAACACTTGTCTCACCCTTTCTAACTTTCTCCCTTGCAAGCAGACATTTCACATCCATGTGCTTTAACTCCAGAGGATCTCTTATTATTTTTGCAAAAGAAAATTGATGTTTTGTTATCACAATACAATTGAATTGGTCTCTTTATAAAACTAACTACCCTTAGATCATGTATAAATTTTTTAGCCAAATAGCATGAGTTGTGGCTTTATAATTCTTATATATTGATGCTTGGTTTTTCCCACCACCAATCAGAGTATGTCCAACCCTTCAGTCAACCCTTCCTCAAGGGTGTCTCTTTAGGTTTTGAAGAACACACTTATGTGAATCTTCTTTTCCTTGCATTATGAGGCAGCGCAATTCATGCAAGCGGTGACTCTGATCCCCTAAAAAGGAAGACATGCAAGATCACTAAAGATGTAGTGGTGGGGCCACCAACCACCCTCCGATGCCTAAGTCAGATTCTTCCTTAAAGGAGGATTGAAAACTTTTGTATTTAAGTCTTAGATGGATTCAAATTACCTTAATAGGTGAAAGTACTCATTTTTATATTGGGAGTGAAGGGCCTCTTTTCCTTCATTTTTCGATGTGGAATTATTAGGCCTCTGATGACATGGCATCTTCGGATTGGGTGGCTGATGGGATCTTGGAGTGTGTTCACCTTCTGTTGGGATTAGCACACACTTTAGTGAGATATGCAGCGGGCCTTGCTTCTGGCTTTTTGGATCTTCAAGGATGTATGGCTTGGTTTAGTGCGATGTGGTCGTCATGTGGGCCTTGGCGATCTTTCCCTATCTTGATTGGGCTTGGGTGGCCTTAGGAGGAGTCAAATTCAGGTACTTTGATGGGGTCTAGTTAGTTGCTCAAGTGATATGGGCCGGAGCATGTTCTGGGCTCTTTTGTGTGGGCTCATGACATATTAGATGTAGCCACTGTCAATTGATTTACACTTTTCCAAGCCACTGCACCTTTTCCCATCATAAACATAAAGCTAGAAGTTGATTTAGAAGTGTCTGCACATCCTTCAAAATATGCATCAATATAACCAACCAGTTCAAACTCATTCGTCCTCCTAAAAACCAACATGTGATTCTTAGTTCTCTGTATATATCTAAGAAACTTCTTTGCAGCCTTATGAGATATACCTAGATTAGAATGGTATTTTCCCAATACATTGATAGAAAATGTTGAATAGGTCGTGTACACATTTGTGCATATATGATGATTCCTTCAACTAAAGCATAATGATTGTCTCTCATTTATGCTCTTTCAATGTCATTCTTTGGACAATCATTTTTGCTTAATTTTTCCCATTTGAAATAGGTACCTCAGCTCCATTGCTTTGAAGCATATTAAACCTTTGGAACACCTTCTCAATGTACGCCTTTTTTTTGACAACCCTAATAATCCCCTAGCTCTATCTCTGTGAATCTCAATTCTTAATATATCAGAAGCCTCTTCAAGATCTTTCATCTCAAAATTTATAGACAGAAATTCTTTGGTTTCATGTAAGAGATTTTCAGCAATGCTAGCAAATAAAATATCATCCACATAAATGACAAGGAAGATAAATCTATCAATTATGCTCTCAATGAAACCATATGATGTAATTATCTTGTCAAACTTCAAATATCATTGCCTTAAGGCTTGTTTCAAACTATAGATTGATTTGTTTAGTTTTCATAATAACTGGTCATCGTCTCCTTCTAAAAATTCCTTTGGTTTATGCATAAAGATCTCCTCACTCAATTTTCCATTTAAGAAAAACCATTTTTACATCCATTCGATGTAGAAAAAATCAAAGTGTGCCACAAAGCCATAATGATCCTAAAGGCATCTTTGGTTGAAATTGGTGAGTAATTTTCATTATGATCGATCCCTTCTTCTTGTGTAAAACCCTTAGCTACTAGCCTAGCTTTGTACCTCTCATTATTGCCCCTTGAATCTCTTATGGTTTTAAATACTCACTTACATCCTATAGGCTTCATTCATTGCTACAATTCAACTAACTTCCGTACTCCACTAGTTTTTTTATACTCTAGCTTATTTTGCATAGCTTCAAGCCATTTTCAGTATTTTCACAAGATATGGATTGCTTGTAACTCATTGGATCTTCAAACTCAAAGCCATCAAAATATGCCTCATTGTTACTCTCTTTAATCCTTGCTTGCTTTCTCTTTCTTGTCAGCCTTATCGTCCTTGATACTATTGAAGTTGTAGAGGAAAATAAGTAGTCCATCAGTGCCGACCAGCCCAAGTTCGACATAAACTTGCATATTTGTCAAAAGTGCATCTATGATTCCATTCACATTGTCCAAGAAAGTGTTCACCTTTGGAATCATTTGACCCACCTTCGGAATTACTTCATTCATCATGGGGATGGTCTCATGGGTGCTTGAAATGATTTTGTTAAAGCTTCTAAGGGTTTGTCATTTTTTTTTCTTTTTTTTTTTTTTTTTTTTTTTTTTTTTTTTTTTTTTCTGATCTGATGTTTTTTTCATTAGCATGTCTCTCTTAGGTGTTTGTTGTTGTAGACTTTAAATTGGATGAATTGAATTAAATAAAGTAGGGTGAGAGAGAGTGAAAGTGAGAGTGAGAGTGTTAAGTGTCGTTTTTCTTAGTTTTCAGCTTAATGGTTGTGTTATCGTATTTGTAGTCTTATTTACATGTTTGAAATTAATCTGTTTATAAAATTCATTTTGAAAAGCTCTTTGGTCGATTTGGTATTTGTTGATGCTCAAAATAGGTTCATCTAAAATTGCATGAACGAAAGTCCAAGATCAAGCATAACACAAAGTATTTATGTGGTTCACCCTTGAATAAAATACATCCACAAAATTGGTAGGTGTTTTCATTATAATAATAGAGAGGTTACATATGTGTTACAATAAGTTTGGCAAATTAGATAATTTCCTAGACATGTGGCTTCTTTTTTTCTCTCTTCCAATGTGGGATTGATGCATATTTTGGATGGGGGCAACATACCCATATAAACATCCACCAACTCCTCAATAAAAAACAACTCTTTAGTAAGGGAGTTCCAAGAGAATTTGAGGTGTTGGTCAAGCTTAGCATATATTATTGTTCATGAATATTTCCCGTTGGTGAAGTTCTTCATGCACGAGTTTGCATCGGTGCCACATAATGATCTTTTATTGTTAACATATATGATGCTTATTTATGAATGGTTGTGTGAAGTTTTGATCCCAACCATGTGGAATGGCTGGGCTGCATCTCAGCTCGACGATAATTTTTTCATGAACAAGGTCGGTGTTGAGGTTGATCTCGATTAGTTAGAAGGGCTTGGTTCTAATTCGAATCTAGAGACATTTTTCTTTGGACCTGGTTGGTGTTAATTTTGATCCCGACCAAGAGGAAGGGCTCGATTGTTGTTCGAACCGATGGACATTTTTCTTTGAACCTGGTTGGTCTCAAGCTTGATCCCAGCAAGGTGGAAAGGCTTGGTTGCCGACAAACCCTATTGACATTTTGCTTGAACCTGGTTAGTTTCCAAGTTGATCGTGACTAAGTGAGAGGCCTAGGGTGCCAATGGGCTCGAGGGCCATTGATGGTTGAACCTGGTTAGGATCCATTCGATCCCAATAAGGTGGATGCGAACCAAGTTGGGGTTAACTAACATGATACTAGTGGGTGACCTTTGGTGGTAAAGACAAACTCTTAGTTATTGTCCTCGTTGAGAGTGGTGCACTCAAAATCAAAAGAAGACCAGGTTGGGGCCAACCAAGATGAGATTAGTGATAGTCCTAGTCGATGATTGGTACTTGAGGGTGGACGAGGACCATATTAGAGCTAAGTAAGATGAGATTGGTACTTGTCGAGAATGAGTACTTGATGGTGAGCGAAGACTAAGTTGGGGCCTACCAAGGATGTAATTGGTGATCGTCCTCATTGAGAGTTGGTACTCTACAATGAATGTGCGAATACTAAGTTGGGTTAAACAAAATGTAATTGTATGGTGGCCTTTGGTGATCCACACCAATTCTTGGTGTTGGTCTTCGTTGAGAGTTGATACTCGATGTTGGACAAGGACCAGATTGGCCAAAATGGAATTGGTGTTTGATACCGATAAAGATTTGATGGTTGGTGTTGTTTGGTTGGGATGTATGATCAAAGAAAGAAGATTGCTAGATAATAAGGTATTAGTGATGTAAAATGTGCTCAGTTGAAGATTTTTTCTGGTTGGAATGCAAGGCCAAAGCTTAAGGAGGACCATAAAGCAATGACTTGATGATGAAATATTTTTTATTCAAAGAGGTTATTCTAGTTGGGATACAACTTGAGGAGGACTAGAGAACAACACTTTGATGATGTAATATCCGCTAATTGGAGGAGAAGTTCTAGTTGGGATGCAACTCGTAGAGGACCAGAAGGCAACACTTTAATAAGTTAAATGACCCTCATTATAAGGGCCATTCTAGTTGGGATATAACTTAAGGAGGACCAAAAAACAACACTTTGATAAAGGAATATGCGCTCATTGGAGGCCTGTTCTAGTTAGGATGTGCCTTAAGGAAGACTAAAGAAACAATGTTTTGATGATGGAAACTGGGCTAATTGGAGGAGCCGTTCTGTTTGGGATGCTTCTTGAGAGGGATCAAAAAGTAGTACTTACAGAAAATTGGATCATTGAAGGAGAAGTTTTGGTTGGGGTAGAGTTCGAGGATGACCGTAAAGTAATGCTTTGATTTTCGAAGATGGGATCCTTGGAGGAGCCACGCTCTAGTCAGGATGCAACTCGAGGAGGATGATAAAACAACTTCATGATGGGACAAGCTTGTTAGAAGAGTTAGTCTGGTCAGGATTCCTTAGTTGGGATGCATTCTCTAGCATCGATAATGACCATACGAAGGACGAGCAACAAGCATTCTCTAGCATTCTCTAGCATCGATAATGACCATACCAAGTGTTATGATGTGTGGAAAGAACATGAAACCTGAATTCTTTAAAATGAAGTTGAGCAGAATGCTTGTTGCTCGTTCCCACAAATGGCGGCAACTGTTGATGCTCAAAATTGGTTTATCTAGAGTTGCATGAAAGAAATACCAAGATCAAGCATAACACAAAGTATCTATATGATTAACTTTTGAATGAGCTACATCCATAGAGTTGGTAGATGCTCTCATAGGTTACACATGTGTTGCAATAAGTTTGGCATACTAGATAGTTTCCTATATATATATATATATATATATATATATATATATATATATAGACCATTTTTATATAGGGAAGAAAGGTGTCTTCTCTTGTGCTCTCTTTCAATGTGGGATTTATGCATATTTTGGCTTGCTCAACATACCCATATAAACAGTATCAATGTCTGGTTAAAATTTTACATTTTAAAATATATATATTTTCTCTATCTTTAGCTCCCTTTAATACCTTCAGAAGTGGCTAACAACCAATGACAAAATTAGATTAGCTTTAGTTTCTTTTTTCTCTACCCAACGTTTGTACCTAGTGCAATCTAACTTTAAGTGGCATGTCTTGTCACAAAAGTAACACTTAAGATGGTATTTGCATTTAAACTGATAGACTTTTTAGGAGGAGGATTTGCCTTGGAGTTATCTTTGTTGGCAAAAGTACATGAGCTTGGCTTAGAGTGATGTAGTTTGGGGGAATTTGTGGTAAGGTGTACAATATTAGCCTCATTTACCTTCTTGATTTGAGCCTCCTCTTGAACACAAACTAAGATTAGCTCATTGAGATCCCACTTATCCTTTTGAGCATTATAAATCACCTTGAGGTAACCATATGGTGATGGAAGGGAGTTCAAAACAAGGTGAATCAGAAAAGGATTGGCTATGGGAATGTCAAGGGCCTTTAGTTTTCTAGTTACCTATAACATACCTACATTCTCATATCTTCCACACCATCATACCTCATTGTAGCCAGCTTATTCACCAAATTCCCAGTTTCAACTTTCTCCAATTCCTTGAATTTTTGACTCACTGCATCCAAGTACTCCTTAGCATTCTTAGAGTCACGAATGCATCCATAGATGGCTTCAGTCTTGGACTTCTTCATGATCAGCAAACAAATTCTATTAAACTTCTCCCATTTTCATACTTCAGCATTGCTCTTATGAGTGAGCTATGACCTTTCTTATCTTAAAGGTATATTGTGATCTAGAAGACCTAGAACTATTTGTAAATCAGGCTTCCATTTCTTAAAGTTGCTACTAGACAAGTGCTCAATTGAATTGATAGCAGTAGGACTCATAACTGAAAACACAGAATTGTGCAATATGATTAATCTTTATCTCCAAATAACTTTATACACATATGATAAATATATATGGACAGAATATCAAACATGATTTTATTTCTTTCACAAGTCTAACATCATGAATTGTCCATGGTAAAATGTTATCAAGATCTCTCAATTTGTAGACTAAAAAGATCTTGATCTTCATAGCAATTTCTATGTTATCTTGTTCCACCACAAAATACAATTGACTAATGTAACACTTGTAAGTAGAAAACCTCAATCGATGTGCCTTGTGATGTAATTTTGTCATCAAAACCTTGAGATGATATGAAACATTGTCTCATGCTCATGTGTGGACTTAACATGACAGGACCCGTCCCGAATTTCCCGGAACCCGAGACGAACCCTGCGGAGACCCCGGCATCACACCCACGCCGGGTTTACTCCTTAAATCTACGTCCTCGTTCACCATAGAGGATTAAGGGCACGAGACTTTCTGCCGAAAATTCGACAGAGTCTCCCCTGTAAATTGAATATTCCCCAAAAGTTCCACCTGCATAAAACTCATTTTATAACCCAACCAGCAGCACGCACAATATAATCTCATGCAATTTACATAAATGGCCTCCGGCCTTCAAATGATTCTAGCAGACTACCCACACTGTTTTCAAAATAACTTCATGCATCAATCATGCATATAACAAATTCCAAATCTCTTTATGCACACCTTCACTCACTCAGTCCACCGGATAAGCTTCAATTCAACAAAGTTTCGGGACCAACCACGAGGTCCGCATCATACACGATAAAACCACCTAAGTGGTGTCTAAGTCGTGGCTGCACCTAGGCGCTATCCCAGGCTGCCTACGTACCCTACAAAGGGATCAAGCCACACGTAGCTCTTTCCTATCAATCCTGGCTCCTGACATCAATTAAACCATTTCATCCATATAAATACATACATTCTCGGGTTTATCCATCACAACACACCAAACATAATCACATAGCTCCCCTCATACGACGGGACGCACCCGGCCTCGTACGGGGTCTGTCTACACGCCGGCTAATCCAAAGACGCGTGCGACCTCTCGCTGGGCCTGGCTACATTCTCACCAGCCATCATACTGTTCTCTTTGGCCTGGCTACATTCTCACCAGCCATCATACTATCATATCACCCACTCATACGTCGGGACGTACCCGGCCACGTACGGGGCCTGTCAACACGCCGGCTAACCCAAAGACGCGTGCGACCTCACACTGGGCCTGGCTACATTCTCACCAGCCCTTATACCATCATATCACCCACTCATACGTCGGGACGTACCCGGCCACGTACGGGGCCTGTCAACACGCCGGCTAACCCAAAGACGCGTGCGACCTCACACTGGGCCTGGCTACATTCTCACCAGCCCTTATACCATCATATCACCCACTCATACGTCGGGACGTACCCGGCCACGTACGGGGCCTGTCAACACGCCGGCTAACCCAAAGACGCGTGCGACCTCACACTGGGCCTGGCTACATTCTCACCAGCCCTTATACCATCATATCACCCACTCATACGTCGGGACGTACCCCCACGTACGGGGCCTGTCAACACGCCGGCTAACCCAAAGACGCGTGCGACCTCACACTGGGCCTGGCTACATTTCCTCACCGCCCCTTGATACCTCTATCCCCCACATCATACGTCGGGACGTACCCGGCCACGTACGGGGCCCTGTCAACACGGCCGGCCTAACCCAAATACGCGTGCGACCTCACACTGGGCCCTGCTACATTCTCACCAGCCCTTTCCATCATATCACCCACTCATACGTCGGGACGTACCCGGCCACGTACGGGGCCTGTCAACACGCCGGCAACCCAAAGACGCGTGCGACCTCACACTGGGCCTGGCTACATTCTCACCAGCCCTTATACCATCATATCACCCACTCATACGTCGGGACGTACCCGGCCACGTACGGGGCCTGTCAACACGCCGGCTAACCCAAAGACGCGTGCGACCTCATACTGGGCCTGGCTACATTCTCACCAGCCCTTATACCATCATATCACCCACAATATCCATTTAACTCAACAACGCTCAAGACCTGTCACTAAGGTCATCCTAACCCTCAAGGAAAGGTAAGACTATCTCGGAAGTCTCACGGTCAACCTAGGGTCAAACGGGCCTGCGGGGCCCACAACCTCCAAACTCCAATCCGAAAGTTCCTATAGGTTCTATAGGCTCTAGGACACATGTCCTGCAAGTTTGGTCCAGATCGGACGGTCGGATTGCTCACGATCACACAATCGGACAGTTACTAAAACCCTAACCCCAGGGTTGGCATTTTCGGAGTGTCCGGGACTCCGTTTTACGATCCGTCGAATCCTATACGATCCTGGTAATACCTAGATCAACATATTACAATATTAGGACCATCCAACGGTCCAAACCCAGCGAACCCGGAAAATACGCGATATGCGATATCCGTTCGGGACTCTAACGATATCCAAATTGAGATCCGAGCACACCTACGCGCTCATGACAACCTGAGGATCCCATTGGGACAAAAATGCCCCTCAGCTACAGTGCCCACGCGCCGCCACACGCGCCGGCAGCGCGCGGGTGTCCAAAGCGATATCGCATCGCCGGAAAAACTGCAAATCACGGCTCAAGACTCCTACCCTAGGTAAAACACCTAATTTGGAGTCACTTTTGTTCTTGGACGTACCCCAAAAACTGACCGGAAGTGGCCGGAATCTCATCCCGAAATCCGGCCGAACCCTAACTCGAAAATCAGATAATCTAGACTCAAAATCGATGCAATCCTACCCAACCATCAGCTAGATCATGCAGAGGGGATGAATTTCCATACCTTGATCGCCAAAAATGGCGGCCGGACGACGGAGAACGAAGCCGGCGAAGTTTCGGGCGAAACCGAGCTTTTCTCTTCGATTTTCCGGCGAAATCTCGACGGCTGACGGCGAGACCTGGCTGGGGTAGGAAGAGGACGGCGGCCCGGTCATTTTGGTACCGGCCCCGTCGACTTTGGTGGCCGGACGAGCGAACGGCCGGCCAAAACGTGGTCGGCCACGGTGGCTGTCGCGAACCAGAGGAGAGAGAGAGCGACGCGCGGGAGAGAGAGAGTGTGTGAGAGACGGGGGCAATTCCGTCTTTTAACCAAAAATCCATTTTCCAAATATTTACAATTATGCCACTGAGCTTCATTTGATCATATCTCTCTCGTTACAACTCCGATTCGAGCCCACTACGTGTCTACGGACTCATCTCACCGTGCTCTACGCAACGGTACAACCGGAATTCCCAAATTCCTTCCGGATAAGAAAATGACTAAAATACCCCTATCCCACGGGTAATTTCTCAATTCCACTTAAATAAATTAAAACATGGGATAAATTGGGGTCGGGGTGTTACAGACTACCCCCCTTATAAAAATTTCGTCCCCGAAATTTCATACCTGTCACTCCAAAAGGTGTGGGTACTGGGCCCGCATCTACTACTCGGGTTCCCATGCTTCATCCTCCACAGCCAGGTTGACAGCCAAGCCATTAGCTCTATCCAAACAAGCAGAGGAAGAGAAGTCTCTTTCTTCCACTAGGAATATCCTTTAATAGCTGCTGTAATGCTTAATCTTCCTCTGAAAGCTAAATGCTTCCATTTGTGATTTGATTCTCTTCCAGCTCTCCCATGAAGAGAATCCAAACTCTTTGACTTGTTGATATCTTCCTTCTTTCTTTAGAATCGATAAGCAACATTGCCCACACGATTCTTTGAGAGGAATGTCAGAAAGGATCATTTTTACCGAATTGTAATCATCATCTTCCTCCCTCTACCATGACCCATTTCTGATTCCGATGAAAGATTTCTGCTCAAACGTGCTCACTGCACACAATCGAGAATTAGCAACATGTTCAGGCAATGGAGGATCTCTAGAAGTAGATTGATCAACTCCATGTCCTCCTGCCCATAAGAACTCTACAAACTTCATCCAACACTACTACTTCTCAATTTAATTTGTCACGACCCTCCTTGGTCGGACTCACAACTCCACCATTCCCATGTAACTTGTCCATCAACTACCTCTGACAATTTCGTCTCATCTCAGCGGATTCAATATTTCAAGGAACGTGGCACCCTTAAGTGTACTCATCAATATCCTAAATCCATCCATGTCAAAGAATCCTCCGCATCAAAATGATGACGTCCCGTGACGGAACCCATCATGATCCCACAACTTAAGGATGCACACAAGGTGCGGGGTCCACAAGAAATTGAACCTAAGCTCTGATACCAAGCTGACAGGACCCGTCCCGAATTTCCCGGAACCCGAGACGAACCCTGCGGAGACCCCGGCATCACACCCACGCCGGGTTTACTCCTTAAATCTACGTCCTCGTTCACCATAGAGGATTAAGGGCACGAGACTTTCTGCCGAAAATTCGACAGAGTCTCCCCTGTAAATTGAATATTCCCCAAAAGTTCCACCTGCATAAAACTCATTTTATAACCCAACCAGCAGCACGCACAATATAATCTCATGCAATTTACATAAATGGCCTCCGGCCTTCAAATGATTCTAGCAGACTACCCACACTGTTTTCAAAATAACTTCATGCATCAATCATGCATATAACAATTCCAAATCTCTTTATGCACACCTTCACTCACTCAGTCCACCGGACAAGCTTCAATTCAACAAAGTTTCGGGACCAACCACGAGGTCCGCATCATACACGATAAAACCACCTAAGTGGTGTCTAAGTCGTGGCTGCACCTAGGCGCTATCCCAGGCTGCCTACGTACCCTACAAAGGGATCAAGCCACACGTAGCTCTTTCCTATCAATCCTGGCTCCTGACATCAATTAAACCATTTCATCCATATAAATACATACATTCTCGGGTTTATCCATCACAACACACCAAACATAATCACATAGCTCCCCTCATACGACGGGACGCACCCGGCCTCGTACGGGGTCTGTCTACACGCCGGCTAATCCAAAGACGCGTGCGACCTCTCGCTGGGCCTGGCTACATTCTCACCAGCCATCATACTGTTCTCTTTGGCCTGGCTACATTCTCACCAGCCATCATACTATCATATCACCCACTCATACGTCGGGACGTACCCGGCCACGTACGGGGCCTGTCAACACGCCGGCTAACCCAAAGACGCGTGCGACCTCACACTGGGCCTGGCTACATTCTCACCAGCCCTTATACCATCATATCACCCACTCATACGTCGGGACGTACCCGGCCACGTACGGGGCCTGTCAACACGCCGGCTAACCCAAAGACGCGTGCGACCTCACACTGGGCCTGGCTACATTCTCACCAGCCCTTATACCATCATATCACCCACTCATACGTCGGGACGTACCCGGCCACGTACGGGGCCTGTCAACACGCCGGCTAACCCAAAGACGCGTGCGACCTCACACTGGGCCTGGCTACATTCTCACCAGCCCTTATACCATCATATCACCCACTCATACGTCGGGACGTACCCCCACGTACGGGGCCTGTCAACACGCCGGCTAACCCAAAGACGCGTGCGACCTCACACTGGGCCTGGCTACATTTCCTCACCGCCCCTTGATACCTCTATCCCCCACATCATACGTCGGGACGTACCCGGCCACGTACGGGGCCCTGTCAACACGCCGGCCTAACCCAAATACGCGTGCGACCTCACACTGGGCCCTGCTACATTCTCACCAGCCCTTTCCATCATATCACCCACTCATACGTCGGGACGTACCCGGCCACGTACGGGGCCTGTCAACACGCCGGCAACCCAAAGACGCGTGCGACCTCACACTGGGCCTGGCTACATTCTCACCAGCCCTTATACCATCATATCACCCACTCATACGTCGGGACGTACCCGGCCACGTACGGGGCCTGTCAACACGCCGGCTAACCCAAAGACGCGTGCGACCTCATACTGGGCCTGGCTACATTCTCACCAGCCCTTATACCATCATATCACCCACAATATCCATTTAACTCAACAACGCTCAAGACCTGTCACTAAGGTCATCCTAACCCTCAAGGAAAGGTAAGACTATCTCGGAAGTCTCACGGTCAACCTAGGGTCAAACGGGCCTGCGGGGCCCACAACCTCCAAACTCCAATCCGAAAGTTCCTATAGGTTCTATAGGCTCTAGGACACATGTCCTGCAAGTTTGGTCCAGATCGGACGGTCGGATTGCTCACGATCACACAATCGGACAGTTACTAAAACCCTAACCCCAGGGTTGGCATTTCGGAGTGTCCGGGACTCCGTTTTACGATCCGTCGAATCCTATACGATCCTGGTAATACCTAGATCAACATATTACAATATTAGGACCATCCAACGGTCCAAACCCAGCGAACCCGGAAAATACGCGATATGCGATATCCGTTCGGGACTCTAACGATATCCAAATTGAGATCCGAGCACACCTACGCGCTCATGACAACCTGAGGATCCCATTGGGACAAAAATGCCCCTCAGCTACAGTGCCCACGCGCCGCCACACGCGCCGGCAGCGCGCGGGTGTCCAAAGCGATATCGCATCGCCGGAAAAACTGCAAATCACGGCTCAAGACTCCTACCCTAGGTAAAACACCTAATTTGGAGTCACTTTTGTTCTTGGACGTACCCCAAAAACTGACCGGAAGTGGCCGGAATCTCATCCCGAAATCCGGCCGAACCCTAACTCGAAAATCAGATAATCTAGACTCAAAATCGATGCAATCCTACCCAACCATCAGCTAGATCATGCAGAGGGGATGAATTTCCATACCTTGATCGCCAAAAATGGCGGCCGGACGACGGAGAACGAAGCCGGCGAAGTTTCGGGCGAAACCGAGCTTTTCTCTTCGATTTTCCGGCGAAATCTCGACGGCTGACGGCGAGACCTGGCTGGGGTAGGAAGAGGACGGCGGCCCGGTCATTTTGGTACCGGCCCCGTCGACTTTGGTGGCCGGACGAGCGAACGGCCGGCCAAAACGTGGCCGGCCACGGTGGCTGTCGCGAACCAGAGGAGAGAGAGAGCGACGCGCGGGAGAGAGAGAGTGTGTGAGAGACGGGGGCAATTCCGTCTTTTAACCAAAAATCCATTTTCCAAATATTTACGATTATGCCACTGAGCTTCATTTGATCATATCTCTCTCGTTACAACTCCGATTCGAGCCCACTACGTGTCTACGGACTCATCTCACCGTGCTCTACGCAACGGTACAACCGGAATTCCCAAATTCCTTCCGGATAAGAAAATGACTAAAATACCCCTATCCCACGGGTAATTCTCAATTCCACTTAAATAAATTAAAACATGGGATAAATTGGGGTCGGGGTGTTACATAACAACACACAATAGTTTTATATCAAAACATGACATCCTTCATGGGTTTACTTTATGCAAATTTTATGCATTCATGCTTGAGAGAAAAGGAAAAATATACTCCAATAGTTTCAACCATAGGCACACTCCTATCCGGATTTGCAGAAGTATATGCTAAAATTATATGGCATGCTCTTTGTGTAAAATGCGTGCCGCAGTTCTATGATTCAACATTCAATCGTGAGTTTAGCATACAAGCATAGCATAACAACATATACTTTAAAACTTGGAAACAATAATTAGGACTTTCATGCATGCTTGTCATGTTTTATCTCGATTTAGACCTATACACACATGAATCTGGCTCCAATACCATATGTAAGACCTTATGAACATGCATACTACAAGTACTAAATTTGTAAAATCATCGAGATAAATCTATAAAAACACGAACAAGAAGCAAAGATCTTCCTCTCTCTCTAGTATAGGGTATAGTTTGTGCTTGTGAGTTGTATATGATATCGGGGACCTAAGTATTGTATTTATAAGAAAGTGCTTTAGATTTCTAGTACATTACGAAAACCTAAAGCATATCTTTATTACCTGCAGAATCCATGACAAAATAGGATAAATATCTCATTTGATTTGATCTTTTCTTCACTTGTAAATAACCGGCTAAAAGAGCGAAAAACTTTCCCCTTTATTCTTGATAGATTTGGTGCCTTAAATGGATGCAAACTCAATAAAGTTATTAAAATTCTCACTTCCAGTCTCCCTCTTTTTCCTCTGTACTTTAGTACAAAAAATAAAACTAAAAACTAAAATTGAAATGGTTATCAAACGGACCCTAAATTTGTTGATACCAATATCATGGATATTGAGTGATTGTTGTCACACCCCAATTATTTTTATTTATTATTATTTGGGAATGTGAGGTAAAAGAAAAACTAAAACTAAAAATTTAATTATCAAGAAACATGAAGATTGAACGTAAACTTCCATTTAAGTCAAAGTAATTTACATTGTATTATTACAAGCAAAATAACAAGAAAGTAACAAACTTTCAACAAAACACTCAAAACTATCCATAATCCGTTCTTCTTGTTTCCTCAGCAAAAACTACACTTCAGTTTCAAAGCCTGCAATAGATTCAATAAGGGGTGAGCATTACATGCTCAGTAGGGGTCTTATGTCTTATGTGATTAGTGAGATTTATAATGTACAATTTATGCAATGCATGAATGAACTTCAATTCTACCCAACCCGTTAATCTATATAATAGGCCAAGCAAATCTGCATGTCTCATACCATGCATTTTACCACTGTGATTCCGAATGCCCCATTATATAAACTAACACCTATTTCAATTATCCCATAATTCCCCTTTTGCTAGTCATCTTGTCTACACCATTGATCTCCAAACCCAAATCACCCAATCGACAATTATACCTCCGATTTCTTAATCTACTGTGCACACGGGCTCGTCTGAACTTGGTCCCTACAATGGTTAGACTCAACTACACAAAAGATACTTCCCATTATCCTCTTTTCCATAATTTCTTTATCAACCCAAAAATTCCAACCACCACCGACAACATATGAATATGTCAAAATTCATCAAATTATAATGATAATTGACAACATGTATACATCTAATATCAAGGATAACAATCAAACAATATAACCAAGCATAACAACAATAAAATATTATCAAGCCTAATGTAGTATTTACAATATTTAATTAACTCAATGTATGCAAAACAAAACCTCCCCAAGAAAAACCCTACCTCAAATCCAAAGCTATTGTACACTTCCCAATTGAGCTTTTTCCAAAATCTTATCACACTTAGTTTTCACTCTCAAATTTTTAAGAAACTAACATAACTTTGAAGAACCTATGATTCAATAGCTACTAGTTAGAACTTATATATAGTGGGTTAGAGTCGGCAAAACAATAGTAGATGAAGCTTTAATATTATGCCACCTAACTAACCTAGGGATCTCTAGGCTACAATCCTATGATTTATAGACTAAATTGGTGGCTTGAAGGAAAACTGCCACTCCAT